AAGGACAGAAATTGTTGCCTTGTCGGGATTGTTCGTCTTCTTGCCTTTGTACGAAGCAAGTAGCTGCTGCAAAGCACCCAAGTGGGGCTCAGCAACTCGAGCAATGTCAAGATCCTTCTTGTGATGAATAGGCATGCTAGGATGAACAATGATAGATGTTGATGGAATTTTGTATGGAATAAGAGCTCGACTGAGTTCGACTAATGCAAGTCGACTTGGGACGAATGGCATATTGATAGTCAATTGGCCTGACCTTTTATACCGAAACAGTGAAATCAAGCTCCTGACCAAATTAGGACAACTGAGGACAGTTGGATTCTTTAGTTTGGGGGAGGAGGATATCGATTTAATTGAAAATTTTACAAAATTTCAATTAGACTAATAGTTTTGCAATTAGATTGAATGGTATTGCGAACGCAGTAACCCAGAATTGATCAAAGCGATCATACAGAAGGTCAAAATATGCGGAATGAGTAAAGAAGCTGCGCTCAGAACCTGAAAGTGGAGTTGAGAATACCTCCCGACGTTGTTATGATCAATGGCGAACGGAGATCGACTTGAGCACTCAGGACAATGAAGACAGTAAAGCCTTGCGGACCTGATCTCGCATGAAAGCTCATACCAGGATCCGGAATGGAGTCTTACTTTGAGCCCCTATTCAAAGGCGGAACTCAGAACTGGCTCGATAATCCGCAAGCACTCATTCAGATTAAAACATGAATTGAGTGAACAATGTATGGAGAGAAGAGAAAATATATCTACTCATTCAAATTAATAAGAATGAACAAGTGCAGCTCTTCAATCAAAGTAAATGGGACAAACAAAGTGTTTGCCTAGAACTTAGTTTCACTCATTCAAATTAATATAAACATGAGCATGAGAGCTCGTAAATTGATATATACAGGATAGTGTAAGCTATCCACAACAAAATAATAGGTAAACTACCTACAAGAAATACAAGAAAAACAAGAAAGAAACAAGATAGATATTAGATTAATGAAATCTAATTAAAACGAAATGGTCTCGATTGACCGGTGGTCCTGAAAAGGTCCATAATGAGATTTTGGGTCTGAAGACCCGTAAAGACGATACGACCGCGAGTGGTCAGCTATAATGAGATATTGGGTTGAAAAACCCGGATAACATGACCGCGAGTGGTCAACTATGGTGGAATATGCAGGTTATAAAACCCGTCCGTCCGAGAATGTATAAAAAAAAAAAAAAAAATGGATAAATAAAACGAAAATTTATGAATTAAATTTATAACTCACGAAATGAGGAGGCATCAGCCTTGAGGTTCTCTAACTCCCGATTCCTTCTAATTAATCGTGGAGGAGCTACGAGCGTTTTGGAAACAGAGGTTGAAGCTTGGGTCTCCAAGGGTGGTGAGGAAGTAGTGTCCTTCAGTGCGACCGCCGATAATGCTTTGCCACGTAATGAGGCAAAAACATCCAAATCTTTAGACGAAACCATGCGCATCATTGCGCTTCCCTCACGAAAGCGTAAACAAAATGGAATGGGAATGGCAGGGAATCGTTCGAATTCGAGAACACCCTGTAAATTAAATTAAATGAGAATAAAAGTGAATTCGATAGCAAAGAACACTTACTGCAGCTGAGGAACGATGCTCAGGGGGAATGCCCCATTGCTGCATCAAATCGTCGCGAAGAAAAGCGGGTAGGCTGAGGGAAAGCAATTCAGCAGATAATAAAACCTGTTCCGCGAATAAAGGGCAATTTGCCCGACCCATCCAAAAGTCATGAATATAAATCTAGGAGAAACCATTAAAACCAGTAATAAGAAAACGAGTAAAGGTGGCTACATACCAAAAAGGGAGCAGCCTCCTCAAAAACATTGTAAATCTCCGACTCCGTTGGAGGTGAATCATCTACATCTACCAAATCCTGCAAAGTTCGGACCGTCATTTGTGCCGAACAAAACAAATCCAATCCAGAAGCCACGGACAATGGACGCGATGTGTCGGAAGGGAAACAGAAAGGGACGAGAGAACGGGGATAGGAAAAGGCAGGGAAGGTTCCAGAGCCATCGTAGTCCGGAGAATTTGTGGAATCAACGACCGGAGGAGAGTAGTCTCCCTCTAAAAGACGCTTGAAAACAGCACTCTCGAAGAAGAGAGGAAGTGTTGATTTAGATGGAATACCCGCCAACATAACTTGAGCCTCAAGTAGAGAGCTTGGTAAACGCGTGGTAGAGGCAGAAGATCGAGTTTGACTCGAGGTTGACGCCATTTTGAATTGATAAGAACGAGATGAAAGAAGAAAAAGAAAGGGAAGAAAACGGACTTCAACAAAAATTTGTTGAACCCCGTGCCCCGAACCAAATAAACGTACACAACGAATCAGTGCGTACGTCAGAGCAGCTCTCCATGAAATGGAAGCTCGTTCTGTGACTAGATGATGAAAAGATTGTGAATTAAATTTTCGAAATGTGATACGAATACCGAAAATGTATTCAATTAAAATTGAGCGCTAAACTGTTACGATTCGTAGCAGGCGTGTGAATAAATTGATAAGATTAGCGCTAGAAACCCATTTGAGGGCATCCAAATTGATTGGAGAACACGGAGAAGTAGAGATCCAAACCCAGTGAATTACATTAATAGGAGATATAGTCTTGTCGAATCAATCTAATAACAGATTGGGTATCCTTTCCCGATACAAAACTACAAATGACCAAGGACAGTCAAATTCTTTAGTTTGGGGGGGATGACACGCCTAAATTTTGGCTAGACGTCTATATTGTGAATTGTGACATTTTCACGTATAGATTTGTATCGAGAGGACTGTAATTGAGACCCAGATTGACAGTCAAAGTCAATACTGAATCAGTCTAATAAGTTGAAGGGACCATATACCCATACTACCACAAGTTGGTCAGTTTACCCATCCCCGATACTACCTACGGATAGCAGTCTACCTGTTTGTCAAGCAGGATTATACCAGACTCGGACTACATCCGAAGGATGACCATTCAAGTATGACATACTGTCAAGTCCATGCCGCGGGCCTCCATTCCGCCGCTCGGTACTCCGAAGATCTGCTCGTTATTGTAATCTCACTCTTATTGTTCTTTCTCGCTACACATATCCTTTCGTCCTAGTCTCTCGTTATTGTCTTTTACTCTTTCGTTCTAGTCTCTCCTTATTGTCTTTTACTCTACCCTGCAGGTACTACTCGTATAGCTCCTAGTAGTTAGTCTAGCGCTCCGCACCGATGCGCCGTTCCGTAGATATAAATACTGCCTGTACGCTACTGTAGTTCCTCAGTTTAATTATCAACTTAGATCAACTTAGATCTCCCTTCTCAACTTAACTCTCCTCTAAGTCTTCAGGCTCAACGCCTCGAAGTACGTTCTCCTCGACCTTAGGACTTTAACGTTCTCTGGTCCGCTCCTCGTCATCGGCGATACCGCCGCTCCGACCTGGCTGCTACTTAGCTCCTCTCTCTCTACTCTCGCTCTCCGGGAACTAACGGCGTAACGGCGGTGTTGTTAATAACTTCACTACTGTCCCATTCGTCTTCCGCACTTAGACACCCTGTGGCCTTGGCACGGTTACACGGTGTACATGATCTTAACACATACCAAGGGTATTCTTATTGGACCTTACACTGGCAGGAGTTTGGAAGAACTTACTCAAGTGACCATGAACCGAGGATTGACTCGAAATGACTTTCTAGAACTCAGGAATGATCAAATACTCCTTCTAGAACAAGATCATGCATTAATCTAAAAGACTGCGATTTAGTCTAATAGACCAATCAAGTTGCATGGTTAAGGAAAATGACTAGAAGAACGATCGAAGTACTGCGAGGCTCCGAAGACATATCAAATGAATGTCAAAGAGTCCTGACGTAGAAAATATTGAAGAATGCAATTAAATGAATACTATGTGTAACTCCCTTGATTGAGTATAGGCACAATGGGTGTCTATTGAAAGAGAGAAGCAATTAGTTTAATCCAGATGAATCAGATTGATAGGATTAGAATCGAGGAGAGCTGATTTGCCTCCGGACGAGGTGACAAACGATCGAAGTAAGTGTTGAACAGCAATGACAGTTGAACACCATTCGAGTCATCCTCCAAAAACAATTAAATTAAATGAATATTGAAGTACCTACCTATGTTTGGAGGTATACTAGAATCTTGGAACCAATATGGACCAAATAAGGACATGTAGATTCAAATTAAATGGTATCTGATTGAGTGTAGAAGTTTCCTTGCGGTTCCGAACGTTTATTGTATTAAATTAATTGTACTATGCGACTCTATATTCTGTATGTATAAATAGCGATCCGATGTATCTGGAATACAAGTGATTTTGGGACGACATTGCAGTGCTAATCCGTAAAAAGGAAAGACACACTCCCGCCAGACTGAAACCTCTTCGCTAGCAGCCATTCGGGCCCGGCACTTGTGAGTATAGGAACGTCGTGTTCTGCTCCTTGTGACTGCGAGAAGTATATCCAGTTGTTGGGTATTCTTCGAACTTAGGATCAGTCGTTGGTCTTAAGGGCAAATCACGCTGTGTGGTTGTGCCAGCACATAGTTCTAGCCCTCTGTAGGGGTCTGTGTGTTTCGGTTTTAATTTACTTTGATTCAAACCCCCAATTCTTGATATACCCAAATCAATACAAACCAAAGCACAAATCGTGCTGAATCTACCTTGATCAAAGGAATATATCGAATCCTTAGAACGATTCAAATTGATTAATCAAAGCTTCGTACTTAGCTCTCAAAGCTTTGCGGAACCTTTGCCAACGCTACCCCTTGCTATTAAATAAATTTGATAGCAGTGAACTCGCATATTGTGTATTAGATTGGTTGGTTGGAGTGCCCATTAGATTCCTTCCTTTCTCTTTCACACAAAAACGAGGCAAGCTCGTTACCGCTCCTCAATTGGAACATGTACGTGGTTGCATTCAAAATCACAGAGCGATTCTGATCAAAACTGAATATTACAGAACAATTATTCTTTGAACATGCCTGGATACTCACCATCTCGGAATCTGCGTCGCCCATCTACTCGAATGGGACCACCTCCATCCTTTGATTTACCTCAGAGTTTTGGGAACATCCGACATCACATCAACAGCAATTACCAACCCCCTCCGCTTCCTCGTCCACTCACTCCTGAGGATAACGATGAACTGATGTCAGTTAATCAGCTTCTTCCTGTCAAACGGACTCATGAAGACGATGATGCCGGCGACAAACAACCTGCAAAGAAGCCTATGGCTGCGAAAAAACCTTCTGATGCCATAAAACCAAAGAAGGTGATACCGAGACCTTTACCGAAAACTGTCAAGAAGCCAAAGATAGTTAAGGATGATGGTGATGGTGAGGCAGAAGACGAGCATGGTTCCCGGGAGAAAAAGAAGACAGGAGGACGCACAGTGGGATCTACTGAGTACAGTACTACCGAGCTATCTGGAATGGTGAGGCTTGTCTTGAAGTATCTTCCCATGGGAAAGAAAGGTTGGGAGCGTGTCGTGAATGAGTATAATAAATGGGCATCAACCAATGGATACCCCCCACGACAGTATAAGCCATTTCAAACACAATGGAACAGAGTAAGTTTCTCTCTTTTTATCACCATATTTATTTACTTACTTCTGCTTGAGTGTGTCCTGATAGCATCAACAAAGCCAACTGGAGATGCCGACAGACTCGAGATGTATGAACGAGTTCTTGAGGCAGAGGCCGCAATTGCTCAGTGCGTAAGTCTCGGAAGTCTGCAAGACAATGAAAATGTTATCAGCATATCTTCGGAGGAAGATGATGATGACGACGATGAAGACTTGGTAATAAACAAGGGGAAGGGAAAGGTACGGGGCAGTGAAGGAACTGTGTTGACAAAGGCCTACAAAGTCGAAGCTCCACTGAATGATGCACCTCGTACCCGCATGTCACGTCAAAGCCAGGCCAATGATCTTCTGGGAGGCATCTCTGCCTCGCTCAACCCTCAAAATCTTCAGCAGCGTGACGTGAACCGTGCATCCATGAACTTACAGATGATGCAGATGCAGCACATGCAGACACAGCTCAACAATCTCCAGCAGCGCCTTGATACAGCAACCCGAGAAGCTATGGAGGCACAGTCTGAGTTGAAGATGATGAGGCTGTTGCATAGTTCTCGTCGTCGAAGCCGTTCTCGAAGCTACAGCCGCAGTCGAAGGAGCCATCGATATTCTCGGTCACATTCACGTTCTCCCACTCAATTGTCTCACAGCTATCACCATGATCATTCTACTGCTCATAGCCATGTCTATTCTCCAGTACCTCATAATATCCGGCCACGCAGTGGTAGTCCTCGTTCCCGATCACCTCCACAACATCGTTATTCACACTTTCATTCCCGGATCCCCCGCCCATTTTCACCACCGGTGATTAACACAACTATCTCTCCAACAGTCACCCCACACCGGAACTATGTTGAAGCTGCACAGGTCTACACAGCTTCTCGTACTCTATACCAGAACAAAGAACCTACGTACAATCCTCCACCACCACCTACAATTGCTTCATCTTCTCGCATTACTCTCGATCAGTTGGCATCAATTGCTATAGATGAGTTAGATGCAGGAGATATTGTTACTGTAAAGCCTCGTTCAGATGGGGACTACGATGTAGAATTATCACCTTCGAAACGTTACAAGTAATCAATACCATCTACGTAGTAGGCACTATATGGAAACGTGAAACACGGTCTCTCTTCCGAATCTCCCCAAACATAAGATCACCAAGTGCATCCCACATCTCATCACCTTCAGAGGCTCGCCATGAAGGCATGTAAACAGTTCGAATCTGATTGATACCGACACAGTTTGAACGAACATTGAACAACCTACAACAGAGCTCAAGAAGTCTCAAACGGCTTTCATCAGAGTTGATATCTAACGGTACACGCAGACGGCCAAAAGAGCCTTCCATAATCCGCATACCCCATTCAGCAGTCTGTCGAAATGATAAGAGTTGGCGGTTGAAGGACAAAAGGTGTTCCTGTTCAGCAACGTTAGCAGGAATTTGCTCTCCTCCCTTGAGAGGTGCCCTAATCCTGCCTTTAATTGACTGAGGACCACGAGGAAAAGCGGTATCGGAGACGAGGTAAAAACCATCTGGTACACTGGAGTGAAGATGCTCAAAGATTGGCCGTGCAGTATGAGCATCATGCCAACTCCCAGGAGCATTCAGAACAGCGTCGATGATTGTCCCTACATAAGAAACATCAGAACGATCCAATGATAGAGATTGTACATACACACCTTTTGGGGAGAACACTAGAACATTACTAATGCGATGATCTGTCTTCCAGCCATTATATGTCGCATTCTCGATCTCCGGGTCGTCCGAAACTTGTGAAAGAAGTGACAGCCCATCGATGCTGGCAAATGCACCCTCAAGCATAGAATGGCGCGCAAGGATAAGCGCCTCGTACTCCTTGAACTCTGAGAGTCTTCGAGGGAGAGCTATCCGTGCCTCCTCCAAGCTCCGTAGGGTGGAAAGAAGAATATCAAGCGAAAAGTTGAGGTAACGAGCCAGAACAGAAGGTACGATGGCAAAGATTTGCTGGAGCTGAATTTCAAGGATTGCCGAGCCTAGATAATGTAGTGCAAGCCCAAGCGCCCCTGCAGCATCAAGACTGCGGCGTCCCAATCGAGTTTCGCCAGTACTGAAAACATCTGATCGAGGTATGGGAATGTTATCCCAATGCTCTGCAAAACGGCCGGGCCCTTCTAACAGAAACCAAAAGGTGTTGACATCGAAGCCCATGGTTGTGACGAAAGCCCTGTCTTCCTGTCCTTCCCAAAGTCGCATCCATGGTGACTCGAGCCGGGGCTTTGGCATGAGCTGGGGACGAGTGAGGTAGAGGCGGGAGGGGTTTCTTCTTCGCTTCTTAATGTTTTCATGGTCTATTACTCCACCAACAAGTGCAGCAAGAAGAAGGAGTTTTATATCATGGTCATCATGGTCATCATCATCCTCTTGCTGCTGCTGCAAGTGATAGACGGCGTTGAACGACATCGATGCAGTACACGTGTACTGATTTCGGTCAAATAATCTCCTACGGGAATGATAAGGAAATTAATCCGGCACTTAATCCGATGATCTCTTTAAGCGAAGTTTGGAAGAAATTGTCATTTCGGTAAATAATCTTACGGGAAGTCATCCACTGATGCGTATATCCTGCGTATACTATCATGCTACTAGAGTTTGAAAATCCGTTGAAAATTCTTTTGTAAACGCCTTAAATTGGGTCAGATTGCTTTCGGATTTGGCATACACATAGCATAGCATGTATTCAAGCTGACTGGCTATTCATAATGTCCAACATATGTGGACAATGAATGTGATGTCAATGCCGCCGATGAAGACTCGAAATCACCAGTGTTTGAAAATCTCAGTCACATCAATGTCACAGGCACAAATCAGCCGATGTCGGCTGGATTGAATTTCCGACAGATCCTGCCCCACTGCTCATCGACATTGCACTGCCTCGTATCTCTGTGTGCTCAAGTATGGATTCCGATGAGCCCACGTATTGGCCGTATGAGCCGCCTGGTCAATCCGAACGTGATTCCTCTGAACCCGACTACGAAGGAACACCGGAGTTATGTGATGGAGAATTGTCTGTGAAAAGAGGCCCAAGTCCTTCTTGGCTCGATGGTTGGGATGACTTTCAGTGCGGGTGTGCTTCCATGTCAATATATCAACTACTGATGCATCTATTAAAGCTCAAACAATGTTCATTCCAGCTCAGGTGTCACCATTGCACTCAGGCTACTACGAGAGATATCTGGCATGAGTTGGAAGGAATGGGAGGCTACAAGTACGTGTACAGTCAGGTTAAGGTATTGATATTATACTGATTATTGATAGTGGGTGCTCCTGAAGAGGGTTCTCCTTCAAGTTATGTCACGCCGGAAGACATGGAGCGACTACTGGAGCGGGGAGAGCTTCTGGAAGAAATTCGACGACAAGTCATAAACTGCCTTTCTGAACGTGATACAGCTCTACGACATGCTAACGCCACCCGATACGAGCTCTCAAAACTCCGCCAGGATGTGGTTGGAGTTGGCGAAGCTCTGTTACAGGCGGCGGGTGAGACGAACCATCCGAATTTCCAGAAGAATTTGCAGAAAGTTGCGAGGGAGTTGATTCAACATGGAATCAAGGGCTCGAAGGACAGGGAACATTTCGAGTTGAAAGCGCGCCGACTCAAACCATATCCGCTACAATCTCTTCAGCATGCCATCGATGCTTACCCTACACTTGTATCGAAACTGGATTAAATTAGTCTTCAATGCGATTCTCTCCTCTTCCATGTTATGTTAAATTGTATATGAGCCATAGTTATTGAGGAATGTCTGGGTAGTAGTAAGAAGGATTATGGTATATATATGGGGAATTAGGTGGCTGGTACGAAGTAGTTCGAGAATGCATGGGGGTCCGCATTGAAAAGGATGAATTATAAGGCTGAGAAGGTATCGTAGGTGGAACATATATTGGATTATGAGATGACGAAGACAAAAATGCAGTCGTTCGAGGAGAATTTAGACGACGTGGGCTTAGAGGAAGACGTGGTTGGATCGGAGTTGTGAGACGAGAGGAGAGCGATGACGCCGAAGGGACCAAGATATTGAGAGAGTTCAAAGTAGATGCTGGAGGATGTGGTGGAGCAGCGAGAGTAGTGCGAGTTCGTCCAAACAGACCTCGATATCGCGGGTCTTCAGAAAGGTTAGGATGGGAGCCGAAATGGGACTTGATAGACAAAATCAATTCGTCTTTGTTTCCTTCAAGAGAAAGCCCTAATACAAACGCAATATCTTTCAAATCGTCTTTCAGCTTTGAATTCAATGACCCAGTGAAAACTGTTGTCGGGCCCATTGTACGACGGATTTCCTGCCGTTCTGCATCTTTGGCATCGCGTGCAGCTTGTGCCTCATTCTTCTTTTGCACCTCTGCCTCTCTTTCATTGTGTTGTTTCTCTGCCAACTCCATACCCTCCCTCGACGTCAAACAACGAGCATCAACATTGAGTTTTGGTCGTTTGCTGGCTCGGTTTTCTTTCCCATTGAGCTTCTGAGCCGACTGGCGAAGCTGTTGCAGTGCCATGCGGTTATGGGCTTCTGAGCGTTCAAGCCGAGCCCACAGTTCCCCATTTTCCTTTTCGATCTCGGCGTATGTTCGTTTATGCCCGATTGCTGCAGGGCGTCGGGCAGGAGGTGTGGCGTAAAAAAGCGCAGGGGGTACAGTTGCAAATCTGGGTGGGACTGAGGAAGGTGTGGGTGTGGGTGGGGGTAATTCACGAGGTGATGCTCCATCAGAGGATCTGTCATCTGATTCATCGTCTCCGGCGTTATCCTCGGAGTCGGAGAAGGACTGGTGACAAGGGAATGAAATGGGAACGAAGTTTGCATGGGTAGAGAAGGGAATGCTCGGTGCATAATCGTCGTTCTGAAAAATGTCACGATTGACAGGCCAAAGTCCGCTTTTTCTCCAGGCAGCTTTGATGGTGGACTCCTTAAATGTTGCATTTCGAACAGCCATATATTCCTTGACAAAATTTTCTCGTGGCATTTCATAGTCTGTGAGCTCCACAATATCATTGCAACGTTCGATCCAGGCTCGTGAAAAAGGGCCAAAGACTCCAACATCCAGAGGCTGAAGCTTATGTGTAGTGTGGGGTGGAAGGCATAACAAGATAATTCTGTTTTCGCGCGCCTGCTGTATGAGACTCCATTGGTCATGAGAGCCATGTCCATCGTAGATGAGCAAAATCTTCGAGCCGGAAACATTACGAGCTTTAGCCTGGGGAATAAAAGACTTTGTGAACCACTCCTTGCACAAAAAGTCATCAGTCCAGCCATTCTCAGACATCGAGATGCTGTGAATTGAATACTTGAGTAAAGACTAGAATAGAACATTAGACATGTTCTTACCAAATATCCGGATTGACAGTGAACCATTCTGTGTCGAACTCCTTCCCAGAGAAGACAAATCCAGGATGCAAAGAGGTTCCATCAGCACTGACGCATTCGATAATGGTTGCAAGCTCCAGATTGGCAGAACACTTTTTGTAAGTGGGCCTTTTTTTCCGGGGGATGAAATATTTCTTTTGGGAGCTTTTTCGGCCTCCACCGCGCTGAACTCCTTTTTCATCCATGTTGTAAATATTTTCGATGGGGATGTTATGCTTTGCACAGATTGCCTCCAGGAGGTCAAAATGACGGCCGACAACTGGTCGATTGAATGCCTGTGCTCATTTCGGGTCAAGTCCTGATGGTTTCCCGAGTTTAATGGTAGGGTTCCGCTGAATGAATTTGTAAACCCAGTTTCGATTAGGTTTCTTTCCAATAAGGACCTCAGCCTTTTTCCGAACCCCTCGTTTGCTGATGGGATGGCCAGTCTCAGAAAGGTAAACAAGCCAGTCAACCAGGATTTGCTCCTGATCGGGAGAGAGGAGCTGCTGTTCAACATGGGCTTTTCGAGGGATCTGATGACTTCCCTGAGCACGGTTCCGAAGAGTCCCATAAGAAAGAGGAAGATGAGGATATTTTGCATGAAGTTGATTAAAAACCTCAGTGTAACGAGGTATCGTCTGTTTGCCGAGTAGTGTGCATGCCTCATCATACACCTTCTCGCAGTCTGCTGATATCTTGGCTCTTTTCGAGGCATTCTTGGTCATGCAATGACCAGTCTGAGGACTTCAAGCAAAAATCAATGCCGATCTCAAGCCGGCGGACTTTCAAACCTCCTCCTTCCTTTTTTGGAGCATGTCACGATTTTGAATACTCCATCCTCTCGAACCTCTTCACTCTTCAACAAGGCTTTGATCACTGTCGGAGAAATGTTCCAGTATATCACAGAAGTGATAAGTGCATATAGACACCCTTTTTTATGTATCCAATATTAGTCTAACAATAGCTTAACTCACTTTACTGGAGAAATCGTGGATTTTGCAATTTATGAAGCTTGCGGAACAACATTACAACCATTTTTGTTCAATAAAAATCCACAGCTATATGAATCATAGCTGTTTCCTTTGATATAGATGCATACATATAATCAACAATGAAGGGAACATCTTTCAGAATGCATTTTCAAACTCGGGTGGCTTTTCAAAGCCGGCAGGCACGATAGTAGCATTACTTTTCACACTGACGGTGTACATACCTAATCTATCTATCTATCTACCTGGTTTTTATTTTTATTTTTTAAACTCTTCTTTTACCGCAAGTAAGGTACATACATACCCCGCCTTAGGTGGAGTCGCGTATTTTTCTATCTATCCATCTACTTACATAGCCTGAAGTTGAAACTTGAAACTTGAAATTTGAAGCTTTCAAGAGGAAGGTAAGGTACTCGATCACACATGTTGAAACAGCGGTAGACGAGGGGTAGACGGCGGCTTATTGCTTGTTCGGTTCATGCCTGCGAAAATAATGTCCGACGGAACTGTGAGGAGCAAGTCTTAATGTACTTAAACCCCCAAATGCCCTGTATTTTTCTCCCATTCTTCTCTCTTTGTCTTATTCGACTGTCATCCTCCCGGCTGGTCCGGAAACTAACAAATCGCAAGTAATTTTTATTACTTTATACGTTCAACCTGACCAAGTTAGACCAACACCTCATATCTAGGTATCTTCAACGTAAACCCCTTTGAAAATTCACACCATGCGAACACGTATCACTTTTTACTTGTTCATTATCCTCGATATCCTAGCTGCCAATGCGGGTGACATAGGTCCTGGCGTGACTTCTGGATATGACCTCGGCGTACCCCAAGCACGAGGTTTTCCCGAGCACTCAATTTTTTCTCTACGCGGTCGAGCACCGGGGAAGGATTCTGAAGGTGGTGTGGTCTCTCCGGAGGATTTCCCAAAACCTCCTACATCCAGGATCTCTTTATCAGACTTCCCGAACCCTCCTCCAGGCAAGGGAACAATAATCCCCAAAATTCCCAAGTTGGTGTTGATTGCGCCATCAGACACTGAAAGCTCCCCTGCTTCTCGCCCGCAGTCTACAGATCTTCCTCCTCCGCCCGGTGCTCCTCCGACGAGACCACTCCCCCCTCTGCCACTCAAATTGAACGAGGTATCCAAAGGATTCCCTCTGCCGCAGAGTGCACCTCCAAATAAAAAGCTTCCCGAACTTCCGTCGCATCCACTTGCAAACTTAAATGAGGTGTCTCCAGGTTTCCCTCCGCCCCAGAGTGCACCTCCAAATACAAAGCTTCCCGCACTTCCGTCGCATCCTGCACCCCCAACTCGGCCGCCTCCTGCACCTCCTGCGGATGCACATCCGCCCCCGATCCCGGCCAAGAGTCCGCTGCGACCCAAAGTGAATCCAAGAGCTTCGACACCTGCGGCAGCTATGAAGAAACGTGCAGAAGCTTCAAGTGCTGTGAGGATGTTGGGGAGGCTGCAGAAAGAGCCCACACAGTCATATCAAGAAGGTGAACATCATAATAAGAAGAGAGATGTTACTAGGACGAATTATCGTCGGAGAATCGTCGAGTGGGATGAAAAATTATGATTGAGGTGATAGATCAAGCATTATAGTAGATCGTAATATCGCCGCAGTACTAATATTAATATTCAATATTCAACCTCGAGCTACCTCGAGGCTCAGTGTCTTTGAGATTTCTCTTTGACTGCGTGAGAAACTACGCCTACTCTCGTCCTGTTTCTTACTTCTACATATGTATAGCCTTCATCTTACGGGGCTTGAAATGCATTCCATTCCATCAACATTTTCCGTCTGAGAAATCCCACCTCATTACACCCTACGAGGAACTTCTCCATTTCCGGCATTGTACTTGAAATTCATCGCAGTCAAGCTTCAATCTGTGCAATATGACATCGGCTCATGATGGATGGTCTTCAAAATTCAGAGGCCATGTACATCGGTACAGTATATCCTCTATCACTGGCAGTCCATCCTCCTCCATATCACCGTCGGAAGGTTTTGTTATGTGTATATACATAACGGGTGCGGTGCGCCTTATCTCTGCTATCCAATACACCAACGTACTCATGGTTGCTTCACAGAATGTCCGGCGCGAGCAATTGGTCTCATGAAGAGATCGGGGATCATTGCAACGACCCTATGGCTAAATCTATGTATTTGCACAAGCCAACCCGGTATCATCCAAAACCGCAGGGATTGCGCTTGGTTATCACAGTGCTATCAGAATTTGCTCTTTTGATTGAGTGAAGTATGATCGGGCATGATAGATTTGTAAGGTATGTTTCACTTTGAGCAGTGTTGGTGCGACAGACCAGGGCGATGCAGGATGATGAAGGATGATCGATGATGCTCGAACGCAATATGAATTTGCAAAGCCTTGCGCTTCCTCCGACGCCTCAGGAAGACCAAGGAGTTCCTGGCAAGTCACTGGTCAGGTCACTATGCCAACTCTAACATAATTCTCTGAGTTCATAGAAAAACTGGCTCGCTACGCTAATGGCATGGCACTGTCATGATACATCTATATCTCATTCCTCTGCATATGTGATTATAATCTCTGAGGTTGCGAGCTCGACCCTACAAAGCCCTACAATGCTATATTCACTGGTTTCAACTCTAGTAAGCGAGATCCGCTTTGAGGGAATTTTAATATGGCCGAAGCGCATAAAAGTGCGATACTTTCAAGTGGCTCTCTCATCTGCTGGACCAGTCGAGCGACCACTTTCTTTGCAGGCAGAGAATAACCTCGTGCCACTTCAAACCCCTTTCCGAGCGCTCAATCCTCCAGAACACTACACCATGCGTCTCGCGCCTGCTTTTGTCGTGACTAGTCTTGCCCTGTGCACTATCGCGCATGCGGCACCCCATGCGGTTAGCGACGATCCTAACCGTGGTGTCGTTTTTCTAATTATGATCATTCGTAGACCTCACAAGCAGACGAGCTTCTGGTATCACTCCAGACTCGGAGAGTAGGCCATCCGTTACCTCCAAAACCAGCCCCACCTACACCTCCACCGGATGCCCCACCTCCACCGAATGTACCACCACCATCACCCCAAATGCACCTGGATGAAAATCCTTTCTAGACCTGTCAGCTGACACAATGTTAAACCTGTTAAAAAATCAGGTATGCAGGCATAAGTACATGTGTATTTCTCCGCTCACCGTTAAGTTTACAGAGCTACCACAGTTTTTCCATCTATGTCCATCTCCCCATCTTCTTCTCTATAGACTTAGACTATCAATTCATTTTTTTTCCAACAATTATCAGTCCACACGAATCCTCGGAGTAGTGTTTGTACATGATCGTCAATCGAGCTAGTTACCTGGGCACCTTATACTGTGAGCGACTATGATAGTGTCGATGAACGCAACTTGAAACGTAAGGAGACTACGTATACGCCAAGTCTGCACACAATGACGAATTACATGGCTTCTACGAAACCAGCTATGAATTCTCATCCCTGGGTATGAAGCTTCGGTATTACGTTCTTGGATGGAGAATACCACGACGCAGTTTTTTTGTGGTCGTCCTTGATTATTCGGCGCATTGACGCTGTTGGACACAGTTTATTCTTATGACATTCCAGGTGAATTCGGGCGTGAAGGCAATGGTTCAAGTTAGTCAGATATATATTTGTACGCCGACGACTTCCAATTCTTGTGTCATTGATAATAGCTTGGTTAGTTTTGTTAATGAATCGAGTTTGGCTAATATCAATTTTCTTTTTAATTTTCGAAGACAAATGTTCACAAAGCCCAAGCACATCCCCAGCTGAGTGAATTCGTCTCAAAGTTTCCTGTCCTTCGCAATCAATAATGATCACTACTTCAAATGGGCAGGGCACAAACCTAATTTGCAACACAGCGAAGCACCAACACGATTATCTTGCTCCTCCATTTCTAATCAGACCAATCCTTGCAGCCAGCTGCCTCGCCTGTAACGCATGTCGTCTCCTAGACCTGATATATACCACTAACATCGCACCGACAGCAAAAAGCACATTACATGCGACGAATTCGTAGAAATCGGCTCGTTCGCGAGAGATGATACGCCCGCAGGATTCCCAGGCGGGTGTCTCACCGACTTTAGTTGAAGGGCGCGATGAAGGGTGAGGGGAGGAGTTGTAATCCGAATTGGAATTCGGATTCGGATTGTGTTGCCGGTCTGGTGGAGGAAGACGCGGTCGTAGAGAGAAGCGAGAGCCCTCGTGATAGGAAGACGAGGAGAATGAAGATGAAGAGGCATTATGGCAATGCATTAACCGCCGGTTACCGAATGGTTGACAGAAGGGTTTATCGAGCTGTTGTAGTATAAATTTCGTGAATTATACCGCAAGAACACAAGAACACGAATGTTAATACCTCATCTGGGGGGCAAGGTTCGCATTCACCAAATGGGAAGCATATAAGCTCTTGGTGGGTGCTATTCTGAGGGCCCGTGTCAGCGTCGATACTCGCGGCAACCGTGAAGAAAAGAGTCCAAGATATTCTGTTGAAAGATTCATTGGCTAACCACAGAATATCACCTACTCCGCGCCTTACATGTATATCACCGTATTCGCTGCCAGCGTCGACAAAAGGCGCATCTGAAGACCATCAAAGTTAACCGTGGTGGTTGAAGAGAAAATCGTGGGATTCCGTGACACTGTCAATTCACTCTTCGGATTCCGCTTTCAAGTTCACCATCGGAACCGTTCTTCTATCAACCTCAATATTTCACTTGAATATGTCCAGAAAAGCAGTCCTGGTCGAAGATGAATTCGACGACGACACAGACCTTCCTTTACCTGCCCGTCCATTGCCCCATACCGGCGCAAAAGGTCCTGTGTTACAAGAAATCGCCTCGGATATCGATTCGGAGGATGATTTCGACTTGGATACTTCTCAACTTGCAGGTCCAGCGTCTCCACCCTCATCCCAACCTAAACTTCGACCGGAAGGCGCTAGCCAGCTGCCAAAGAACACTATCACAGATATCACGCCCTACAAGTCGTGAGTGTCGTTTTTACACTTTATCAACTTGTACAAGTTCATCTGATGTTTAACGTGTATCATCATCATCTTTTCTACGGCTAGATGGACGTGTATATATCCCATCTACATCGATGCAAAGCGTCCGTATGGGACAGGCCAGCGACGAGTCGAGAGGGCGAAGAGCATCTGGTGGCCGTTGAGCAAGGACATTGCTGAAGCAACGAACCGATTAGGTCTCGGTACACTGCATGAAGTGAACAAGGCTCATCCCCGAGACTGGGAAAATCCCGGTCGTGTGAGAGTGCAGTGGAAGAAGGAAGGCAGGTTGATGAATTCCGCAATAAAAACAAGTCGGTCTCAATATCCATAATCCCTTCCGAGATCTAACCTCACACAAATCTTGGTTCAATATCAGAAAAACAACTTCTGGAAATGATCAGCTTGCAAATTCAGCATATAAAGCCAGAAAATATCCCCCGTCCTCCGTATTCCACCTCTCCTGCTACCGGAAATGCCTCTTCTGCTCCTCCTACGAACACTGCGTCCACCTCTAACAAGGGCAAAGCACCTGCTACGACCAAATCCAAATCCCCGATAGCACCTCAGCCTAAACAGAACGGCAAGCAGATGGGTGGTAGGCGATTACCTGTCTCTCCGGAGCCTCTTCCGCCTTTGGCTTCGCGAGTATCACCGTATTCCCCTGCCTTGCCGACCGGAGTGCTTATTGATACTGTAAAGGCAGGGATGAATGCCACAGAGAACAACACTGGTACTTCAGGTACTCTTGGTGCTCCTAGTCCATTTGGTGCTTCCGGGGGTCCTCAGAAAGGTAAACGAAAGGTTGTAAGAGTCAGGGGATAGGGCGGGGATGTGGTATGTAAATACGAACCTGTTGTATGTCTACTCGTAACTGGAAAATTTCTGTTCAATTCTGTTTGTCATGAGTACAACATCTTCTGAGATTTGATTCGTACTACAACAACAAACATAATTACAATATGGAGAGTCCTACAAGCATGGTAACATACAGTGAGGGGATGGTGATAATATGAGATGCATGATGCGAATGCGAATGAATATGATTGAGAATCCAACAGAAATAAAAACATCAGCCCGAGAGAAAAATGCGATTCAAAATCCCGTGTATGAAATTGGAAGGAGGCTTAATACCACCTAACTCCGCAACGGCGGACCTCGACTGAGCTCCACGCCCATTTTATGTACAACCTGCATTCCCAGAGGTTCAAATGCCTTCTTCCACAATGTTCTCCTCCTCCTCCCCTCAAAAATCGACTCGGATCGTTCACCAGTCTCTCCTTCAGGTCCGAAAACAAAGACCTTATCTTCACTGAACGGCGCTTCCCCATACGCAAAAGAAATCCATTGCTCTTGCATGGTATCTCTCACACGAGAGTATGACCAAGACGCAACAGAAGGTATACCCCACCCATCGTCATCCGAACTCATGGCGTCGTCGTCACGCACAATCGGGGAATACTTGATATCCTCGTCGTCGTCTTCGAAAGCGAACGATTCAGGAAACATATCGGCCTCGGAGAAGCTGTCTTGCATTGAGGATCCAGCTATCGAGCGTGTGGAGGATTCTGGTAAGGGAACGTTATCGAAGAGGTACATGAGATCCGCTGCATGATGTGGGATGCAGTTCCATGGACCTTCTTGATCAAAGACATATCTCCACACTCCACCGCCTTCACGACGGGAGTTCTGGGCGAAACAGTCAGTCGGCCAAGCTATCCGCGCGTCGTTGACGAGCTCGAGTATATGCTCAGCAATTTCTTCGTCAGGCGTGTATGAAGAAATGTCGTATGTGTGGAATAGCGTATTGGTCTTGAACAGCGATTGGCAAACGGCTTTGATCCGACGTACAGCTGCTGCAGAAGTCCAATATGAGATGGGTGTGGACCATAGCATGGAATCGGAAGCACAGTCGCCAATAAGAAGGGGCTGGAAGACGGACGACCGAAGTCCTGGAGTAGAGGAAGACGAAGCAGAACCAATAGGCTTTGGCGTGTGAGAGTGGGATCGAAGGGCGGAAAGTGCTTTTGGAACGGTTAAATTCAGATTGTGATGATGGTTTTTATGGGCATCTTCAGGTGAGAGAAAATCTTTCCAATCATGTCGCAAAAAGACTCCATCGTCAACAACACGAACGGATCGACCGAATTTAATCAGTTGATCGGCATCGATTGCTCGAAGCTGGCTTATCGTTGAGAGGTGCATCGTTGACATCAAACGAGAGAGTTGGCATCCAGCTGCCGCGACGTCCGGTACATTGTATTCAAAGACTGCACTTTGCACGATCGCTCGATGAAACAATGGTCGAGTTTCATTCGAGGTAGAAAGGAGGTGACAAACGATATCAAATGCACCGCTGGATTCACCAAAGAGGGTAATATTTCCTGGATCACCACCGAAATCAGCAATGTAGCAGTGCAGCCATTCAAGAAGGGTGCGTTGGTCACGAAGGGCATAGTTGCCTACGCTCTCTTGGCCTTCCTCTCGAAGCTGGGGGCCAGCTGCAAATCCAAACAAGCCTAGACGAAAACTGGAATCGTACATATGAGCGTGGAAGATCTTGCAAAAAGATATTTTCCTTACTTGAAGGTAACCAGGATAACAGGTTTTCCAAGCAGAATGCTCTTGCCTACCAACGCACCCCCGTCGTAAACCCAGTTGGAGCCATGACCTCTGTCGTCTCCACTAAGATGAAAGTTTGAGTCACGATGACGGTCAGAAGAGATCTTTTTCCGTACCCATGCACCCAGACCATAACAGGTAAGCGCGACTGCGAGGTCAAACCTCCTGGACACGTAATGTTCAAATTCAAACACTCGAACTCGTTCTGCTTCAAGGCCTGTTCTGGGATATCATCTTCATTGAGACCAAACAAGGCTTCCTCGAAACTGCTCATGTTCTTGACTTGAGGACAGATAGGACTGAGACATTGTAGAGATCGTGAGTATTAGTCCAAAAAAAGCCCAAAAAGCCCTCACCCGTATTTGGAGGCATCGACCAACGGAGGATATGACGCGAACACCTTGGATTGCCGAAAACGGGCAGGGACTGAAGCATATTTGATACCACGGTACTGGTGTATAGGAGCATTCGGAGTGCATAGTGGGTGCTCTACACCGCGAAAGACGGTCTGCAGCACCATATGCTGGACTTCGGGTTCGAATACATTTGTAGTTACTGGCATATTGGAAGACCAGATCTGAGCGTCTGCAGGGCCACGTTGAAGATGAGATGGCAAAGAGCGCTGAGAGTAAGGTAATTCCCCGTGTTGAAAGCAAGATTGAGTTGTAAGAGAGAAAACGAGGAAGATTGACAACTGTTGCAAGCAAGGATTATAAGGGACCCGAGCTTATTGCGCATCGAATGATGGCAGAAACAAATATTACTGCACGGGGAGGAATGGGCTAGTTTTTCTGGTCTCTTGTACCAAAAAGGCATTCAAAAGCTTGATCGATACCCCACACGTGATGGAGTTCCGATACTGCGATGAAAAATGAATTGATCGAGAACGGAATCAAGATCTGTCATTTTGCGGTAGCGGTATCATCCGCAAGGTCAGCTCTCACGTAGAATGGAACTGGACACGACGAGAATGTACTAGAAAATAATCCCACTTGGCTTCCTCCGCCGTACGGACGTTTTCATGCGCGCATTGATGATACCTATTTGACGTAGCTGGAGTATACCAGATTATAGTTGATCCTACTAAACTCCAGTTTCGTTGATTACAAGAGCCGCCAGGCTAAGGCATACACTGTAAAATTCACCCTTCTACTGGATCGCGGGAATGAAAAAGGGCTGTTGTCGGCGAAATGCGATGAGAAGAATCCCTGAACACTTTCCTGGTGGTGAGCGATCTGCAAATAGAACAAACACATAAACAGATTTACCATCTTCGCGAAGCCATGGTCAACATCGAATCGCATGAATTTGTTCGGGTTTTCTAGGAGGTACTGGTATGTAAAGACTGCGAACGTATGCCACGCTATGCCACAGCCTTCATACAAGCGAAATTCATGGTGCTATCAGAGTAAAGACGTCAACTTGAATGACCCCAGACATTATGCTAGGCGAAAATATACATACCTTCTAGACGTAAAAAAAAACAACTCCAGGCTAACCATACATATAGTTCATGTTCCGGAATTCCGAAGAACATAGAAGCTCGATCTACGTTTGTTGTAAGGAGCGAGAGTGTGAGGATCAGAAATGAAATGAAGGCTCAAAATTTCTCGGCTTGGACTTTCTTAGACACCGGGTTAGTGTCGTAGGTCGCCGCAGCAGATGTAATAGTAGGATATGCTTGACATAACAACAACGAAATACAGGTGTCATTGTATGAAAACATGGATTCACAAAGACACATTCTTGAGTGATATTCCAAGCTCGAAATCAGCCAGCGCGCGCAGGATCGTCGTTGAAATACTCACTTCTGTTAGAGTCCGTCCCTGTCTTTTCAACGAGCGCTGCATGAAAAATTGCACAGAGAAGCAGCTGCACATTGAAGTAGCGGTAAGGGTTTCAAGGTCGCCACCGTGTTGCGATCGATATGATTATCGATTCGATAATTGGTTACTCATCATTTCCCACATGTCCAAGCAGTCTTATTCGCTCGTTTAGAGTCTTTGACCACTCTTTGGCCTCTTTCAATTTAGAGTCGTGACTGCTTCGTGGTCGAGTCCCATTAAACTTGATTCACGAGTTGTTGACGAGCGTATTTCTCTTTGTAAACTTTGAAGTGGGCTACTCAGGCTTTATCCACATAGTGGCTTCAGCACCATCTTGAATACTACCGTCGGACCTCGTCGGTGCGGCTTGTCCTGTCGGATATTCCCATCTACACAACTTATGTTCATAGAACGATGATCAACCAACTTGTGCCTCTCCTAATATAGCGAACAATGCCTCTATACTTTACCTTCATCATCCGCCTGGTGGTCGCCTCGTGCTTCAACTCAAGGTGGCCTCATGTCAAGACGACCAAACGACCAAGAATGGCTGATATCTCCCATATACACCTCATGATATTGCAAGAGAGCCAATACCAAGGATAGGCTGCATGTATACCTCATTTTTAGGACTATAAATCTTCAATTGTTAACACTTTATGTCCATTCACATCATTGATGCTTTCGTTTCTTTATTCCGCGTTACTGGCCCTTGCGCTCCCGCGCATCATCCTTGGCCAAGCAAAATGTGGCTTAGTTCCACCTAGAGATTCCACAACCCCAAATGCAAAATCGTCTACTGGTACAGGATCTGGATCTTCTAGCTCGAGCGATGGTGATTTTGCCGACGTTCTAGCCAATGGTTGGTATCCTGGATGGCTTGCAGACGACAACCCTCCTAGTAATATCTCTTGGAGTAAATATAACACCTTGACATTTGCATTTGCGTGAGTGCATCTTGTTTTCTGCTATCACGATCGGTATAGCTTACGTCGACTTGGGTTTGCTAATGTATCCTACCATGATGCCATTCTCGATCAACTCTGGATCAGCACTACAACTTCCGATGTGAATGTGGTGGCGTTAGACTCTATCAGCGAGCAGGCTCTGCCTCAGTTTGTGACTGAAGCCCAGGCACATGTAGGTCCTGTTCCTTTTAATCCCTTTGCACATACATCATCTCATGTTGATTCGTTCAGAATGTCAGCGCGATTTTGTCAATCGGTGGATGGTCAGGATCAATGTACTTCTCAAACGCCATGGCCACTTCGCAAAACCGAACTGCGTTCGTGGCAACTGTGTTAGATCTCGTCGAAAAATATGATGTAGATGGCATCGAATTCGAGTACGTGAAATGTCACAATCCGTTTTGTGGAGGTTTTGCATTGCTATCAGTTGACAAGCGTGTTCCATTCCTCATTGTGCTCGCAGTTGGGAATACCCCGGAAAACAAGGAATCGGGTGTAACACCGTCTCGTCATCGGACTCGGAAAATTTCCTCTCATTCCTGCAAGAACTGCGACAAGATCCTCAAGGAGCGCAGCTGATTCTGGCAGCTGCTGTATCTATAACACCGTGGATTGGATCGAGTGGCGAACCGATGTCCGATGTATCAGTCTTTGCGGAAGTCCTCGATCATATCAGTTAGTGTCGGTTCTCTTTCTGAAACATTAAACGGTGAGAACGATCCTGCTTTAGGTATCATGAACTATGATATTTGGGGCTCATGGTCTCCTACTGTTGGTCCCAATGCCCCATTAAATGACTCCTGTGCTCCGACCCAGGATGGATCTGCTGTGTCCGCGGTCAAGGCATGGACATCCGCTGGATTTCCTGCTGACCAGGTTTGCCCCATCTGTTTGTCGATATGCAACAAACTGAAGTCTTTTATAAAAAGATCTCACTTGGTTTGGCTGCGTACGGACATTCGTTCGATGTCAGTAACTCTAACGCACTCAACAGCTCGAAAGCGTTGCAACTGTACCCCGCATTTAATGCCGGGGACCAGCCTCATGGTGACAGCCAAGACGCACAAGCCGGTACGGACGAGTGCGGCAACTCCACGCCTGTTGGAGGCATCTTCAATTTCTGGGGATTGGTAGACGGCGGTTTTCTCACAACGGCTGGTACCGCAGCAAGTGGTATCGACTATACATTTGACAACTGCAGTCAGACAGTGCGTTTGTGATTTTGAGTACTGGTGACTTCCATCGAGGATCTGACCAGAGTCGGGTCTTCATTTACAGCCTTTTGTGTATAATCCTACCTCCGATGTGATGGTTTCTTTCGATGACGCAACATCATTTGCCGCGAAAGGAGAATTCATCAATAGCATGGGCTTGAAAGGGTTCTCGGTATGGCATATATTGGGTGATTATAATGATATTTTGTTGGATGCTGTCAGTAGTGCGATGGGTATAGAATCGGTATGCACTAGTAGTTCCTCATGATAAACCCTCCCCCCCCACCTTCCCTTGTTTGCACTTATATGTATTTACTAAAACCTGGATTCAGGTGTAAAATAACTTATCCTGAATAAATATAGTCCTAAACTCGAACCAGAACTTCATATTGTAAATGCCTTGTTTACCTTTTACTGACCATGGTCTGATGTGCATGCAACAGCTGTGCAACATTAGTAACTTTAGCGCCTCTTAGCTAGCGCTCACTCCTCTTTCTGTTTCTCCCATCATGCTAAATTCCGATTCTGAAGATGAAGAATACGTACCTGATGAGAAAGCCGATAAATCCTCTACGTCGTCCGACTCCGAACCAGAGGCCAAACGTCCTCGAACAGAACTTCCAGAACCAGAGGACCCCGAAACCCAGCAACGGTAAAGGCTAGTACATTGACCTGACTATCCGGGGTATCTGATGCCCATATCTGTTCTTTCAGCAAACGACAACAGTTATGGAAAGCTTTTAAAGAATCCGTGACATCCGGTAAAGATGCGGTGGATTCCCAGGCGACAAGAGAGAAACAGAATATAGTACGAGTGGAGAAAAGATATATTTTTGCTGGAAAAGAGATAAGGCGAGCTGTGTCGCCTCATACTTCTTGGGTCTTTCTAACATTTCATCAGAGAAGTAGCCGAAGTTCCAGCCGACTCCGATGAAGCAAAAAAATGGCCAAGAATATCTCCGGAACTAACCTCCGCATCAATTTCTTCTCCTGCGAATGACTCTGCCTCTGATACAATCGAAACTACACTCATAACCTCCGCCACTACTTCCGGCGCGTCATCCTCATTTACTCAAACATCTCAAAAGCCTTCTGGTCCCAAACGAGGCCCTCGGAGGTCAAAAATCACATTAGGAGAAATCCCAGGAACCCTGCGATCGGCGCGCCCAACAAAACTTACGACGCTGGAAAAGTCTGCTATGGATTGGCGTTCACATGTATCTGAGCAGGACAACAATGATCTAAAAGATGAGCTCGAAGCAAATCGGAAGCAGGGCGGCGGCGGATATTTAGAGAAGGTCGAGTTTCTGGAAAGGGTTAGCGAACGGAGAGAAAGTCTTTTAGATTCAAGCAAGAGTGGCAAACGGCGGAGGGGATGACTTTGTCCATGTATTTACTTCATAACTCGATAGTAAACTGGTATTTATGTTTGTATCTATGGATAGCATTGAATTGTTTATTATGGGAGCTTCGCATGTAGCCGGAGTCCGGACCCGAAAGTATACTGGTTCCGCGGCTTCTTCCTTGTGGCTATGCACAATCGCAAAGCTGCTTCCGCTACCCAACTTCACAGTCAGAGAGAGTTTTCCAAGATGGCGACTTCCTTCCAATACCCAACCACTTCCTTGAGCAAGGAGCTCACACAACTCATTCCAATCGAAATTTACGAATATATAATCTCTTTCCTAGATCATTCGCCTACTTCGAAGAGCTGCAGTTTAACGTGCAGATCATGGCTTCAAGCGAGTTGGAAACGTCTCTTCGCAGGAACCATTCTGATGGTTCATCGAGAGAATATCGATGACCTCTTGGAGATTGTGGAACGAGATGTTCATTTTGTGACGATCATCCGTTTCGTACGAGGGCTGTACCTCGAACAAGGAGGTTCACTTCGATTACCAACATGGTCGGACTCAGAAGAAAGGGACAAATACAAAGAGGCCTTTCAATTTGATAAATACCTACCTCTTCTTGTCGGGTTCAAATCCGTGCGTATGCTGAAGCTTGGCTGGATTCGTGGGGATACAGGCCCACCTACCGCATTATCTCTCCAGAACAATTTCGGTGTAGGAGTTACTGCATTGGAGCTTAACTCTGTTATCCTGTCTTCCCCTTTACAATTCTTCGAGATATTACACGCCCTTCCTCAACTGACTAGCCTCATGCTGGTTGGATTAAAATTTAATAGCGGGCGACCTAGCGAGGATGCCCGTGAGGCCCCGGGTATGACGCTAGTCGACACTCCCAAGCCTCCACGACTACAGGAGTTGTATTGTAATGTCACAGAGGACATTGCAGATTTTATTTTCTCGTGGTTTGCGTTCCACGGGCCTATTCCAATCGAGACAGTTGCGGTGGGATTATTCAACGGGTCAACCAACAGCAAGGTGTCTCGATTCTTGTTTGAGAGTGGTTCCACAATTGATACTGTGAAGATCTGGGATGCATATTCGCAAGACGGTGCGTTCCGTTTTTGAGCTCATAGATTGGCCCCATGCCCATACAATTCATTTAGATTTTGATTTATCACCTTGCGTAAGGATGCGCACGTTGAGGATGGGATGGATCCATCTTTCTTCCTCTTCCCCTCCTGGCTCGGAAACATTTGTAACTGACGTCCTCAAGACAGTCAGCTCTCCATATCTAGAAGAGATAACAGTGGTATTACAAATTCTGGTGTCAAATTCACCGGGCGTGGAGAGTGACCTGGGTGCCTTTGACTGGAGAGGTTTGATGTCTGTTCTCCAGCAGCCGCATTTTAGAAACCTTCGCAAATTCTGTCTCTCTGTTTCAAGTCATACTAGGGTGGTCAAACAAGCTTTGATGAAGCACATAAACCCTGTGATAGCTTCGGGGAAGTTGCCTTTTAACCCGGATGTATTTCACGTAGTAGCGTGGTCTCGAACCGAGTTTAGAGGTCACTGGTGATTAAATAATGACTGTCCTCGTACTATTAGTAGTTAAGTACTACATAGAAATGAGGTCCATGACATCATATTGAGCGCAATATATAAGAAGGTTGGTTGAGCGTCGTCTTCCTACCACACTCCCCAATCGCAGCACTGAACATCAAAAAAAATAATCCCAAAGTTCGAACAAAATGACCATCGCATTAGTCGTTGGCGCTTCTCGTGGGCTCGGATTAGAGCTTGCAAAGATATTGCATGACAGGAACTTCCAAGTCTTCGCCACTTCTAGATCGCCTGCTGCCCATATTCGCAAAGAGTTGGGACCTGATTTCCCCCAAGATATCAACATCATCCCAAACATTGACCTGACACAAAGAAATGCTGGAGAGCGAATCGTGAGTTATCTCAAAGGAGATCTGGGACTCGGTGTCGGCCTGGAAGAGACGAGAAAGCTAGACTTGGTCATAATGAATGCGGGAGTGTTCAAAGCAGATGTAAGCCCTTATTGGTAAGTGTTACATATGCAGCTTGTGCTGAGTTGGTAGACTCTGGAAAATCCAAACTGGGAAGACCTTCTCGAAATGCACAAAGTAGTGTCTATTGCTCCGCTAATGGTCGCAAGTAATTTGTGTGTTAAGCTATTCTGTCGGAAAAGGGCCGACTGATGTTTCCTTGCTCACAGATACAACTCTTCCCTTTTCGCTACCCCCTCAAAGTTCGTTATCATCACCTCCGAAGGCGGATCCATCGCACTCAGGACTAGACAAGAAGGAGGCGGCAACTACGGACACCATTCGAGTAAGGCCGCAGCGAACATGGTCGGGAAGCTCTTATCGAACGACCTATACGATAAGCAGGTCACGGTTGGCTTGATTCATGTGAGTGCTTACAACTATCCACGGAATAGGTTTGATCATGTCGGAGTTAGCCGGGATTCATGAAGACTGATATGACGAAAGGTGTAGGATACGACGAGTTCTATGACTCTGGTGGAGGTAAGATAGATGCCTTTTCATGAATCGGCGACTGGTGCGCATAATGATTTTCGTACGCAGCTGTAGAACCGTCTGAAGCGGCCGAAACAACAGTTGAATTCATAATGAAAAAGCTATCGCACGATTTGTCGGGAACATTCTATGCTCCCAGAGGTCCAAGGTGAGCGTCGTCAACTTTATGAATACGACTTGGCCGACGTGTCTACAGAGATATTGGACAAGCAGAGCGCGTTTTGATTCCGGTTATGGGGAAGGAATTACCTACGCCGTTGCCTTTGCCGTGGTGATGCAAGTCAAAAGAAGATTACATGTATATAGCAGCAGTAAAGGAATCAGGATACGATACACACCTTATTTTACGACTCGGCAAGGGATTGCAACTCGAGTCGTGTTTTGAGACTGAGATTCTAAGCTACGAACGAAGGACGTGGAATCAATTATGTACAATTTGAATACTTACAATTTAATATGTAGTGGTCGCGACTCGCTACATGATTGAGCGTGCATCTCCAGTGCATACACAACTCATCGCCTATTACCACTCTCGATAGCCTCCCCGTTTTTGCAAGCAATGATCTTTATCTTCGGTGCATTGACGAGTTCGTTGCTTTCCATTTTGAAGGAGGCATCCTTAACGATAAACGTCCATACGTCGTCACAGAGACGATATGTGTGTAAATGACCCTAGATGGCGAGACCGGTGAAAAGAGAGATGTAAATGGAAAGATGAGAGAATGACCAAGTTGCATTTTATAAGCACACACCTTTAAAGTAGTTTTATTCTTGACCTGTTTGACCATAGTGTCCGCCAAGGACTTGTCAAACTGTTGAATGTCATACAAGCATTCATTGAGACTCCAATAGTGCCAAAGGGTATAGTTACCTGTTGTAGAACTTTCATCGCTAATTGGGGGGTAATCGAGCCACTAGTGATGAGCTCGTCCAGCGAGTCCGTCAAGGCCATTCCAATGCTGTTAGTGAAGTATATATGACCAGAGCTGGGCAAATGAAACAAAAAAGCGTACGAGGATCCACGATAAAACTCGTAATAAGCAGACGCCATGATGGGGCTCGGAGAAGATGTATGGGGTGAGTCACACTATGTGACTCACGGACCTGCTCCGGACTTTCGTTCTTCGTTGACCTTGTCGATGTAATCGCCAGTCTCATCTTTACTTCTGCTTCGATTCCTATCTTGCTTTTTGCTTGCATCTTTCATCCTTATCTTTATTATATTTTAATCCTTCACTTGTGATTTCACCATGGTAATTCTCTATTTCGAAAATCTTTTTATCCACTGATTTCTCATCTGTTCCTCAGCCAACCTGTACTGATTGTGGAGGGACTGTTATCGAGTATGATGCTGCTGCTGGGAATGGCTTTTGTGTGCGATGCGGAACCGTGGTTGAAGAAAACACTATTGTCAACGAGGTCGCTTTCGGAGAGACCTCATCGGGAGCTGCTATGGTCCAAGGATCATATGTAGCCCAGGGTTCCAGTGTGTATATCGCCATTGAAGTTTTAACTCTCTTTGATTGACATATCTGCAGGTCACGCAAGGATGAATGGACCGTTTGGCAACAGAGGAAGTAATGAATCAAGAGAACAGACTATTGCTAATGGTATATTTGTACCCTGTATTATTTTATTAAGCTCTTATGCGTTTGATAGCTACGAGGAAAATCCAAAACATAGCCGGAGTCTTGCGTTTATCGGAACAAGTATGCTTAGCTGCAACACGGCTCTATACTCTTGCAGTCGAACATAAATTTACTAAAGGCCGCAAGAGCATGAACGTCGTCGCCGTCTGTCTTTACGTTTCCTGTCGGCAAAAGGAGACCAGGAATTACATGCTCATTGATTTTTCGGATATCCTTCAGGTGCGAACCCTCCTTTGATACCTTGCGATCATATAGTTTACTCCAGTTTTAGGTAAATGTTTTCGAGCTCGGACACACCTACCTTCAACTCGTGCAAACTCTTAATCTTCGCCTCCCTCTGGTCGATCCATCGCACTACATCTCCCGTTTCGCTGCCTTACTTGAGTTCGGTGAAGAAACTCACCGTGTCGCAACAGATGCCATTCGACTTGTGCAGCGGTTTGACCGAGATTGGATGACTCGTGGTCGACGTCCCGCCGGAATATGTGGCGCTGCCCTTCTCCTTGCCGCACGTATGAATAATTTCCGGCGATCGGTCGAGGAGATCGTTCAAGTGGTCAAGATAGCAGACAGCACACTCAAGAAGCGGCTTGATGAATTCAAAAACACGCCCAGTGGTGCGTTAACATTGGCAGACTTTCGGACTGTCTGGTTGGAGGATGAGATGGACCCACCTGCATATACAAAAGGGAAGGAGAAGGAGGAAGCGGAAAGACTAGCAGCGGAGCAGGGAGTACTAGAGATCGAGCCAACGTCTAAAAATAAAAGGCAAAAGAAGGACAAAGAGAAGAAGAAGAAGAAGAGAAAACGTAAACGTAAACGTGGAGATGGTGACGACGAAGAGGCAACGGATGAAGATGTCGATGCGGAAGGGGACTCAGATGGCGAGCCTATCGCTCCCATGCCACCAAATTTGCGACAACCCATCGACCTATCACTGATGAATGAAGGGATACTAGCTGGTGTGCAAAATTTGGAAGAGCCCCCCCTATTTCTTCCTGAACTCACTATGGATCAAACCCCCGATCCAATTATCGACCCTGCGCTACTGTCGCAACCTGTCCCCTCATCCTCCCTCTCAAACTTTCCCTCCTCCGTTGATTCACACTGGCCACCACAATCCTCGTCCTCGATTGATCCCACGTTGATGGCACCTCCTATGGATCCTTTTGAAGTAGCTGTCTCTTCTGCACTGGCAGAAGAAGTTTCGGCATTCCTTGACAATAATCAAGGGAGCTTGCTCTCGAATGCTCTTGATGACGCAGAGCAACAGCGCCTGGCGCAAATAAATTCCAACGTTGATGATCAGTTGCTAGGGCTAGATGAGGATGAGCTGAACAGGTTCTTGTTAACAGACGAAGAGGTCAAAATTAAGGAGAGGGTCTGGGTTGAGTTGAACAAAGATTATTTGGAGGCACTTGCAGGTTAGTAGTATCTCCATCTTCATTCGAGAGGTGAACTATTTTGCTGAACGGTTTGTTTCACGTATCATTCAACAGCTAAAGGTGACCAATCTTCTTCGAAAGAATTGAAGGCCCGCAAAGTTCGTGTCCCGCCCATGGAACTTCTTCAATTCTTCAATTTGATTTGTTTCGTAGCGCCGGAAAACACACAATAACAAACCGCGTGATACATCCACCCCTCATGGTGCAACACCTGCAGAATCTGTGCGGAACCTGATCCAGAAAAATCCAAGATACAGCAAAAGGATCAATTATGATGCATTGAAGGACCTCTTCGTCGACTCCAATGTCCATTCACCCGATCATGGTCCTGATTTTGGACCTGCCGGTGTGGGCGAGGCTTCAATGGACTTTGACGACGTCGGTCTGTATACATTGGATGATAAAGACGACAAGGACGATGCAGATCTCATTGTTATCGAGGAAGATGGAATATTAGGCGTGTCCCCGGCTCATCCACGCGAGGAACATGATGGAGACGGAGAGGCAGAGGTGGGAGGATGGGAGGATGTATATGAACAAGAAGTATAACATTATAGTCAAAGACCTTCTCTGACTTCGGAGAATAGTATTATGGTCTGAAGTATATCGTAGGCATATGTACTTGTCTTCGCTCGAAATCTGATTACATGTAAGTCGTTAATCAGTGCCTCTTTCACCTAACCCCAAGCCCTGATTCTGACGACGGGAACAAGTAAAGGATGTTCCTCCCAAATACGCTTCTTTATGACTCTTCTGACAATTTCGACATGTTTGGAGGAAGCAAAGAATCTGAACCTGAATAGACTGTTGAACAAGGGTTGTTCGATAACGGAGGCTAACCCATCCCAGTCCAACTGTTCGTACTCTTCCTGTGTCATGTGCCCATTGGGTCGTAGCCAAATATTTACTTCCTTAAGTTGTTTGGCAGAGATGGTTTGCAATATTTTGATCAAGGGGATAAAACACTCTGTTGGAGGCACTCCCAAATTGAGAGCATTAGACCTGGATCTGAACTGCACGCTGATTCCCAATGTAGACAGCATTACACAAGGAGACAAAGTGAAATCTAACAAAAGCTGAGATCCCATTCCAGTTTAGTCAAAACTTCAAAAACATACCGTCTGGTAAATTTATGTCGGCACTACCAATCGTAAGTTCTTCAACAGAGGGGCCAACGTCGCGAAGGTATTTTGATACAGCAGCGTTCGACAACTCATGGATTAAAGTCACATTGAGCTTTCGGATGGACACAGCGCCACGAAGCGTGAGCCATGAAAAGAGAAAGATCGTTTCGTCTTGGGGTAAATTGCAAACCAGCTCGGTCAAAGTCGTAGGTACAGGCGGAGTATGTGGTGGCAATAACGTATGCAACGAGTCGTGGGTGCATTGCACTTCACTTAGGCTATCAATCGCCACACCGCCTAAAACTAAACCCGAGAGCGAAGGAAAGGAGCTCAGAATGTCGAGGAATTGTTCCGCTGAAGCCAAAACGACGGAATGGATCTCAAGGACAGAGACTCCTGCAAAATTATGTCGAAGGGCGGCAATAGTGGGAGGACCTATATCCCGACGAATTCCTCCGAGTCTGAGACTCTTCACAGACACAAGGCCAACAAGACGCTGGAGATAATCGTCAAATTGAAATGTTTTGGGATTCCGTGGGCCAGTGGATCGGTAGAGAAGCCAAGATTCGCCTTGTTCGATATGGAGAGAGCGAATGAAACGAATGATGGTGACAGACAGACAGTCTAGTTCAATAAATTCCAAGAAAGACTCGAAGTTGGTGCGGTCTACGACAATTCTACGCTGAGAGAAGAGATTCCTCCAGCTCGCCCGCAGCCATGCTCTGCAAGTTAGGCTACAATTCTTCAAAGTAGATGTGCTGTCCACGTGAGATATGATATATTCGTGAATCTCGATAGGAATAGAATCTGACAGTTTTTGGGAGAGCGGCTTCACATCCATAGAATAGCGACTTGACATTTCTGCTTTTGGCCACTAGTGATTGGTCGTTCAGTGTTGGAGTAGGTCTGGAGTCTAGACAAGAAGTCAGGCGCCCAGAAGCGGAAGCAATGCGGATCGTCTGTGCCCGAGCCGGCGGCAAATGATGAAGAGTGATTGCAGATCTTTGCAGATTCTCAGGCGCGTTATGTGTTATCTCTTCGTGCTCTCTCCTTTACAGCTATTTACCCACCATGACGATCGATGAAACTGCATCTCTGCTTTCTGTTGAGACGAGCAGTAATAATGACGGGTGTAGAGCACTTTCTAACTACGGTACCATTCCTCACACAGAGCAGGATGAGGATCATATCGCAACTTCCCAGAGGTCTTTGCTTGCTATCGTATGTATCTTTTTGAGGGTGTGGGGCCAGAAACTCGTTTCTTATTAACCGACTTCTAGGTTCTTCCAATGGCACTCGGTATACGCGTCTTGGGCTCTTCAACGAGCACGTATTCACATCCTGGCCATTGGTATTTGTAGGGATATTTCTGGTAGCAATGGATTCAACGATCGTCGTGGCTTGTGAGTCTCTGCAACACTCTTTCTGCTCGATAAGCTCAATATGTCTGCCAGCATACGCCTCTATTGGCAATGAACTGAAGCAGCTATCGAAAGTCAGCTGGATCGCCACTGGTTATATGCTCACTCTCACCAGCTTCCAGTGCGTTCTGTTTGAGTTTTTTGGCAAAGCCTTTGATCTTTGAAACGTTGTAGACCTCTTTATGGAAAACTCAGCGATATTTTTGGTCGTAAAAGCTGTCTGCTTCTGGCTTATATCATATTTGCTTTGGGTTCCTTACTCTGTGGACTTTCTCGAACCATGGACCAGTTGATTTGGGCACGAGCTTTGGCTGGAATGTGCGTCACGAACTACCTCCCGTCATTGTTCTTATCTGGCTGATGGTTCTCATGAATCAGTGGGGGTGGTGGAATGTCCACGTGAGTCGACGACCGTCTGGCTAATGGAGGCAACATCTACTTAAAATCGGCGCAGGGTGGTAAGCATCATTTTGTCCGATATTGTTCCCTTGCGCTCCAGAGGAGTTTGGCAAGGTATGCCATACTCTCTGGATGTTACATTGCGTATCTAACTCCATTCAGGTGTTATCAACATTGTCTTTGCGTCAGGCTCATCTGTAGGAGCACCCTTAGGAGGGTTTCTTGCTGATACTATCGGTTGGCGATGGTATTCTTATTTTTATTGTATAAATTATTCCTACCCACGTTTTCACAGGGCATTCTTGATTCAATTTCCCGCAGTGATATTGGCGGTTATATCTGTCTCTCTTGCTCTGAACCTTCCAGCTATTGAGAAAACAGACTTTAGAGCAAAGATCAAGCGCGTCGATTTCGCGGGCGCAGCTTCTCTTGTCACTTGCATATTTTTCCTCCTATTCGGTCTAGACAACGGAGGGAATGTATCATGGACCGATAGAGCGACAGTGGGATCCCTGCTCGCGTCCACCGTCTTGTTCATTCTTTTTGGCGCTATTGAAATGGAATGGGCAAAGGAGCCTTTCGCCCCCAAACGAATTGTCCTCAACAGATCGTTGATCGCAAGCTACCTTGTCAATTTCTTCAGTATCGCCTCCAATCTCTCTATGCTCTTTCACGTTTCCTTGTATCTTCAGGCTGTAGAGGGGTTGTCTCCCTCACGAGTCGGATTTTGGCTCGTACCTGGAATAATCGGCGGTGTCACCGGAAGTCTTGGGTCTGGGTTGATAATGAAGGCAACAGGAAAGTATTACTGGTTAACTGTGTTGGAGTATATTCTTTTGGTTGGCGGGTCCATCACAACAGTGCTAAGTGCCGGAGTCGCGATACATTCTGCCATCGTTATCTCAATTGGTAATTACCTCTGTCAATCGATTAAAATTTCAGTGTCCGAACCGCTTTTCCTTCTAGGGCTTGTTGTTTCTGGCCTCGGGAATGGTGCGTTGAGCTTCGAAGCTCTGTACTCTATTTTTGAACTGCTTGGAAAGGTGGAGGAATAACAACTAGCCTAATCTCTTTAATATCGAATGCCGGTCAGAAAGATCAGGCGATAGCCACTGCTGGTGCGTTCATGAAATCCCTGTTAATGAAGCGTGTTAACTCAATTGTCCCAAGTTTCTTACCTTTTTCGCTCCTTGGGATCTGTGGTGGGGCTTTCCGTTGGTAGCACCATTCTTCAAGACGTTCTTCGCTCAATCCTGCAGCAACGGCTTACCGGACAAGATATCAACGAAGTATGTTATTCTCGTACTAGAAGTCATTCCCCAATGACAAGATACTCCTTTAGATCGTGAGACGTGTACGAGAGTCGCTTGACTATCTCAATGAGCTCGATCAGAGCACGAGAACGATCGTTCTTGGTGCGTACGAGGACGCAATACAAAAAACAATGTGGTTCAGCTTCTCTATGGGTGTCTGTGCTTTTGTGGCCTCCTTATTTATTAACGAGGTGCCCTTGAACAGGCGGTGATATTATTGAACTTCTTACGACGTATTGATATCACGGATTGTATCGAATAGCCCAAAATTTACATTTGCGAGTTAAGGTCAAAGAAAATCAGATTAAGATGCGGTTGCGGGATCTGTGCTAGGTACAGTCAATGGCGAGTCCTCATAGGCCTCATCAGTCAGATCTGGCTTGAGATTAAGATTTGGAAAGAAAAAAGTTTTTATCTCAGTATTTAAGCTCAGCGACGTTCCCTGGGCGCAATAAATCCAATTGGTCTGAGAAGGTCGAGTGAAAGTGCTTTGCATAATTCTTTGGACTCCTCACCTGTCTATTCCTTAGTCACGTGGGACAGAGGAAAGAAAAAAATCGTTCCCTCTTGGGAAGTCTGGATTGGACGAGGGTCTACCGTCCACTCGAGGATAAGTATAGTCGAATAACTAGCCTAAGGGCGATACGAAAGCGAAAGACAGGGATTATTGAAGTGTATTTCAAAGGCGTCCCGGCATTTTGATGCCGCTGGGGTGCCGCTAACACTTACCTGTTCATGCATTTCACTAAGCCCTCCTGGGTCGCTCATATCGACACGTCCGCAAAAGCTGATTCCACGAAGAGACTCTCCATATTCTCTGTGCACGTTCATCCAGACGGGTCAAGGATTGCCACAGGCGGACTAGACGCTAAAGTCCGAATATGGAGCACAAAACCCATTCTGAATCCTGCTTCAGAAAAGAGCAATCGGCCACCCAAGTCTTTGTGCACACTGACAATGCATACAGGCCCCGTGCTCACTGTCCGCTGGGCTCATTCTGGTCGGTGGCTTGCAAGTGGAAGTGACGATGAGATTGTGATGATTTGGGACTTGGATCCGTGAGTTTCCAGACTACTTGTGGAAAAGGAAATGGCTAACTATCAACTCAGTAACGCGAGAGGCAAGGCCTGGGGCTCAGATGAAGTCAACGTTGAAGGATGGAAACCTATGAAACGTTTGCCGGGCCATGAAAGTGGTGTGTATATCGGTGTAGTTGGCGTCTTTGGCAGTCTCGAAATTGTTCTCACTAGATGTCACGGACGTTGCATGGGCTCCAGAAGATAGGTATCTTGCCTCCGTTGGTCTGGATTCCAAAGTTCTGATTTGGTGCGGATACACTTTAGGTGCGCATTATTTCAGATTTCTGCACAATGTATCCATGACCGCTTTACAGAGCGTCTGCATAAGCTCGATCAACACCAAGGATTCGTCAAGGGCGTATGTTGGGATCCAGTTGGGGAATTTCTTGCTACTCAGTCTGATGACAGGTCTGTCAAAATTTGGCGCACTAGCGATTGGTCCCTAGAAGCAGAGGTCAAAAAACCCTTCGAAGATTCCCCTGGTAGCACCTTCTTCCGACGACTCAGGTATTGCTCTAATTCACCGTTGTCGTTGTCATCTTAACATTTGAATTTTCAGCTGGTCTCCAGATGGTGCACATATCACTGCCTCGAATGCCACGAACAACAAGGGTTTTGTCTTCATCGCTGCTGTCATTACTCGCGGGACATGGACATCAGATATTAGTCTGGTTGGACACGAGAATACAGTTGAAGTCGCAGTATGTTCCATTCTCTCAACCGTTTATTCTCCAATATTCACCATTGCAGGCATATAATCCTCATATCTTCTTAAGAAACCCCTCAGCTCCCGTCGCAACCTCAAATATCTGCTCTGTCGTTGCATTGGGTGCAGACGACCGATCTATTTCCGTGTGGCAGACAAAATCTGCCCGACCTCTCATCGTCGCGAAGGAGGTTTTTGATAGGCAGATAATGGATCTGAGCTGGTGAGCTATTGCACGGTTCTCACTGATCTCGTCTCACACTTCCGTTATTTCAGGTCTTGGGATGGTATGACATTGTACGCTGCGTCGTCTGATGGTACCATCGCTGTATTTGACTTCGAACAAGATGAACTGGAAGGAATAGCTCCGCATTCTGTTCAAGAGCAATACCTTTCCAAATTCGGTTTCACCCCGCCTCCACTTCCTGAGGGTTATTCCCACGTAATTGCCTCTTCACACAACGCCACTGTCTCTGAAGTTCGTTCACAGTCGGCGGCATTTGATACTGCGACTATCGGTGGCGAGGTAGTGAACGTATTGGTTGCGAAAAGGAATAACAAGAAGAAACGAGCCGGATTGACGACCATGTCATCCGTACCATCTGCTGGTGCAGGACCTTCGTCTTATAGTAACAAACGAGCTTCCTTCCTTCCTGACTCGGATGCGAAATTGGGCAAGCCTGTGTCACCACTCGTCCGCGAATCATCCTTCCCAGCACCGGATGAGCAACCATTCGATACACATCCGGACTGGCACTCTCATGGCGATGTCAATATGGCACCCAGTGATGCATTCGATAGCGGATCAATGAGGAAGAAAGATGAGGTTTCACGTCCTATGTATAAGACGTTAGGTGGAAACCGTCAGAGGGAAATGGTCCTTGTCAAAGAAATCAACGATTACGTATCCGTTGGTGGTTCACTGGGACTCAGCTTGCCTGTTCCTGCTACTTTGACGCGGATTACTGCGGAGCTCGATGGTACTCATATATTTGAAGGTCTAAATCCCGAAGATGGAGGTGAGTATTCTACCCGGGCCGATATTCATTGTTCTGAGCATTTTCAGGTGCTACCTCGGTGCATTTCTTCAAGGGCAAGCAAACACTTTGGCTGGATTATCTGTCGTCACCGGTCATCGCAGTACATGCCACGCCACATTTTTGTGTTGCCGCCATGTCGGATGGTTCGCTCAATGTGTATTCGCCCTCAGGAAGAAGGTATTTCTAGGTTTGACATGTACGACCGCGTTCGAGACTCAGTCGCTTTTCTCCAAGATTAATGCCAACTTTGAATCTGGGTCTTTCTTGCTCCATTCTGGATGGTTCCAAAAACTGTCTATTGGTTATAACACAAGCCGGTGTTCTGCATTTGTGGTATGAACGGTTAATCTACTCCCCTGACCTCGAATTGACAATCGGGTTTTTTTAGGAATGTCTCAAAGGGTATCGCCTTCTTTCCTCCTGTGTCCGTTGCACCTCTAATATCGTCACCAAACGACACCATTGTCTCTGCCCTCGTGCGACCAAATGGCACCCCAATTGTCAACTGCTCAAATGGAACTGTCTACTCTTATGACGCCGCCCTATTCACTTGGGTCAAGATCAGTGATCGATGGTGGTCGGAAGGTTCAGACGTGTGGCAAGGACGACAAAGGTCCCAGTCACAAGTTGCTAATCGTGGGATAGTTGCCTTTGTTGAGGGGAGCCTCAGTGGTCCGCCCAGCGAGGCCTCTGCAGAGACCCCCCGGCCAGAATGGTGGAATACGGCTTTGACTTTAGGCCATCTGGAAACACGATTGCATGCTGCGAGATTGCTTGATAGCCCCGTTGAATATAAACAGTACCTCACGCTTTATGCAAAGAAGATTGCGGACGAAGGTTTCAGAGCCAAAGCAGAAGAACTTATAAAGGATCTTTCTGGTCCTATATATTGGTGAGTATCCCTTTACACTGTGTACGATATAATGTTCAACTTCAAACAGGCGTCCCGGAGAGGAGAGGGACATGGGCTGGTTACCAACTGTCGTCGGATTGGTCAAACGTGATCTGTTGAAGGACGTTGTCCTTGCTCAATTTGGTGTGTTTTCTTTGACCGAATAAATCCCATTCTCACCTATATGATTGGCCACAGCCAAAAGTAGGACGCTTCAGAAACTGGGGCAGGATTGGCAGGATCTTTTAAAAACGATGGCTTCTGAGGGAATGTAAATTATATGCGCTGTCGGGATTATGTATTAACTTTGCCTGTAAATTTCGCGTTGTACATATGTTACTTGTTAGTATCAAAAACTTGAACGCGTTGCGTAACGCGACGAACACGTGCTTATACGTCATTTACCGTTTGCGACGTTCCACAATCTGACCACCTTCACTCACTCGTACTTACACAAGTACACTCACCTACGATTGACCTGTAACGATTGCCAGGGACAACATGTCGGAAACTGTTATACGAGAAGTACGTCAAACTTCAACATATAACGCACCCCCTGACGCTTGCAAAAACTCCAGGTCGTTAAAGACGTCTGGATTTTCTCTCGGTATTCATTCAGGCCTATCTGTTTCCGGATTGAAGCGGACTGACCCTTCATCTAGTCCTTTTGCACGCTTTGGTATATTTCCAGTTGGTGGAAGGTCTACGGCCGTGAAGATGCGAAACGGCAATCTTTGGGTCCTGGCTTCGACACCGTTGGATACTGAGACCAAGGCAAAATTGGAAGAACTCGGGCCTGTGAAGTCAGTTTCATCTTCCTTCGCGTCACTCTGTTTCTGTAATTTCCTAGGTTTATCATTGGCGCGGATGCTGTTCATCACTTGTTCCTCAGTAAATTGCGGTTTGCTTTTTCCGTGGAGATTTATCGACGAGGAAACAGGTGATTTTAAGAAAGCCTACCCTGAAGCCAAAATTATTGCCCCGAAGGCCGCAATAGAAAGAGTCCAAGATAAGACCTTGAAATTTGACGGTGGTGAGCTCCATCCGCACCGTCTTCTAAATTACATGATGCATTTTATCTGAATCTTTGTGGCAGCATGGGGCTCCGATCCAGAAGATGCTCGATACGGCTTTGAAGAAGATGTAAAGTTATCGGAGCTCTACTATATGCTTATATTGACCAGTTAATGATTTTAGGTCCAGCACTGGTCTGTATGCGCAAAAACCTTTTCTTTTCGTCTTCTGAGTTAGCTTTGCAGTTATTTCTCTGGGTTTAGCAACAAGGACGTTGCGTTCTTTCATCCTGCTTCAAAGACAATGATCCAAGCAGATCTGCTTTTCAATCTTCCTCCGACTGAACAGGTTTGCATTCGGAAAGAAAGTAGCTATATTTGATGCTGACGTGAGCGCCCTCTCCCTCTCTAGTACTCAAAGTCCAAATCCTCGGGACACGTACCACTTGTAGGGAATTTCGGCCCATTTTCTTGGTTCCATTCAAAGTTTGCCTCTGCAATGGGCGAAGATAAGGAGTGAGCATCCTTTTGAGCCAAAGTATTAATATTCATCCAGTCTTCTCAGGGCAATGCAACGACATGTGAAGACCGTCGCCAGTTGGGATTTTGAGAGGATTATACCTTGTCATGGAGTATGTAAGGTACCCTCATCAATGAGAACCCCTACTCACAACGCCATGTTATTTGCCAGGACGTTATCGAAGCTGGAGCTAAGGATGCTTGGAGGGCTGCGTATAAAGCTTACCTGAATTAAGATGCGGCTACAACGGAAGGAAAGTCTTCAACTACCTGTTTTATGTATTGGATGGCTGTATGGAAATCGACACTATTTTATTCTTGGTCAAGATTGTGATGATCTCCTGGCTAAGCCAGATTGCGAACCAAGATCCAGGAGACTTTGTATCCCTCGATTCCAGATAAGTGGGTGACGATGCCTTCATATACATATGTCCTCCTTGGAATATCTGTTCTCTGCCCTTCGAGAATACCTTCTAATCTGAAAATCATTGTCAGATCTCAGCCGGGATCGTCAAAGGATGATGTTGGGCCCACACAATGCCTTGAGGCCCGCGTAATGCTTCCGCTCGCGCGTTCATTTAACTTTGAATGTGTACTCGGTGAATGCTACATACACAGTGTAATATACTACATGTAAGTATGGAAGGTTGTTCGACCAAGAGTTCGGATGGCGAGTCATTTCCTTTTACAGAACAATCTGAAAAACCATTGACAACGTCGTACAGGGTCCTAACGGGAATTTCCAGGCCATCGTACGAAACATACATTTTTCCTCTCTCGTTACGCACGGCCAAAAACAGGGGAAGGCTGAAGGATATATGGCTAGAACCTAGATAAAAAGGCTGGTCAACTTGGCTCCTCTTTTTCTCCACCGATCATGTTTCCCTGTTCTATCTGCAAGAAACATTTTGACACTTTCAGAGCACTCAAAGAGCACGCTCGAACATCTCGCAGTCACCACCCCTGTGGATATTGCGAACGTATATTTCGCAATTCGTACACCCTTGGTCGGGTCAGTACCATTATATTCAATAAAATAACTTGATTGACCTCTACCTCAGCATATTGACGCCAAACACTCTAAGAAGGAGGGGGAGACAAAATCGTATACTTGTCGCCCTTGCAATAGGAGCTTTGCGTTGCAGTCTAGTTTGGTCGAACACTATCGGGGCTCCGAAGCACATCCAACCTGTCCCAAATGCGGTAAAGGGTTTGAGAATCGACGGTCCTTTGATGAGGTTGGCCAACGAGTTATTTGCTTCTCTGGGTGTTGCTAATAGACGCTCCTAGCATCAACAACAGCGGGGTCCTTGCAACATTCAGACAGCTCAAGTTTTTTGTAGCTCATGCGATATGAAAATTCAGAAGGATGATATATTCCAGCATTATTTGGAGTCGCCGAGTCACCCCACCTGTCATCAATGTAGGGTTGGTTTTGTAGATGATTGGGACTTTGAGCAGGTGTGTTTCTAGAACAGCTTTTCAGCGTCATGGCCCTCCATTAAGCTTGCTGTGTTACACGCGAATGTAGCACTGTTTACGCCTTCATGATCTTACCAGGTGCAAGCAGTGTGGACGACAGTATGAAAACGTGGCAGAGCTCCAGCAACATTATCTCACCTCAATAAGACATCCAACGTGTCCAGCATGCGAAATCGGGTTCGAAACTGAGAAAAGGCAGCAGGCGGTAAATCACAGTCGACAATACCTCGTTTACTCCTTTGCTGATGAACGAAAAGCATATCCAAACTATCCATTTCCATTCTGATCCTGTGAATGGAGAGACTGACGTTCAACTTTCGCATGTCTCCCGGGTACCCTCTCCGGTATATATCGTAAGCCGCAGCTGAAGATCGATTACGGCTCCTTTTCTGACTACTCTCGTTGTTTAGAGTCAGCCAAGCTCTCCTTATCGAAGTGTAATCAGCCGCTCTGTACCGATCATCGAAAATGAGGACACGCTTTCAACTTGGACTTCATGTGTAGGTGTGCGTGTATATTACAGACCATGGATCATGATCTCTGTGATAGGTTTTTCCCGATGATGAACCACCTTCCGTGAAGCCTGGTCTTTCAAACTCTGGCCCCTCTGATATCACGACGCCCAAAGCAAAGGTCAGTGTTTTGTGCACAAAATTGGACACCTACCTTGCTCAGTTTATTTCAGCAGTGGTTACGGCACTCTGTTGAAGAAGTCAGTACGAACGAACAGTCTTCATTATTTAGTCCTATCGCTATTAGTGTCACATCGACTGCTAGCGGTAACGGCTCTTCAAAAAACGATAATGTGACTGTAAATATTTTGTTTTCCATGATACTTGAGCGGCGGTTCACATTCTGAATAATTCTAGTCTGATGACCTTCGGCCCTATTGGACTCTCAATCCCCCATCGCCGTGCGTTTTACCATTTCCTTGCCTAATAATTTCTTATCCTCGTTTTTTCACAGACCTGCGGGTGCTCTTTCGTCTCCAGAAGTTCAATCACCTCTTGAACTCGACCCTCTTCCGACGATCTCTCCTACCCCATCTACTCCGATATCACTGTCGACCATTGCGCCCGCCCGCCAGGTCCCTTGGTCCCAGTGGGGCGGCTCTGTCGGGAAGGCGGTATCGCGGCCTTCCCTACCCCGAATTGCAACCAGACTACACAAAGCACCTATTGAATCAGTGAAGTCTTCTATTTCGACGTCACTGGCTCGGGATCTTGTGCTTCTTGGGTTTGATAAGGGAAATAATTCTCTCTTGAACACGCAGGCCCCCGACCTTTCGTCTCCTGCTCTAATGAACGATTTATCGTGGAAATTCAATGCCTCGATGGATCTGAGACCCAATGGCGCACATCCTGAGACTGGTAAGTTAATACATAGATGATCATCCCGCTCTCGAATACTCAGAGATGTTCTGCTGAACAGGAAATGATCAACGGTATTCTGTCCGACCGACTTACCAAAAAGCTGTGACTAGACCGTCTTCCAATTCGTCTTCTACTTCGACTTTGAACTCTGGTCCTTACTCGCGCAGCAGTACAATTGAATCACCTCTCTCCGCCTCGACTGTTGCTGCAGTCTCTCTTCATTGTCGTCTGTGCATGAGGGACCCCTGCATTGATCCTACTGCGACGATGTGTGGACACATTTTCTGTGGAAACTGCATCACAGAATCTGTGATTGTTTCTCCGAGATGCCCAGTATGCGAGCATGCGTTACTGCTCTACTGTTTGTTTAGACTCGATCTTTCACCTTGAGTCACGTCGGTCAGAATTATAGTTGATAAATGCATCTCTTACATATCTTCGAAGTTTCTTGTATACATGAAAATAACATTTACTTGCCATTCTTAAACGTGCAGGCGTATCATCACTCGGGAAGGGCACGGTTGATTTTTCAATTTTGATAATTTGTTGCCGGTTTATTGCCGGTCCGCCGGATATTTGATATCAGCTTTCTCGCACCATACCTTGAGTTTCAATGATTTTATGCATGCAGTAGGAGCATTTTTGTGGCCTTCAAACTCTTAAGTAGATACACTGTCATCTTTTGCCTTCTAGTTACCTCAGGGATGATAAATATCCCCCTTTGAGTATTCATGTCTCCACTCAATTTATCTCAATTTACAATTTTGAAGGAATTCATGCCTCTATCCTCAATTTATGGGGGTCATGCAGTCCTACTTAGGGTGTGATACAGAGTGCCTGTTACTTGGACTCAGAGCTCATATGGTAAACTCCAGCATAAGCATTTCTTCTAAGAAAAACAAGCAAGCTCAAAGAACTTGACTAGCTATTAAGACTAAATAACATCTGCAAAAGCTGGATGTTCACAAGAGCAATGGAGGCACTGTCTAGCTCCCAGCAATTCTTCAGTACTGCTGGGAGGACTTTCCCAGCTGGATAGTGCTGTCAGCTGCTTTCTGTTGAGGGATACTCCATGTGCTCGAGCCCATTCTGTACATACCTGAGACTTCTCCTTGTATGTAAAGTTTTAAGACAGCATTATTACATTATACTATACAGTACCTAGGTAGACAACAATGGAATGCCTCTTGAACACCTCAGTTACTTTACTGAGTTAAACCTTGACACTTTCGAGCTCTTAGCCAACTTGAAGAATACAGATTTTACAGATGAACAGTTCAAAAACACAGAGAGCTATTGTACCAAATACTCTAGCTCATATAAAGAATAGGGTACAGCATCTTTCATTATCAATAGTTGGAATAAATGCATAAAGGGAAATGCATTGAAGGCTGGAGGACACTGTGTCATTCAATGGGCAATGATGCAATGATAGGCCCACCACCACCTAAAGGGAAAGAGGAAGACAAGAAGAAGAGAATGCACAAACAAGTCCAAGAACACAAAACAAAGCTAAGTATCCTTCAATGAAAGAGATACTTGGAATGGAGGAAGGAATTGAGGCCCTCACAGAGTTCCTGGAAGAAAGTGGGGCATTCACTAAAACAGGAAAACAGTGCCCAATCGCTGAAGCACCAACATACACACCACTGGGCATTGGGGAGGAACTTGAAGCCATGTTCCATGGCCCAACCGGGGAAGAAATGACTCCGGAAGCTGATTGGAGGGAGGAGGTCATAGACTCCGACAACTCCGATACCGAGATATAACAAACACAACCTATACCATACCACCACCTACTAGCCGAAACACAAAACCCGAGACCGTTGGTGCGGCAAGCTCACAACTTGCTAGCATGGGTTTTGGCTTTCCTGTTGCAGGAGATGTAACAGGTTAGCTGCCCAAGTCCAGCAAGAGCCAGATAGGCCACAGAGCGGATACGCCTGCAATGTGGACTTGGTTTTCCCTAACGGTTATGTAGAGATATGTAAAGCTCAGTTGAGTAAGAAAGATCAACTGAATTGGTACCTGTAGAGATATGTAAAGCTAGAGTCTGTATAAGTACAGGTACAAATAGGAATATCGATAAGTGAACATACCTCAGTTGAGTAAGAAAGATCAACTGAGGGAATAGCTAATGGAACGAAAATATATATATATCCCGATCGTTGGATCGGGTTTAGTAAGTCGGAACATAGAAAGATAAACGGAAGTATAGATAGGAAGAGAGATACCAGAATAAGTAATATCAAAGCTAGATGTACGGAGTATTCTCCAACACCTCCCCTACTCCGTACAGTAGCCCAACTTTTTCGCAAACTTGTGAACCATGGGTGCATTCAATGCCTTTGTCAAAATGTCGGCCACATTCTCACCAGAACGGATAAGGTTAATCGCAATCTTCCCCTCATCTACTTTCTCCCGGATATGATGATGTTTTGTATCTATATGCTTCACCAGTCCAAGTTTCTTCGAATTCTCGGTAAGGCTTACCGAACCAGTATTATCAGCTGATATCATTACTGGTCCATCTTGCGCGAGGTCCACTTCAGCCAAGAATGAAGACAACCATGTTGCTTGTTCGCTCGCTCTAGCTAAAGCAATATATTCCGCTGCGACCATCGATGTTGCCACAGAACCCTGTCTTTTGGATGACCATGCGATGGGCGCCCCAGCCATGAAGAAAACATAACCCGATGTTGAACGACGGGTATCCAAACAATTCGCGAGATCAGAATCCGAAAAACCTGCGGGTTGTATTCCTTTCCCTAAAGCTCCCTCCCCTACTTCAGGTTTCCGGTATACAATGCAGTAGTGCACAGACCAACGAACATAACCAGCGAGCCATATTAAACTCTCCCAGTGAGCCCGACCAGGATTTGATTGAAACCTCGCTAAGTATCCCGTGGCGAACGCAATGTCAGCGCGAGTGCAGGTCGAACCCCACATGAGAGATCCAAGGAGTTCACGGAACGGCTTCTTCTCCATGAACATACGTTCATCATCCGGTAGAGTTTCTGGTGACTGTGCTAGTTGGATACCTACAGGGAGAGGAGTCTTCTTCGGCTGTACGTCTTGTAGCCCAAAATGCTGAAGCATCCGTGTAAAATATCCTTGTTGTGAAATAGTAATCGCTCGAGTAGATGGGTCTTGAGTTATCGACATTCCCAGTAACATTCCGGACCCTACTTCATCCGATTCCCAACGCTTCCCAAGGTCTCTTATTGCCTCCCGCCTCTCCGGTTCGGAAGAGGCTCCTCCACAAACGTCGTCTCCATAAGTACTCGTTATGACAAATTCACCTCCTCGACGGCATGAGCGTATGCAAGGATCTGCCCTGGAACTTCTGTATCCATCTTCCTTGAAGCCACTCGACAGGGTAGCTTGCCAGTCGTGGCTACCCTGCATGGTCCCGTAGATCGAACGCTGTAGTTTACAAACCAAATTTTTGCATCCCGGCTGGATAAAACCCTCTGGTTGCCTCATATAGACGTCGTGAGTGATCGGACTGTTCAAGAAAGCAGATTTGAAGTCGACTTGGAAGAGTGAAAGACCTAAGCAGGCAATAATAGCGAGTACGATACGCACGGACTCCATCCGCGCTACTCCTCCGTACGTCTTCTCATAATCCAAACCAAAAACTTGTGTAAACCCTTGAGCAACGTAACGAGCTTTCCGTCTAATGATTTCTCCCAATGCACCACGTTTGATAGCAAAAACCCACTTTCCACCCATAAGATTTGCGCCAGGCGGTAGGTCGACCAGTGTCCAGACGTTCTTCGCCATAAGCATTTCATACTCCAATTCCATCGGCTCTCTCCAGAGCTCAGGATGCTTCATGGCTTGCTTGTAGCCAGATGGAATGCTGTCTACCTCAGTACTCATGGCAAATGACCAAGGATCCACACAAATTCGCATGAAAGCTGTTTCGGTCGCCCAATCCCTCCCCTGATCGTTAGCTTCTTTTTCTCTATCTTCGAACTCCTTGGATTCGAGGTATCGAGTACTTGGTATTTTAAGATGTGCCGATCGACGCAGTGGTTGAGGATGAAGAGGAGGAGGTATAAGTGGAAGTTCTGGCAAAGCAGGATTATCAAATTCTGGTACAGCCGCGGGAGGTAAATCTCGAGGTTCGTCGTCATCGGCAGGTGGAAGAAGCTCTGGTGCAATTTCACCGTGCATAGGAACAGGTGGAACGGCAGCTGGAGGGTTTTGAGGTTCTGGCATCGTGTCATCAACATCGAGTTCCTCGACATCAAAACCACGCCAATCCTCAGTGATACCCGATTTATCACCGACGTCGGTATCTCCGAGCCCGCGATTGGTACCCAGACCTCGCGAAAATGTCCTTTTAGCTTGCCCTTCCTCAAATCGGACATCCCTATTTTCTAAAACCACCCGCCATTCCGGAATCCACAAACGGTACCCCCTTCTATCCACATATCCAATCAGTATACCCTTCACCGCCTGCCGTGACAGCTTTCCGTCTTTTCGTTTCTCAGGTAATGTTGCCCAAGCCTGGCAGCCAAAGGGTCGAAGATGAGAGACGTCCTGTCGTTTGCCAGTGAAAACTTCAATAGGAATATCGTCTGGGAAACGGGAGGATGGTACAAAGCTGTCAACATAGCAGTATGTTGCTGCGGCTTCTGCCCAAAAGGAATGGCTTAAACCCGATTCGTCCAGCAGGGTACGTACACCAGAAATAACTGTCCGATTAGCACGTTCAGCCATACCATTAGCCGCCGAGGAGTACGGGGGAATTTTTTCGATTTTAATCCCTCTCTCCGCACAGTAGTTTGCCATCAACATGTTGTCCAATTCCTTCCCTCCGTCGATACGAATACATTTCACCTTCTTGCCTGTTTCCAATTCAGCCTTAAGGCAGTAACGATGGAAGGACTTCAGTGTCGTGCCAGCTTGTTTGTTACTAAGGAAATCGGGAACCTTTACTGTCGAGCGCCCATCCGTAAACAAGATCATCCACGTCGCACCACCCCTGCTCTTTGTTCGAGATTGGCCCCAGAGGTCGATATGTACCCGTTCTAATACCTCTGATTCGTGTACCACTTTCTTGTCGAATGGCCGTCGCGTTGCCTTTCCATAAAGGCAAGATTCACACATGCCCTCCACCTTCTTCAACGTGATTTTTAAACCATCGACAAGGTTCTTGCTTGACATCCGAAGAATACGTGGAATCCCGACGTGTCCCAGACGACGATGCCAGGTGTGTATATCGACTGCCCTCTCGTGCGAACGGGCAGAATTCGCTAATGTATCTTGTTTCTCCAGTACTTCCACTTCGTACATCTTTCCCCCAGCAGTACCACTAGTGCTTTCACTGCCAGTGCCGGTCAACAGGATATTCCCGTCTCTATCAGCTACATTAATCCTTCGCCCACCCCAATCGCCTCGTAGACCCTTGTGATCCAGTGTCATGAGGGAGATAAGGTTATGACTGAATGATGGCGTGTGCTTTACCCCCGTCAATTTCACGATTTTATCCTTTCCTCCTACCCGTGTCCGGAATTCAACTGTTCCTACGCCTTCGATCCGGAAGCTCGATCCAGCAACGGCGGTCAGACCCACTTGATTAACCACTGCCTGGTAAACGATGAAATCATCTCTGTCTACCCAGCAGTGTTCCGAAGCGCCGGAATCAATATACGTTCTGACTGGTTTGTGGCAAGGGAAAAGTTTATTGCTGCTAAAAACAGTACAACCATCGAAGGAGATAGGTTTTCGGAATGATACAGGTAAGTCTCTACTCGAACCCTCGTCTCCCTGACTCATTGTCTGATTCAATATGGATCGACTATTTCTGTTTTGTTGAGAGTCAGGGAGCTTTTGGGTGGAGGTAGAATGAGACGTACGTGCTGAAAGGGTGAAAGTTTCAATGGGAGAGGTTGAATTGGCCATGGTAGGTGGCTCCTGGTTATGCTTCTTGTACCACCAGGCTGGAGCCTTACCCTCACAACCTCCCCCTTTAGCCCAACACTTCTTCAAAGTGTGACCGATTTTGCTAGGGCAAGGAGGGTTGGAACAGATTAAGCGTTCGTGTCGGGTCCCGGTCGTCGCTGCGGTGGTAGATTGGCTTTGGGCGGGCATAGCGGCCATAATCTCCTTTGCTATCAACGCCCGGACCTTGTTCGATTGTTCGATCTCGTTGCTCTCGGATTTACGTTCGAGATAGACTGTATAGAGGTGGATGAACGCTTCGTCGCTACCTTTACCTGGAACGTTCCTAGTCTCGGGTTTCCAGTCAGTGGGAACAGATGCCAGGATGATAATCCGAAACTGGGCATCTGTAAGTGTACCACCTACGTCGGTAAGCTTCTTCTTCAAATTCTTCATCTTCTTCTCATGGTCCTCCATCGTGCAGGAGTCAGGATCGAATTTCTCTGTCCTCAAGGCATGATCTGCTAGGTAGATTAGCTGTTCATCCTTCCGCTCAAACTTTTCTGTCAAATCCTTCCAGATGTTAGCGGCTGATTTGGCAAGATCAATTCCAAGCCCGGTGGCGTCTACGGTGTTAAGGTTTATAGTAGCTGCGACAAAGCGGTCACGCATGTACCACTCCTCGGGATAAGGGGTTGTGCTATAAGCAGGGGTAGCTGTTACTGGTGGGTAGATACTGCCTGCTGCAGATGAATAGAGGGAGGAGGCTGGTTTGACGATGGTGCCGTCGAGATAGCCAGTGTAGCCCCTAAGTTGAGCTGTGAGTTCAACGGCGGCTTTGAACCTGCTCCAGCTGTCCTTTCCGGTGAGTTTACTCTCTTCTGGAAATATCGGAACATTGACTTGATTTGTCGACATACTTGGACGATGGAGATTCAGTAGGTTTGTGAGTTACAATGGAGTGTATTCAGGCTCGGGAAGAGCCCAGTCTCATAATCTGTAGAGATATGTAAAGCTCAGTTGAGTAAGAAAGATCAACTGAATTGGTACCTGTAGAGATATATAAAGCTAGAGTCTGTATAAGTACAGGTACAAATAGGAATATCGATAAGTGAACATACCTCAGTTGAGTAAGAAAGATCAACTGAGGGAATAGCTAATGGAACGAAAATATATATATATCCCGATCGTTGGATCGGGTTTAGTAAGTCGGAACATAGAAAGATAAACGGAAGTATAGATAGGAAGAGAGATACCAGAATAAGTAATATCAAAGCTAGATGTACGGAGTATTCTCCAACAGGTTATTCTCCTTACACGGGCAAAGTGTGAAAACTTTCCTTTTCCTTTATCAGGCCATTTTGCTGGCTGAACACTACTTTATACACTACAAATACATACCGAACAACCCTACGACCCACAGCTCTACCACCACGCAGGGACCCAATCAAGGTGTACCCATATCAGAAGAATGGAGAAAGGCAACAGACGAGGATATTACTTATTTGTTTCCGTGACTCCCCGCGCCTTAGTACCTAGACTTACTTACTTGCGGTTAATGAAGAGTTTAAAAAAAAAAAAAAAAAAAAAAAAAAAAGATGCAATGATAGGCTATCAGTTTCACTGTGCCTTCTCCCAAGTGTGCTACCTGAGGAATTTATCATTCCTGAGGTACTTAGAAGGCAGAAAAATGACAGTGTATTCACTGAAGAGTTTGAAGGCCACAAAAATACTTTTACTGCATGCATAAAAGTGTCGATGGTGAGATATCAAATCCGATGGACCGGCAATAAACCGGCAACAAATTATCAAAATTGAAAAATCAACCGTGCCCTTCCCGAGTGCGTTACATATATTCCGCATAAGCCAGTTCCGAACGATACATTTGTTTGATCATCGTCAATTTTTCCGATTGGCAACGCAGCGAATAACTGAATCGTGTATGACTTTTTCCAGTGCTGATCCTTGCTGATTCTGTTCTTTCAACCCTCCTATGAGCTACAGATAAATCATACAGTTTTATATACAACCAAACGTTGTATTTGAATAGATAACAGTACATTAACCAACAGTCAGATTACGGGCATATGGTGTAGGGGTTATCACGTTCGCTTTGCATTATAGCTGCGAAAGGTCTCCGGTTCAAATCCGGATTTGTCCATTTGTTTTGCGCGTCGTAGCAACCTCTTTCTTCTTCCTTCCTGAATTCTACACAGTTCCTCTCTTCGAGCTCCCTATGTGCAGAGCCCTTTTATAAGAGGCAGTCGGTATTCTTCGCTTCAGGACAACGTCAACGTCAATATCGGAAAACCATGAGCAGTTCTGGTTTCCGGTAGGAGTAAAACCGAAAGCAGTCACTCTGTACTTGTAGCTGCTTTTTACCCATCTGACTATTTGAACAGTTTCTACGCTGGGATGGTGTCCACTGTCAAGAAATGATTCATTCAATATGCATTCACACATGCTTGTCGACGTCAAGTTCTGCATGCGCAGATGACTCCAGGCCGGATTTGGTGAAACGCGCGATATTTGTTTGGAAGAACTGGAATGTCCTCACGGTCTTCCATCCTCAAAAATCCTGTTGAGGCCAGGTTGTATATAGACAGGACGGTGAATGTACGAGGATGGAAGGTTGTGTGGTCTCTCAAAAAGTTTCTATAGGTTGTTGCTGCTGCTGCACCTTCCAGACCCCTGTGCTATGTTGCTATATCCTGGAACACTCGAATATAATTTTGTTCATGTTTAGATTGACCAATGTGTATTGAAACGGGACGAATAGGACCCAAGACTCCTCAAGACTCATCATCCTACCTCGTTTCAATGTCGACTATGTACTGCTGTCTCCATCTGTGGCTCGATAGGCCGTTACATATTTTATTCCGCCATCGAGTGGCCTTGTCTTTGATGCCTTGATTTTCCGCGCGCGGCTCTGCAATTTTCTTCATGATACCTATCGCCCTCGTGCTATCTTTTGCTACGATTTCCTCTCTTTGATCACACCTGACCTGAACATTCTTCGAGATCATAGGGTTAAATCTGAGAATGGCAAAGGAGATAGAGTGCACAAAGGTGCACAGTTACACCTGCTGCTAATATACTTATCAGATTTTGCCTATCAGCCGTCGAGGTTGGAGTGTGACCTCAGATCGCTACCAAAGCGTCTAAATTCCATGATCCAGGGATAATGGAGGTAATAACGATGAAGCCTCACGAAATCAAGGCAAAGAGGAACGGGTGCCACCTGAAAATTAGCCACATCTAGCCACATACCTGAGAGAAAGTGCTTATATGTAGGGAGATCACGATATTGCTTAATGATGCTTTCAACCGTTCAACCAACGTCCTTAACAAAACCGAGCTGTTGGTTGATTATTGATCATGAGGAGTCATGAGGCATATTCAGGTAAACTGTTGTGAACGAAGAAGCTAAGATCGGGATTCCGGCCGCGTGATTCGGAAAGCACGCCCAGCGCCCAAATATGTACAGTTCACGAAAAATAGCGAAAAATCTTCTTGTCTTCAACCTCCTCAACTAAGTACCAGTATTGGGCTTTCAACTTACATAAAATCCAATCAAATATTCATGAAAACATCTCTGCTCCGCTAACATCACTCTTTTATATGTATATGTATATATCCATACATATATCGCTCTCTTACATCTTTACTCAAGCCTGAGGCTTTTAACCCTCCGATGGGCATCAAATCGCTCACAAGCTTTTCCGGCCTGCAAGCCATCAGTATCAATATGTATGAGATCAAGCACTGCTTAACTACGGCTGCTACACTACTACAATAAAAAGCATCGGTTTTCCGTAAGTATCGACACATCCCAAAATTCCTGTCGTCGCTGGTCGATCACAACTTTCGAATTTCCACGTCTTTTACTGCTGTTTACTCCACCGAAAACGCCACCTCTTTGACAACACAATCCTTTGTTCCGAGTAACATCGATATCTCCCATCCTGTTTTCTCCGTCGCGATCTGTTTTTGGCTGTCATGTTCAAAGGCCATATTGTCTTTATCCTTCTTGTCTTCCTCTCAGTTGCATCAGCAGCACCTGCTAAAGTAAGTGTTGCTTCCGAGCACTCATTTATACTGCATCTACTCATCATCAATAATCAATAGGGCTCCTCCGATGACCCCTCCTCCTCTGGGAAACCCGATCTAAATTCTGGGGGATCCGCAGTACGTGGTTAAGCTCAGTGCCAAACCGCATCTCTCAAGTATCTTCATCACACAGAATCCCAAAAAAGACTCAAAGCCAGCGAAATTCATCCCAACACACCATACTTGGTCATTTGAGAATGATCCTCAACCGGCTGTTGTTGAAAATGGCAAGAGCAAATTTAAAATATCCAGTAGTGTCAAGGATGCTCTTACATTGAAATGGAGGAACTTGTAAAGAAGTTACGCTCGTCGCTACTATTGTGTTTCGTTACTTGATGCCTGGTTTAGCATTTTGTTTGATCTTCTCACTCCCTATGCCCGCTCATTTTGTACCTATGTTCGATATATCAACCACTTATCTTGACTAATTACACTCTAGTACTCTGTGCTAGTACCGAAAATCTCCCTCCTTGGACAAGAGCATGGGCGCTCTTCCAGGCAATCTTTAGCGCTTCTTCATCATGTGAAGTGAAAAAGCTGTATATGAAGTTGAACGACTCACTTCATCATAACTCTTGGTTGGTTCGTCACTCAACCCATTCTACTCTCGGATACTCTTGTGGCATTGCTCCACTGTAACCTTATGCAATTGTGATCTTGGAAGATATGAACCGTCGAATTCCATACTGGTGAGCCTGCAGTACTGCTTGTGAGAATACACCACAAGCATGACGCTTCCTTTTTCGTTTTCCTCAGGGCACGGGTGTTTACAAGACGAGATTTAACACCTGAAGAACCGCTGGGACGGCTTCTCTCCGCAGATCTTCAACGTATACATTCAGTAGACCAGGCCATTCGATATCTGCGTGTTTCGCCACCCTCAGAAAGTTCTAATGTATTATCCCTGACGTCGAAGAATACATGCTCTGCCCTTTCATTTCTCGTCAACGAGATGCACGCCCCTTCGAGTGCTATCAAAAGCCAAGCCGTTCAGGTGATCAGGGACAACTGGTCAGACATTTTTCGTTGGATCGAACATCTGGCAGCAAAGTTCGTTTTCAACAACAGATTCACTGATTATGACCGCCGTGATTTGCTGGCCTTAGCACTTCCCATCATCCTTCATGTTCCACTCGGCGGTGATGACCGACGCCAATTCCTTGAGCAAACAAATGAAGCACCGACTCTTTTTTCCCTCCTATGCAGTTTATGGTTTCATGATATGAACCATTCGAAAGTCACGTATAGTCCCAGTCAACAGGCTATGCTGGTATTCTCGGGCATCCTGAAACAGAGTCCCGAAGCTCTTGAGTTTCGTGTTTTCCAAGCCCTTGCCGATAACCGCGATGTTCTATCCGCAACCTGTGTTTCATTCTTTTCGAAAGAAACATGGAACTTGCGATCTAGGGTTGCTACAGATTCCGTTAACCTTCCGATCTGTGCTCAGTATATTTTGTGCGCCACTGCTGCTTCTGGTCCTATCAGACATGCCTTGAATGCTCGGAATTTAGTGCGCGTGATTACCACATCTCGAACTCATCGAAATTAGTCACACTACCAGGACTTACGCCCCGTATCGTCAAGGACAGTTTGTTGCAAAGTTGCAATAACTGCCTTGGTCTTTTGATTTGGAATGGCTACTTAGAGGGACAACGCTGGGTAGTTTCCATGCTTCGCGGCGGCATACTACTCTCGCTGCTGCAAATGCCCAAACTCTTCCCTGATGCTAAAGCCGGCACTATCACAGAAACTCAGGACTATTCAAGGGTTTTGATAATTAAAATATTAACGCTGTATCTGGTTTACCCACAGGTCCTACATTGTTTTCAGAGATCTCTTCGCTCCATAGATGGTCGTGAAATTCCAGCATACTTGCAGGATGAGGATACGTGGGGGCGGCTTCTTCAGCAGAATTCCCAGCTTTCAGCACAATGGAAAATTTATAAAGTCGTCGAGCCTCCCGTTTGTTGTTATAGTATCGTCAGCACTGCATCCTTATTTTTCCAGATTCGGAACTGATTTTCATGTCGTAGTGCCCGAGAAAGTCTAACAATTTCAACTACAGTTCGGATGAGGTTGCTAACAAACAACTACTTTGCTCTTGTTGTAAGTTCAATGCCTACTGCTCCAGACAGTGCCAAAAGGGCGATTGGGAAGTTCATCGTACCCAGTGTAACTATCTTCAGCTTCAATTTCGCGGTATGTCTTTCCAAGTCTTCTCCAGTTCACAGTCACGTTCATCATGAACCTTCGAGTTGGTATATTACTTACATTTCATTTAGAGGGACATGCATGGAGACCATCCAAAATTGACATCTCCTTTATCAAGACTTTATTACGGCTGGAAATGGAAAGTTTTTGCAGACAATTTGCAGAACAATGGATTGCAAAAGGAAGACAGATTGAGGAGCTCCCCCTGTCCAAGCAAGAGGACCCGATGATGAGACGATTCATCATTGTCGATCATCGTACCTACCCAGCAGTAGCATCGGTGGAATTTCTAGGAGATATAGATTTGGAGAAAATCAGTCTGCCAGTGCATTCTCCTGATACTCAAATCCCGAATCCAAACCTAGTGGACAATTGGGCAACAAGGTCTAAAGACACACCTGCTTCGATGGTACTATTTCTCTGTTTTCTTCCCGTGTGCCGAAGTGATCCATTGTATTTATATCTGGTGACTGCTTTGGATGGGTTGACCGAAGATTTTATACAGAGCAAAATACTTGCAGTGGATTAATCATCATTATTTTACTTTTCTATCTCTGGTCCGAAAACCGGAAAAGTCCGAACAAACAGCAAGCCTGACTCTTGGCTTTTAACTTCATCCCATTTTCCAATTCTAAAATCCACTGAAATGCCGCTCGCTCACACTGCGACTTTCAATGAGTAATTCAAAATTCAATTTGTAACCCGCAGGATGCATTACATGACCACCATGATTCCAATGCGCTGTCTGACGCCATTCGAGGTCGTCTGTGTCAAGGTAAACGCAGCTTCAACTCACTCCGGTTGCGCCATTCTGTGGGTAAACCTCCTCATATTTCAAGAGAACAGTGTGTTCAGGTGCACATTCAAAAGCCCATACTATCCTTTCCTTAGGTTCTATTCCCCACGATATCTTGACAGTCCTCTGTTGACGAAGTTTGTCAGATTATGGTGTGCTCAAACGCACGTATTATTTAAACAAATTCATTTGCTGCGAACCCCGGTCGAAGACCATACACTTCCTATACCGGTGCTCTCGAAAGCGCGAGCTTACAAGCCACGGCATGTCGTTCTCAGATGCTGGATCTATAAAGAAACTCCATGAGGTGGACACGGTGCTCGCTGATGAACTTACTGTCAGCGACGAGCTGCTGAAGACCATCGACCTCGCAGAAGAAGATAGTCCATTCAAGCTTTCTTCCTGGGTTTTTTCTCGCTGGTCCAGTAAACCTCAACTCAATGAAAACTGCATTGCTACTCGCCGGTCCGTTTATGACAACCCCGAGATGGCACAGCTGTACTGGCCCAAACAAGAATATGAGAACCTCCACAGGTTTGACCCAACTGCCAGATGGACCTATAGAGAAGAAAGAGTATGACATTCGTTATTATGACCATGACCCTTAGCTAATGGACAACCTACTAGTCCCTAGTTCGCAAGATCGATTGGAAAATAATGGCCTGGGCTGCTCTTAGTTTTTCTGCTTTGAACCTCGACCGAAACAACCTTAGCCAAGCAAACACAGACAACTTTTTACCTGATCTTGACCTAACAACTGACGGTGACCTTCATATCTATAACTCGCTCTTGATATATCGATTGACGGAGCATGTGCTTAGATTTCAATTGGGGCAATAGTATTTTCCGTCTCGCATTTCTATGCGCGGAACTTCCATCTCAGTTAGTGTCCAAACGAGTGAGTTGTACTAGATATATGTGGCCATGAAAGCGCAGAACGATGACTTTTGCTGTAATAGCTTGGACCAGACCGATGGATACCAACACAAATGGTCCTGTGGTCCATAGTTACCTTGTGCCAGTTTTGGCTCACAGGAAGGACGACCTTCTTTCTTACACGAGCTCTGCTTGGGTGTGTATTACTATGTGTCGCATAACGATGCCCTCTTTTCAGCTTTGTAACCAGTTTTTCATAGGTTTATACAAGGCGGGTAAGCCACCTTGCAAACCAATGTATCTGAGTCGTTGATTGAATAAGGCGCACTTTTTTCCAAGATTCATTCCGGACCTTATCTTATATCTATCTTGTGAGTTCATCTTGTAACTTGCGGTTGTATGGCAAAGTTTTCGAATGCGCCACACAGATTTTTATACGAAGAACGAGCTTCCTTTCCGGCTCGCCCTGTTCTGGATGTCATCAAATCTATGCAGCATTGTCGGTAGCTTTATTGCCTTTGGAGTTTTGCGTATGCGGGGTGTACTAGGACGCGCCGGCTGGCGGTACGCTTCAATCATTAACATAAAAATTCGCAACTGACTTATCCTGACAGATGGCTCTTCTTGGTAGAGTATGCCTTAATCATGCATATATCCCCATGGACTTGTTACTAAACTGTTCCCTCCCTCCTTTTCTGACAGAGGTCTCATCACGTTTTCCATCGGAGTTGCGACATTTTTTCGCATGCCTCCCTCGCCGACACAATCTCGAACGTGGTTCAGACCAAAGGGATGGTTCACGGAAAAGGAAGAGACTATCATGGTCACTCGAGTTCTTCGAGACGATCCAACTAAGGTTAGTCGATGAGCTGAATCTCAGACCCACAACTTGATTTGACTGCAGTCATAGGGTGATATGCATAATCGCGAAGGCTTGTCGTTGAAACGTCTTTGGACTGCGGTTTGCGATTATGATCTGTGGCCGTTGTATCTCTTGTAGGTGCTCATGCTGGGGTGTGATTATTCTTTAAGTTTGAGTAATAGAGGATTGATGTTCGGGATCCCGGGTGCACCACCTTCAACCTACCTCACACTGTCACTGCGTAACCTAGGGTGAATGAATTTCCTTTAGCCAAGATCTCGACTTACAATGTCTTATTCTATAATGCAGTTTTAGTACCTTCACGACTAACCTTTTGACGATTCCTTCGACCGTAGCGGGAATGATCACCATGTTTGCTATAACGATGGTTTCTGAAGTGCTGAACGAAAGGACATTCGTCGCTATGAACGAGGATTTGTGGGTGCTTCCTTTCTTGGTCGCGTTGTATTGTCTACCAGAGAATCCAAACCAATGGATATATTTTGTGAGTCGTCATTTTGGTGTCATTCCTATTGCTCGATGCTCATTCCACTCAAGGGGCTGGCTTCGGGCCTACTGTCGTATCCGTGAGCTGTCTGTACACATTACTGGATTACAGTATTTTGACCATCGATCTGAAGTTACACGCACCCCATCCAAGTGGGTATTTGTCTTCTCTATGTGGATGGATGCCTTAATCAAGATTTATTACCCAGGTCGGCTGGTGTTCGCGAAACGCTGGTGCGGTAGCAAGCAGGACAGTAAATGCATCCATTTATAATATGTTCGTCCAAGCCACAAGTGTAATCTCAGCACAAATTTATCGCGCTGATGACGCCCCTCGCTGTGAGTATGCTTGCTCTTACCGTTATTGTATGTGTATGAATGTATTGAACATAGACCGGCGAGGGAATCTCACTCTGATTGTCATATGCTGCTTCAATGTTGTGGTTCTATATCCAGCAACTAAAGCCTACTACATTTGGCGGAATCGCCAACGGGATCGGATTTGGGATGCAATGTCTGTGGAGGTTCGTATGTTCTCGAATCTGCTACTTATGTCATGTCGCTAATTTGAAAACTTTTGTTGGATAGGAGAGGAAGGAATATCTAACGACGACGACAGATGTGGGAAATAGGCGCCTCGACTTTAGATTTGCTCACTAGGAGCTGAACTCAACTAGCTACGTATGTATTTGTGATGAAGTTCAACCAGTATCCCTTCGAATAAATGATCAATGTAGAACGTGCAGTAAATATTTCGAGGAGTTTGTTCGCCGAAACAAAATGCCGGTTCGGGCGGTTATTCCGCTATTCCGTTATTCCGTTCTATGTATTCCGTCTGTGATCAAAAACCTTTTTCAGCTGTCTTCATATTCCGTTGATTCATACATTATCGTAACTTGCTCCGATACCACTGCTTAGTTTGACCCTTTTGAAGCTTCAACGTACAACTGTCTGACAAGCCATTCCAGAATACGGATCTAGAGTTAGCGACGCGTAAACCCAATTCGGACTCGTGGCAAAAATCTACCCATCTCGGACTTAAACCAGAAAATTTTGGCCTTGAAATTCGCAACTATGCTGCGAAGCCTGACCAGCTCTCTGACTCGAACTTTTATTTTACCTTCTCGTACGCTCAACCATTCCTTTGCTCGCAGAACAATGGCCTCCTCCGTTGACTTCGTGAGTATCATCTCCTCTCCGAATCGTAAACTGTTGCTATAATATTGCTATTGGTACGCTATTCCATGACAGAACAAAATACTCTATGCTCCCTTAGCTGAGAGCGATCCAGAGGTTCAGAACATTATTGACAAGGAGACGTGGAGGCAGCTAAATGGATTGGAGCTCATCGCGTCTGAGGTATGTTTTGTTTCGCCTAGGTGAAGAATCTTATCTTATTTTTATCGTAGAACTTGACCAGTTTATCCGTCATGGAAGCAAACGGCTCCATCCTCACTAACAAGTATTCTGAGGGCCTTCCCGGCGCGCGCTACTATGGTGGCAACGAATACATCGATGAGCTTGAAAGCCTTTGCCGCGAGCGTGCTCTCAAGGCCTTCAACCTCGACCCGGCTAAGTGGGGTGTCAATGTGCAGCCCTACTCTGGCAGTGTAAGCTTCAGTCTCATGTTCAAATGTTTTTTATAACTCACGATCTCCCTTCCAGACTGCAAAGTGTGTCCTGCTCATTATGACTCGAAAAAAAATTTAATCTTTCACAGCTTTGCCGCCCTCACTGCTCTAATTCAACCTCAAGATCGTTTGATGGGTCTTGGCCTTCCGGATGGTGGTCATCTTACTCACGGTTACTACGTATGTACTTGTGTTTCGCCATGGTTCCAACTTTCAACCAATTAATTCTTAGACTGCCAAAAAGAAGATGACGGCGTCTTCGATCTACTTTCAATCTTTCCCGTATGCCATTTCACCAGAGAGTAACCTAATTGACTATGCCGGCCTGGCTGCTCAGGCAAAAATCTTCAAGCCTCGTCTCATCATTTGTGGTGCCTCTGCTTACCCCCGTGACTGGGACTACGCTGAGCTCAAGAAGACTGCTGAAAAAGAGGGTGCTTGGTTATTGTGCGACATGGCACACACTAGCGGTCTCATTGCTGCTCAAGAGCTCAACAGTCCATTCGACTATTGTGATGTTGTTACGACCACTACGTAAGTTAATCATAGCCATCTTCGTTCTAGAATTTTCGCTGACGCTATCTGCAGTCATAAAACCCTTCGTGGCCCTCGTGCTGGTCTCATCTTTTTCCGCAAAGATCTCGAGAACGCCAAGGACCTTGAAAAGCGCGTCAACGAAGCAGTCTTCCCTGCTTGCCAAGGTGGTCCTCACAACAACACTATCGCTGCTGTCGCCACTGCTCTTCGCCAAGTCGCCGACCCCTCATTTAAGGCTTATGCCAAGCAAGTGGTTGCTAATGCTCGCACCTTGGCTTCGACTCTCCTTGAACACGGTTACAAACTTCAGACAGGAGGCACCGATAATCACCTCGTACTCTGGGATTTACGTCCTCTCGGCTTGACCGGTAGCAAGGTTGAAAAGGTTTGTGATCTCATGGGCATCACGATAAATAGTACGTATTTTCATCCCCCTTTTGGGCACTGTGGCTGACATTTCCACATAGAAAACGCCGTGTCAGGCGATGCTTCCGCCCAGGTTCCTGGTGGTATTCGTCTTGGAACTTCCGCTCTTACTTCACGTAACATGACCGAAGCGGACATCAAGGTCGTTGCCGACTTTCTCCATCGTACTGTTCAACTTTCTCTGCTTCTCCAGAAGGAAGCTGGTACAAAAATGCTGAAAGACTTTGTCCGTGTTGCCACTACTCAGCAGGAGGGCAAGCAAGGGTTTGCTCAGGTGAAACAGCTCCGTGACGAGGTTCGGGCATTCGCCAGTAAGTGGCCTCTGCCTGGTGTGGACACCGCCAACTTTAAGACACCTGCTGGCGTCGAGGAGGATTAGAGAATCTCCAGACAAGTAGGTTGATGGTGCTTTGAGAGCTTGGTTTTGATTCAAGGAAATTCACGAAGATTCAACGTTCATTTCACGTCTTGCTAGACGTTGTACTCAACGGATATTCAACATCGTCCGACCACTGTATTTGTAGTTACAGATCAATTATTGTATGTCTCCTGCTTCAAATTGTTGTTGCGTAGTCATCGTTTAGATGTAATGAACTGGTTCTAGAATGTCGATTGTACACATGTGAGTGTGAAGATGAACTCAGGCCTGAGATCGGGAGGTGAAAACAGGCCATTCTGTCCTCCAAGGTACTAACATCAGGCGTCGGTCAACATGAATGGTCAAAGCGACTTGTATATATTCCGAAATGGAGCATATTAGAATGGATACAAAACAGGCTAAAATATGTATAGATACAAACTCGATAGCACGAGGGGTATGGTAGAAATGCATGTATGACGTTGGTACAAGTATGAAGATGTGCAATGGCAGTAAGGAAAAGACGGAAGAAGTTATTAAAAATGAAATGTAAATAAAGTATAGCATGGTCTTAGAACATAGGATTGTTTCATAAGGAAGAAAGAATTAACTTAGGATTTTCTGGATACGTTTTCTTGACTTGTTAAACGCCACCAAAAAGAGACTTCATTGATTTCAGGTTCAACTTGGAGATCTTCTTCATTCCTAGAACTTTCTTCGACCGCATAGTCGTTAAACTCGCGGAATCAAGATCATCGGCTTTGAAGTTCTCTTTCATAGTTGCATCTCCTTCGACCTTTGATGCAGAGGAGGTAGAGGTAAATTCAGTGCAAGCAGGAGGGGCTGACAGTCCCATCGCACCGGTACTCGATCGCCGTCGACCAGGTGGTACGATAGATGCTAAAGCCATCGCCCGAGGAGATGGAATAAACGAATCATCGAAAGCGTTCGAAGCAGAAGGGGCATTCAGCCTCAAAGGTGCTGGACGACGTCTAGTGCGCTTGTTCTGGGCCATAGAACCCGTCGCAGCAGCCATGCCAGTGATCGTGCTTAATGTAGAGGTAGGCGATACTGGGACTCGCGTAGAGCCAAACCCGCTCAAAGGGCTGGGTGGTCCTGAATAGGAGGGTTGAAAACTATGTAAGAGGTAGGAGGACCCATCTGCGGGGGTGACGATGTTGTTAGAAGACATAGAAAGCGATGAGGTCACTGAGGCGAGCGATCCACGACGTTCCTCTGGTTCAGAAGTTCCAACACCGAGTGCCATACCAGGAAGGACAGGGGAATTTCCGGGGGAATTGAATGTTATCCACTCTCTAGCTGGGCTTTCGGGCGTACGAGGAGAAAGTAATGCCTCCCTTTCGAGCCGTTCATCTTCGTCATGCCATATTACCCCATTCTCATCGCGGTAGATAGTGCCCACCGGAAGAGCAGTTCCCTTATGGAACCCAGCAGGTGCAGCCAGTTGAGCCTGCTCCTCCATGACACGTTTCGCATGCGTCTCCAGCGAGCCGCCATTGGTGAACTGCCTTAAAAGCAGCTCCGAAGCGAGAGTCGGTGGAAGCGGAGGGTGGGTGGAGGACTTCTTCGAGTGCGCAGATACTAAGGCGGACTTAGATCTAGAGTGAGAGCGAGGACGAGAAGCAAGCTCCTGAACGTCAACTGCCGCAGCAGAGACAGACTTTCGTCGATTTCTTTTGAGCATTCCCAGCGATTTGATTCTCTTCAAGCCCTTCGGCGTTTCCTTCTGGACCGATTTCTGTTTCTGCGAACTTGAAGGATAAGGATCGCGCAAGAGGAATGGTGAAGGTGTCGACGGTGTGTGAATTCGAGATGCGAATATCGAAGTATATCCCAACTTAGTAAGGTCAAATTGAGGCTGCTTATAATCGTTAATTCCGGGAGTTTCAAGTTCCACAAGATGTGCCACCGATGAGTTGGATTGTGCTCGATTGTGAGAGATGCTCGTCCTGCGAGAAATCAAATCACGGGCAATAGAGATCGAGCTACGACGACCAGGTGAAACACTGATGGACTTGTGAGGTGAGTTCGGAGCTGGGGAACCAGGTTGCACAGTAAGAGTCCAGTTTTTGATCGCAGCAAAAGCAGAGGAACGGCGGCGTCTGAGAGGCGTTCGGTGCTCAGGATCTCCGAACGGAAAACCCAGTTTTGTAGGACTAGGAGTCAGGGAGAGGGGGAGGGGGAGCACGATGTTCACAGGATGGACTGGGAGAATGCCAGCAGGGAGAGAAGCGTTTTTCATCGAATCCACAGGAATGATATACGAGAGCGTTAAAATAAGATCTATTGAAATCGGAATCAGTCCACATAGCAATCTAAATCGAGAAAGAAGAGGGACTTGCCGTAGATTGGAATAAAGGAGTCAAAACGTCGTCAAATCGTAATCAAATCAAGTATAATGGAAGTTTCCGGTATTTTATTAGGGAGACAAGCAGCTCAGCACGCTCAGTCTGCAGGAGTGTTGACTATGAAAGGTCAGAAAGACGTTCATTATAAGCACAGCAAGAACAAAAGACATTTTTTACAATAACAGACAGACCCTTGGGTACAATGGTGGCATTTAGACAACACCTTCCTAATGGAGACGGCTTCGCGCCAGGCGTTTCCCGCGGCGGTAGGTTTCGTACAAAGTCGTACAACCGACGAAGGGATGGTCAAGGAAACCCGATATTACAGTCAATTATTTCTTGGAACTGCCTCGGAGAGTACGTCTGAGTACGTGTATAAAAGCCCGGGTAATTCCAAGTCTATTGCTCAATGCTTGAACAATCTCCGGTTGGGGAGAAAACTGACCGCCAGATTTCGGGCAAGGAAGCCATGCGCTTTCTTTGAGTTATTGTATTTTGCAAAGTTGATATCCCGGCGTAATTTCTCGTAAGGCTTGTTTTACAGCAGTGGAAGCCAGAAGGAACACGGTGGCACACGTCAAAGTTGTGGCATTAATTTCCTTATACTCTATAAAGCACCAGTCGGATCATCCACGCAGACTAGAGTCAGAACATGGGACTGTACATTGTCTTTTCACTAGTACTCGTTTAGACTCGTTTTTACAGGTTTTTACTCACCAATGTCACTGTACACCTTCATTTGTCAATGTCAGTACAGTATATATCGTGTCGAAAGGACGACGAAAGTTCGGACAGCAAGAATAAAGGCACCTTCCTCCTGTGAAACTGATGTAGGAACGTATGTATTGACAACACAGCACAGGACGTACGGGCTAACTGGCGCGAAAAGCTGAAAATAAAAAGCCAAAGAATCAAACGGATTGTCAGCAATTTACAAAAATGACATACACCGTTCGGGAATCGAACCCGAGCCGCTTGCTTGGAAGGCAAGCATGATAACCACTTCACCAACGGTGTTACAATAGAAGAATTTTGTACCTATCCTTATCTTCATGCATTACTCTCTGCAGTCATTATGTAATTAAGTATGCTCAAAACATAGCTTCCAGATCCCTCAATGCTTTCAACAGCTCTCGATCCTCCGTTGAAAGCATCTGTATATGCTTATCACTTTCCTCGTCAGGAAATGTAGCAAGATCGACCGGACAGACAGTCCCATTCTTTGGTATTTCCCCAGCAAAGTATCCACGTTGAAGTTTTGCTGTACAGAGGGAAGGTAGAAATATTGAGCAGTGCTGTAACAACCGAGAATCAGTGAAATCGTTTAAGAGGGAAGAAAATGAAAATGAAACGTACACCAGGTCCGTCTTGGATAATGATAACAGATGAATCGGGCATAAGGGAATTGACGAGCAGGCCGCTGGATTTCGGAGTGATCCTGTTCACAACAATCAGATATGAATTTCCCAACAAGAACTTGCGCTTACGGGTCAGCCTGCAAGATAAATCAGATTCAGCTGAGTGATATTCGTCCATCGACAATGAAGCTCATACCGTATTGCTGATAATCAACATCTTCGTCTCCAGTGTTGAATTCCACGGCCCAGTAAACCTCTCCGGACCATCTACAGGCCAGTACTGGCATCCGCCATCCGGCTCACTCACACCCGTGCTCAAACCGAAATGGGGCGAGACTTCTCTCAAAGCCTTCAAACCCTGCTCCGTCAGATCTTTTGCAGTAGGAAATTCGTCAGGTGCGGTAGGACGAGGGGAATCAAGACAAGTGACAGCCAAACGGGGCGAAATATGGGGTTCTGGAGAATCAAGGTCGGCAAGAGGAAGCGGACGGACGATGGCATTGTAAAGTTCTGTCCCGTTTCCTGCCATAGCAGATGAAAAGGATTTTGCAACTTTGGGCCATTTCAGTGGTCGCTGGAGAGATTTTGCGAGAAGTCCTGTTCATATATTCAGATTGAAAAAAACGTAGTTTGGATTACATATCGTCCTTACCTCGAGCGCCTCCAGATGTCAAAACTCCTGGTCTGTTCCCAAATGGAACTGGGATGGGGTTGAGAGCGATAGCGTCGAAAAATTCTTCGAACCGACGCTCCAGGTTTTGCCAAGACTCGTCCTTATATTCACATAGGGGACATGAAGAGGGCCCTGCCTGATGCATGTTGAGTTGTATAATTTGAGAGCATGTAATTGTGTAGCACCTTTGAACAGTCCTGAAGAAATATCTGGTAAGTCTTCTCGGCGTCTGAAATCCAATTGATAGGCCATTTGTGCGATGGTTCATCTGCGAAAAGCAGTAGATGAGTATCGTGTATCGGGACCGTGGATTAGATTTACTAGACCAAGATACTGGATTAACAATCCCATCGATGACGGCATAACCGATACGATGTGGAAGCCTAGAAGTAGATATTTTAGCGAAATAATTAGGGAAGTATGAGCTGGAGAACGGACATGTTTACAAGGTAAGCACCGAGAATGGACCCATACGATATTCCCCAATAGTTGCTTCATATCCAGATAAGTGTTAGTAAACAGAAAGTTTGAGTTGCAAGCGTACATCTTCTCGTCTTCGCCCTCGATAACTCTTGACATGAAATCGATATCTCTCACGACGGTCGCCGTGCCCATATACTTGAGCTCATTGCCCATCATTTCTCCGCAAAGGTGTGCATGAGCCTCTTTGACAGCAAGGAACTGCCGATGCTGCTCAACAAGCTGATCATAGAGCAACGGCGATGATAGATCGGAGATGGAAGAAACCGTGATGCCTTGCTCAACCACTGTGTTGGCGAAGAGGACAGTGTTGGAAATTTGGGAGGAAAAGCAACGCGTCGGGGGCCTAAAGACAATGAACACAAAGTTACTCATCCTTGTAAAGGTTACACGCACATCGTGGAGCCAATACCTCGAGGATCAAACCCAATCAAGTCCCAATCTTCACCAATAACCTTTGCCAACGCGGAACCTGTGGTGATAGGAAGTCTTGAACCAGGACCTCCGGGCCCACCTCGAGATAACATTGAGTTTCCTTGTAGAATCGTAGAACGGGGGAGAAAGAGTACCAGGATTTAGAAATACTGAGCCTTTTCGAGGAAATTTTTTGGCTTTGTATCTGGCTAAGGCAACGGAAGCTGTTCCTGCTTCAGCATCGAAATAATCCTTTGGGACGCTGCGAAAAGCAAATACATATCTTTATATAAAAGCTTCTGCGTTACGAACTCACATTATCCTTCCACATTCTACATTTTCAACAGCAGGGACACACTCTTTCCAGTGAATTTCGCCTGGATTCAGTGCAATTGAAGTCAGAGATGTTCTTTGTTGATAATGTGACCGAAAGTTAGCAAGGATGAAAATGACTATTAGGACGACAGTAGAGATGATGATAATTTTTTTCAAGCTATTTTGCTTAGTTGGACGGTTTTCGCCAGCTGCAGTCACAGTAGAAGTCGGTGGCATGTCAGCATGGTAGATTCTGGCAGACTTTCTAGGCTTTAGCCTTTCTCCCTTAATTCTGAATCTTTGAATATTACAAGATTATGTAAGTCCCGATTAAGGCCGATAATTCGCCGGTCTGTAATGTAAACTGCAGATGTAATCTTTTGTCGTCATCGAGAAGTTCATGTCCGACTCGGCTACGTTGCAGTTGAGTGGTTCAAGTCGGCAGGGTTCATCTTAATCAGAAATCGACAAGGAAGCGAGTCGTATATAAGAAGTTGAAGACTCGTTCGTTCCCCTCCAAGAGCTGGTCTCTACTTGCTCCTTGTCTGTTTGCTTTATATCTCCCGATAACGCTAGTCGTCTCTGACTGATGCTTAGCATGCGCGTCTCGCTCAACATTCTATTACTGCTTGCTATCTCCTTGCTATTGCTTTCCACAACGAGCTCGGCGTTACCAATCTCAGGCGACCGTACCATCGAGTCATGTCCCAAGGGTCCTCAGAGGCAGCCTTCCATGAAAGACAGAGTAAAGCAAGCTGTCTCTAGCTGCTTTGGCGGAGGAAAAATATTTCTAGGTTACGGGTATGTCGCATCGAAGCTCCGGGTGATCCACAGACGCATAGCTAACGCATCGTCACGACTGCATATTTACTTTGATGTCCAGTTTTGTTGATGATGCAAGTCGCTTTCCACTAGAGTTTCGGACATGATGCTAGCTCCACCGTGGTTTTTTTTTCAACAGGTGAAAGCGAAGACTTTGAAAGCAACGACAATAAATGCCGGAGAGGGTGCAGTACTTACACCGTTTGTGGACCAATGGTATGATTCTAATGCGGTCAGTAAATTTCTGATGGGCTCTACCGCTTGGCATGTGTATCAATCAGTCTAATTTTTCCAGTGTGCTGTATATGCGAATAAGAAAAAGTTTGAGAATGCGCACAAGGTTCGAATTGGAATTCCAGTCATGCTCAGTAGCATTGCCGTACTCATGATTACTGATTATTCAGCTCTTTGTTGCCGATATCAATGTTAGTCTTTCATTCATCTTGCAGTAACGCCTTCGAATTGTCATCTCGTAGGTGATTACAGGATCAGTGTCTCAGATTTTGCAGAAAGCAAATCAAGAGCTGCACCAAACTGGTGATCCTTTTACAAAAGAAACCACCATCTTGTTTCACCGAATGGCGGGTTCACCGATAGGGCCTATGCAGATGCTCATCCCCCCTCATTATCTCGAACCTCCTGATAGCAATGGCCGAGGTGACCTTGGGATCAGTATAAAGTGTGTATCGGCAACTGAATGTATGTGTTTTGTATTTGTCGGTCATTGTTTGCATGAGACTCATTTTCTCGTCGCTCAAGATAAAGGCACAGAAAAATTACTGACTCAAACAGTTGAATGGGACAAGTGGAACATCCTGTATTGGCCTGAAGAAATCAAAACTACAGTGTAATACCTATTCACTCCTTAACGCAGCAAACTTGATTGTGGTTGATGTCGGTCACGGTGTAGAGGCCTACAATGATTTCGTTATCACTTCTCGGTTGATCGAGACGCCTCTGGGATGTATAGCGCGGGAGAAGGCATTGTTGGCTCAGGATTGGCGCGCAGCTACATACATATTAACGTCGAAAGCGAACACTGTGCAGATGGTTCAATTCAAAATAACTAAAGGCCTCCCTCTGCCAAAACCAACCCACCTTGTAATGAATGAGATGATGTAGTTGCAGTAAGTTGAGCCCTACTGCTCCTCGAATGAACCTCGGCTACTAGCCACCCTTCAGTGAGTTCTATTTCCGACGTGGCTGAAGGAGAGAAGTAATACTAAAACATATAATGGGTGTGTATTGACGTAGGTCAATTCTGGTGGTCATATCGGGAGATGGAACACCTACCTGCTCATCCGGCTAAGCGACCACCCCCGACGTTTATACGTTGTTGTTGATTTTCGGACATTTTTGACGAAGATTGTAAAGGGTTGTCGGGGGTTGAGACTTGGGAGAGGTTAGGAGGGGTAGGGTTACTATATTAGCGCAAAATTCCGGTACTTAGGCTATTCACGAACGAAATTATATCTCCTATTAAATCCAACAGGAATAAACAGGATCTACAGAGGCTCTCGCAGAACTATGTTCCATATCGGGATTATCGAACTCACGTATATTTGTCAAGATCTCAGGTTCTCCAGTTTATCGGACTCGGAGGTTCCTCCCAAAATCAACCTCTAGAGGCAGCTGATACGATCTCTGAGTCTGCTGTAAATGCACAGGCATTGGCCTTTCCATGGAGCATCTTACTGGGTCAGGACTGGTCAGGACCTAAAACCAACAGCCTGCATATCATAACATCCGGAATGTTGGCCCCAGGGGATCCACAAATGTTCATTGTTCTTTGTGAAATCCTATGTCGAAAATGATCTGAATTCCTACAAGGACCTTTAGTGGATACGGAATGAAAAATCTTACGCAAACTCGTTTTCCTCGAGCTCTTTGGCCTTCTTTGTACATATAAGCTCATCCGACCTCGAAAGATCCAAGCCACATTGGGCGCAAAGGATATGGGCACTCCACACCTCATATATTCCCTTGTCGCCACTCCTCGTCCCGTTAATATCCATCGAAAGCTGAAAACGTCGGCATGTGCCTCCCGGATTCTTGACGAAATTGAAAGTAATTGGGATACCTTTTGGGGTACGGTTGTCCCATCTAGCCTTAACAAATCTGTCGTATCACGGCTCATTGCCATCATCACTCTCTTTCATATCTGGCGAGAAAGAAGGCCAAGTTATGATCTGTTGCACTACTGGTGCCGCGTCCTCGATTATACAGTGAATATATTCGACATATACCAGCAATTGCTGCGTCGTCATTGTGTGGTTTCTACGACACGTATCCAATCGTACCGTTTCTCATCTAGACAAAGGCCGTATTGCCTTCGAGATCATCAATGTGATGGGTACATGGCGATGGGTGCAGCTCCTCTGCGACTCATTTGCTTACGGGGGCTATAACTTCAATAGCATTATAGTTTCGCTTGGAATTCCTTCGTGCTTTATGAGCTTGTCTCTGACGACTGTAGTCCTCCCACGGTCCCGAGCTCACTTGACAATAGACGAGCTATATCTTCGGTGGTGAACTTTATTTCTAGCTCCTCTCTGTGGGCCGTATCGCTTTGTCCAGAAATGTATAGAAGAACAGCTTAGTGGGGATCCCTTTGATGACATCGCGACATATACATATCTACTCTATCCTCTGTATCTACTGACAACTTCCTTTGTAACTAACTGTTGTGTCCGCAGCGACCGGTCCAGCAAAATCTGCAAAACTAGATCGATCATTTTCGTCTGTCAAGATGGATTCTATCTGCGCTGCCCCTAAAAATGCATCAATGCCCGCATTACTGAAAAAGAAATACAGAGAGCACTCACATTTGTAGTGTCCATTTGTTGAGTCATCGTAATTGAACCAGATATAACCCGAAGCGAGGTATTGAAGCTTGCCGGTTGCTTGGAGAGTACATGACTTGACAGAAGTCTTTTAGAGCGCATGAGGTGAAATGAAGTCGAAGATATAAATGAACTACACACAATGGCGTTGCAGGTCTTACCCTGAGGAGAGTTCATAGTAAGTTGGATCGTACTCAAATCGCTGTACGATGCCTGGAAGCTACATTCATAGCTCAGTCTTGGTCATTTCGAAAGAAATTATAGATAGACCCACCTTTGAGTTTGTGAGTTGGTAACTTCCGTAGACATCGTGACAGAGGCAGAGATACCTGGCCCTTCCGGTAAACTGAGATCGACCCCCAGTGTGCTAGAAACACCAATCGATGATGTCGCTGGGATTAGAAAGATATATAAATAATCAAACAAACGGGATGAGGGACGAGACTGCCTCAACTTACTGCTAATTGTAAATGAGGAGGATGTGTTGAAGCCTTGTGACTGTGTACCAGTAATGAAGCTTCGTAGACTCATGCCATACAGTCATGAAAACTTACCACAGAAATAGAAACTGAACCGTCAGTCCCGGTAAGCTCCCCACCGAGAGTGGTGTTGTGGGTTTGGCATGTCGGTTGTCCTATTAAAGAATTTTCAGTATCAAAAACCCATGCATGCAGACTCGACACACCGCTAAAGGTTATATCGACCGGTCCATTGGTGCAAACGAAAGCCGGACTGGCAGGATACTAGTAGCAGTATATAGTGTGAAAAGCACAAAGCGAAGAAGATTCATTCGAGTTTACACATACATCTGCAGGATTGGTCACTATATTGCGGGAACCTTTTCCCCAGTTCGTGTCAGCATAATCCTCGATTTTACTCCAGCCTGGCACTAGAGTGGTGTTCATTAATCGATCAAACACCTTGTGGTGATTGAAGCTTACACGTCTGGGCGTCGGCCACTGTAAGGTTCGTACATGTGGACGAGGATGTACGCTTGACTGGGTGCCGGTTTTCCATGTAAGCTGGGTACCTTCCTAGAAAGGTCCAATCCCTCTTAAAAGCGATGAACTCATTAGTGCGTTCGTCAAGCGCAATATTCACGGCGTCTCGAGGAAGAATGAGCCTAGGTGGGCGCTGCGTAAAGGGTGCAGCTAGGGTAGCACGGAAAAGTAGGATAAAAGAGATCACGATTTGCTAGTGGTATTAAAGAGTAAGGAATTTTTTCAAAAAGGCTTGCATAACGACGCACCAAGGTCAATTTCATATTTCGTAGTGAGTATGATGTTCGTGCTAGCGAATTTGTTTGAAGAATTAGACCAGCTGGTTCTTGCTGGATCAGTCTGTTTTCTCGCCTTATATACGTATGTCCCTCCACTCTGTGCATATCAGACTACATTGCCACCTTCTGGCACAAATCATTGAGAGGCCATGTGTTCTGTATTGGCGAGGTCCCAACGACGGCAAATACGGAAAACACATCCCATATCGATTGGCAGATTTATGCAGATTTCAATACTTGTCAATTGCGTGTCTCCTTGGCGCGTTACAAGTATCTCATCGGTGTTCATCAATTGTGAGCCACTGGATGTAATAATTGGCCAAGGCTGAAATGGTCCGGAAAGCGTACTAGGAAAGTCAGCTAAGGAAAAGCTGGCTGTGGCAGGAAAAGGTTTGAGATTATTGTTGTCATGATCTCTTTAGGCTAAGCCAACCTCGATACCTATGGTGTCATGGTTTGCGTGTCGCAGTCATCTTTTCCGTTGACATGATGATATGACATCTCAAACTTAAGTGTCATCCGTCGTACCAAGGTTGTACAATGTTACTCCCTCACTTCCGTGATGCACGCTGAAAGCAAGCAGAATCTGGGATCACAATTCCTATGAGACCTATGTATCGTACTTTCTTTCAATCGAAAAGATGAGGGAGTGGTAATTTAGATTCCACTTCTTCCTGCGGCCGTAGTAACACCACCCTCGAGTTCCGGTAGATTTTGGCCACCTTGACCGCCCTGTGGAGGAGGCAAAAACCCGGCACGAACAAGCCATGCAAGATACCGGCCGAAAAGCTTCTCGTCGATTGTGTTCGGGGGATCGTACTCGCTAATCCTACCACGCTCGACAACAGCTACAGTGTTCCTGTCGTCCAGCATCGGTGCCTTTGTGGATGTAGGAAGATCATCGAGAACAAAATGCAGAAGAGGAAAGAGAGCATTATCTTCTTCTTCCACCTCTCCGTTTGTATTTCGAGATTTGTTCATGACATGTGCTTCGAGTTGCAAACGCCACTGCACATACTCTGTCTTCTCCACTGCCCAGCCATATATTTTGAGAGCAGTAAAGAGATCATTGAAGGTGGGCAGCGGACGTGCAGTAACGTGCATCACACTTATGTTGCCTCCAGGACCGCCTTTCTCTGACGAAGCATCGTCTGATGGGATGGGGCTTGCTGTCACCGCACTCACACAGCACATTGCTACTCGGTCCACCGGTACCATATTCACCCCATTGGACATATCAGGAACGCTTCCCAGTTGCACGCATCCTTTGACCATCCGCCACACAAAGTCGTCCGTATTCGTGACGCCACCTTTACTTTCCCCGACGACATATCCCGGTCTGATGATATATCCACTCAAACCCCTCTTTCCTGCCTCGAATAGCAGCTTTTCGGCAACCCATTTGCTCTGGCCGTATCCCGTTTTAAGTCCACGCCGAGCAGTCTCAAGATCATCCGTTTCCAGAACGCCACAACCGAGATTTTGAGAGACGACAGACGAGCCTATACGCACGTACGAAGGCGTGTCAAGCACTGAGGTACTACTCACGAACACCATAGACTTGGGCTTTCCCTGGGTTCCTGCTAGTTCGAGTGCAGTGAGCGTTCCCATCACGTTCGGCGCCTTCAACCTCTCATATGGGTATACCCAATGCACCAAAGCACCATTATGCATTATTACGTCGACTTCATGCTCTAGACTCTCCCACTGGGAATATGTTACACCAAAATGTGGTAGGGCAAGATCACCGGGAAGAACGGTAAGACGATTACTAGATATCCATGAATCGGACCATACACCGCGAGATGCGCAGGAGTCGCGTAGGCGAGCTATAGCGGAGGAGGGGGAAGACGCACGGACGAGACAGGTGACATGGGATGCAAAAGAAGAGGAGGATGACGATTGAGTCTCGAGAAGCTGCTGCAAAATGAATGCACCTAAGAAGCCTGTAGCGCCTGTTAGGAATACATGTAGACTCCGAGCAGAGGATGTACTGTAGGAGGGATACGAATACGCAAGGTGAGAAGAGATAAGTTCATCAAGATCTTGCGCGTAGTGATTATCTTCTTCTCCTTCTTCGTCCCCATCCGTATCAAGTATACCGTTTCCTTCCTTTGCATTGGGTCCTGCTTTGGTGTCTATGGGAAGTCCCAGGTCCTCACCCCGGAGGACGTCCACTATCGAAGCTAAGCCACGCACGGACGCTATTTCACCTGCGTGTTTACTGTAAACGACCCCCAAACTAATGCGATCCTTCAGAACTGGAAAGGCTCTACGCATCTCAAAAACGAGACGTGTAGCGAGAATGGAATGTCCACCGAGATCGAAGAATGATTCATTCAAGGGAATGGAAGGAAGTGCTTCTCCTGTGAAGTCTGGAGTAAATCCTGGAAGAAGAGAAGCAAAGAGGTTGAGAATGGTTTTCTGAGTAGGGGTAATATCCGCATGAAGGTTGTCGGGGCCGTTGGCGACAGCCAAGGCAGAGGCGGATACAGCAGAAAGAGAAGCAACAGCGGCGGCAGTATCAGGGAAAGGCAGCGCTGGCTTGTCAATCTTTCCATTGGGATTGAGAGGCATGCGTGCAAGGGGTATGATTACTGTGGACCATTTAGCGATGCATCAAGTGAATAAAAGCAGAGCTCACAAGTAGGAATACTGTATCCCGGTAATTTCTTCTTCAAATGTGTCCTGATATCTTTGATGAGTGGCGCATATCGCCGTATTCCACCTTCGACGCTGCCTGCATCATCTATGTTTGTAGCCTTCTCCTCATTCCCATCACCTAGAAAGACATGTGATGCGCACTAGGGAAGTTGAATCTACTGTCTTACCTTTCCATGAGTTGAGGGGCACAAAATAGCTAACAAGGATCTTCTCTTCATCCTTGTCTCTCCTAACGAGAGTGACATTCTCGCGCACACCGGGGTGGGCGGCGAGATGCGTATCAACTTCGCCCAGTTCAATACGGAAGCCCCGAATTTTGATCTGATTGTCTGCTCGTCCTATAAGGTCCAAAGTTAGGTCAACTTAGGGTTTGTCGAGGATATGACATGGAAACACACCGATACATTCCACCCCACCTTCTGTGTCATACCGACCTAGATCACCTGATCGATACATCCTGTCACGCACGCCATGCCAATAGTGCTTCGCTGGATTAGACGAAGAAGAAAGTGTGTCGGCATATCCTGCATCTTCTTCGACTGAGGTACTCCGGGAGTGGAACCAGTTCTGCACAAATTTCTCCTCATTAGGATCTGGTTCTCCGTCTACTTGGGATTTGGGAGGAACTAGATATCCCTCCGCGAGACCTCCACTTCTAACATAGATCTCTCCGGGTTCTCCAACAGCGCAGGGGATAGATTTGTCATTTCTATAATAGCTGTTGAAAAAGGGGCCCACATGCGTTCGAAAGGTATCTCACCGATTAACAACTAGCAGTTGTACATCCTTCATCCCTTTGCCAGCAGGTATGACCTCTTTTTGCGTGCTTAGGAAGGCGGGATCCTTGGAAAGTGGCGGAATCGCATGGTAGGAAACAGCACGCTGAATGGAATACCTTCATCGATGTGATACGGAGAGCGATGGATAAAAATATACCTGTGTCTCAGTCGTCCCATACATATTGACAATTACTACGTTTCTTGCCAAGGCCTGCAGTCTCGCCACGTCCCTTTTTGTAAGAAGATCACCAACGAAAAACGCAGTGCGGAGGGAGGGAATAGAAGGTGCATCACCAGTAGTACTTTCCCCTACATTTTTTAAGCTTATACATTCGACTAAAAGAGTTATATTTACCTTCATTTGCACCGGTAGTAGTAACCAACTGCCCCATAGCTGGGGTCAAGTGCGTCACGGTGACACTTTGCTCATCCATCCAGGCAGCGAGAGCACCCGGGGTTCCGATAGCACTTGACGGAGGTACATGGAGAGATGCGCCAAGGAAGAGAGGAGTGAATACTGAGTGAACAAGGTAAGATAATTCTGGAACATAGTACAAAGTACCTACTATCTCTTTGAATTGGATCGTGTGCGATTCCGCTCAGCATTGTGAATCTGCTCTCGGGGCCAAGACTAAAGCGGGTAGCCATCCAAGGAAAGAAGTGCGTTAGGCCTGTAAACCAATATTAGTGATAAACTCGACACGAGAATAATCACATACTGTAATGTCTTCCCCTAACACCCTTCGGAACACCTGTACTCCCGCTAGTGAAAGAGAGCGTTGCAATCGAGTCCGGACCGAGAACTACACCAGGATCTGCTGCGTTCACATTCAAGATTGATCCGTCTGCGTGCACAGTGCCATCTTCACCCAGGCTAACACCCTCGATGCAGACTTTCACACCGCCCAAATCCTTCTCCCAATATCCTCGCACAGCTTCATCGACAGGATTGAGGTCCTGGGCACCCTGGAGTATAATGACTGCCCTTGGGCGTGCGACGGAGAGGTAGACGATCTGCCTTTCAGGTGGATATGCAGGATCGATGACACTAAATGTTGCACCAGCACCGAGTGTCCCAAGCACCGCCAGAACAAGGTCAGCAGATCGATGAGCATATATCATCACTACATCTCCGCGTTGAACTCCATGTTCCAGCAAGTGATTTGACAAAGAATTTGCTGCGTTGAGTAACGAACCATACGCGTAAGTTCTGGTTTGAGTGATGATAGCTGCTTTTTCCGGGTTTTTGGCCGCATTGGATGAGAACACAGAGGTAATCGGACCTGGCCATTCACACCAATTCAATGGAGCACGAGGGTTGGGAAGTATTCCTTCTTCCTTTTCAGTACGCAGAGAGACACGGCCGATAGGAGTTGTGCGATTTTGGATGATAAGAGCGAGGTGCAAATGCAAAAGCTGGATTCGTATTGGAGTGAAAAGGATAGTGTTGTAAACTGTGCGAATGGAGTTCCCGGACACGGAGACGTTTAGGTCTCCGGTACTTAACGATTCGGTCTCTACCACTTGTATCGAATCTAGATAGTCTTCGGGAGAAAGATCAATACGAAGGACAGATGAAGGGGTCCCAAGAACAACATGCGTATCCCCAGTATACCGGTGTACAACTGCCACCAGCGCGCGCAATATGTCTTGTGCACTTGCACCTTCAATCTGGTATCGTTCTTCCGCTTCAACGATCTGGCTCGAGATTCGCGGATAGTCCGTCGGAAGGACTGCCAGTTTTGTGGATTCGTCTGAGCTCATACTGGTCCTTTAGTGATAGGAAGAGAAATAGAGGATCTCAATCAGTAAGTTCTTCATCACCAATGACTCGAAGTTCGAAATTCAAAAAAAAATTGTTACCGGCAGGCACTTCATCCATGCTTTCCAACTTTTTTTGACACCAACTTGAACTTCAAGCTCATGACATATTGTAACATTATTTCTACATACTGAGGCTTATCAGTACACTTGCCATGGCCAAGCTCGCGAAGACAAAATCCCTATCCTTGGAAATGTCTGGCATCTATCTTCACAATTTTGGACCATATGAATATTCTCCTCCCTTCAGTAATGCCTATAGGAGCGATGTAAATAACAAATAGCTAACTCGAGCGAAAACTGACCCTTCTATATGCGGGCCTACCGGGACCAGCATATATTCATGAGTTTAGCCATATCCCAATTTATGTAGCCACTTACCTGGCTTGCAGTCTCTTAACATACGCAACCGTGGCCGGATGTGCAATTCTCTCTTGCTCTAGGATTTCCAGACACATACTCATTGAAAAGTCCGCAGCGGTTGGCCCCGAACCGCCCGCTAGCCAATCCTTTTTGGCCAAATGTGATTCGACCTAGAAAGTAGATGTCACTTCTAACCTATGCGCAAGATTGATAGTGATAAAAATCGACCATATCAACACTCTTTTTCAACTCTGGCTCGACAATTTGCCGCGCCAACTCATTGAAGATGAAGTTGAAGAACCATCGTATTAACCACGGCGAACGAGCAGGTATGAGACTGAAAATTAGCTTTTGGACGAGGATAGGCATGAGGGATCCCTCAGCATAATGAAGGACTAGATACACCAAGAGTCAGTACAGCAAAGCAAAAAAAAAGATCGTCTTCATGACTCACAATACAGGTCGTCAATAGCGCCTTGGCTATCCTCCGCAAGAGTTGCGAGTTTTCCTTGACCATATTTCCTAATGATATATTCTGTTCACACCACAGAAAACAAGTACATGAGAATCCCTAGTACCAAAGGACCACATTTACCTATGATAGCACCACTTTCCGCAATGTTTATCTCCCCGTCTGTAATCACAGGCGATTTGCCCATCGGGTTCACCGCGAGGAGTTCCGGCGGAGCCCGCATGCTTGGGAGACGATAGTACTTCTTGATTTCATATGGCACCTCGAGCTCTTCCTGCTGACGTGAAAGTCAAAGCAAACGAGTCGGAAGGAGAACAAACGAATAACAGCGGATAAAACGATGAGCATTCGACTTGATCCTCCGATGTATGTCAGGTACGCACAAGGAGCCATAGAATACGTTGAGAACGCGAATTATTGAGATGGTGGACGGTCAGCATGGCCCGAAAAGAGATAGGCGAACAGAATGTGGTGAACGACAAGATGGTGGCCGGCGTCGAACTTATGGACGCCTTTCAGGGCCCGACAGGGGCTTGTGAAATGACGTAAGACCCCGTGATTGCGAGCGAAGCGAAGCAATACTGGCTAGAGGCTGAGCCGGGAAGTAAACAAATACAAATTGTTGTCGCGCAAACTCCCACGGAGTCGGAATACCCGCGGATGTGTACGGATGAGCGGATGCTGGGGCGGGGAGCTGTTCCTTTTTAAGTAGTGCTCTGTAGCCCCGTAACAAAAACAATCATTTAATTAATCATGATCAAACATAGTACAGAGGTGCGCCAGCACTGACCAAGACTATTGGATCTAGCACTTCGAAGCGAGCACCCCATGTGAGCCGTATTTGGATCGGAGGGGCCGAAGGCCCCCTCCGAGCCGGACGAAGGAGGCTCACATGCGAATGCATGTTACTATACTCTACCGGACTTGGCGGCAGTTTTATCTTCTTTCGCGGCTCGACTTACTTAGCTGCTGTCGGAACATCGAGACCGGCTGTTCTGTCCTGGGACCACACCTGCGGGTGGAGCCGTGTGTCTATCTTTCACAGCGATGAGAGAATTCAACGTGGCATTTTCGCTGAGTACTTGTCATATGCCATACCGGAATATTGTAGATTCAAATTTGTAGTAGTAGAAGAAAAACCTAGAAAAATAAACGCTAGGGCGGGAATTGTGATGACGGGACTCGGAAGGGCTAGTGGTGAGGTAAAGAATGAGGTAGTAGGTATATAGAGTCAGAGTCTATAACAGTATATCAATTGAACATAACCGTGCGCTGACGGAAATTGGTACGTGACATGAAAAAGAGTGACGAAGGATAGGTAAAGGTTTACAACGAATATAGGGCAAAAAAACGGCTGATGAATCTGATTGAAAAAGTAATTTAATCTGAGAACGGCAAGTGTTCAATACCGAAAGCAGCAGCAGCAGCAGCGACGATTTTGCCGCCAAGCGTGCCCTTTTGGGTTGGGGTATTATCGAAATGGTGGATGTAATGAGGAGACGAATCGGACGAATTAACTTCCTGAGGAACGCAGTGCCGGCCGTCACGGGAAACTGCGTATCCAGGCATGCATTTTTCAACAGCGCAACGTCCGGACTGGCAAGAAACGTCTGAGACCCCAGGGATGATAGTGCAGTCGACACCAAGACCTGGCTTTCCATCAGAAGCTACGACGTCCATGGGGCAGCCGCCACCTAGAATTAAGTAAATGAGTAGATGTTCGGGGAAAGGTGTTTCAAGAAATTTATTCACAGCTCTCGAGATCGTTCTTTATATCGATACACTCCCATTGCCTCACTCCCCCTCCAGCGATACCACACGCGGCCCATCCAGGCCTACAAGTGCGTTGGGTTTGCTGACCCCAGTGAAGATGATCCCGTTTTTCAGGAAGGGAACGGCCAGAGGGGCAGGAGGACGCGCACTTGCCGTTGCAAACTGATTTCGGGTGCGCACACGCACAAGTGGATTGACCGTTCTTCTTGACCACGCTGTAGCCGTCACCGCAAGTGAAACCACATTTATTACTTGCGGTGCAAGCAGGAGTTGAGTGTTCAGGAAATGTACATGTCTGTTTATTGCTGGTATTCTTGATCTTACATAGAAAAAAATTCACGTTTGAGCCAAAGTCATAATAAAGTCCAACCTACCAGTTTAGTGACAACAACTTCGATGACGGTTTTCCCGATCATATCGACGCCATTTTTGCAAACACTGTTACCGGCAACAAAGGTAGACACCTCACTTTCGCAGATACAAGCCTCTAAGAGCACATCGTGTATGAGCTCAAACTCATGCGCAAATTCAACGAAAACCTACCCAAAACACCCGCCGTAACTTTTCGACCACCAAAGTAGGAGTCAAGGCGAAGATCTTCGGAGATACAGGCGCAAACTTCTGTCGTGCTGCCACGCCTAAGGAGGCTTTCGATGGCCTCCGCAGAAGTTCCACAGATTGCGGAAAGAAGGACGAAAGCTGCGAAGCGCATGATAATCGTCTGTACTGCAAAAGAGAGGACGGATAAAGGAAGGAGGAGGGGAGCGTGGGGGAAGAGGATGAATTCCGGCAAGGAACGGGCTAGTTATAGTTGAAGGAAGATAAGGGTATGATCGATGTACAAATGCGGCTCCGTGTAGAATTTGTCCTTCCATTGATGGATCATGTAACGGGAGGGGTACATTTATTGCAAAGACAGAGCTGATCAGAATTTTTCGCTTCGCATTCCTGACAGTCAAAGTACAGTTGTATCTTCATGCTCCAGTTCGATGAAGGCAGCGTAACGAAATTCGCTAAGCTGCTGTTGCTTCTCTCTTCAACTGAAAGAGGTTTGTTCCCTAGTCATCTTCTCTTCGTCGTTCCTCGAGTTAGGTACCTCCTATACATGACGGCGGCCTATGCAAAAAAAGGTTATTTACCTCCTGTGTGCTTTGATCTGTAGATTTTGTTGAACAACAGAATCTAGAATCGCTGGGCAATGTAGGCCTCCCCCTGCCTTCCTCATGCACCCTCTGGCCCAGGGGTTATATCCACGCTAGTGCTGCGCTGCGTCCTATCTGCCAGTTATGAATAGGGGCAAGGGATACCGCTTCGGAAAACCGCATAGGCGTCTATTGGCACCCAAAGGTAATTATACAGAGTTCTGTTAAGGAATGCTAAGAGATACATTTATGGCTTAACAACCACCTTCAAAGCTGTTCGACTGGTCAACTTCTCCAACGCCTGTTGGTATTGCTTGATAGTGAAGGTATCGGTGACCTAAAGGAGTTTGCATTGGTCATTAGATGCGGGAGAAAAGAGTAAGATCGATATCACTGACCATGCCGCTTACTTTTACCTTTCCGGAGTCAAGATATGCAATAGCCCGAGGGAAACAGTTCATTTGAGCGAAGGAGCCTATGATCTGGCAAAATTATGAGCATCGCGGCTTGCTTGAAGAATTCTGATCTGATACGAACCTTGATTTCATTGGCGAATATGAATGATGGACTCCAATGCACAAGAGAATCGTTTGCATAGACACCATATACCATTAGTGTTCCTCCCCTTCGAACGTACTGTATGGACAAATTCGCAATTCTTTCAGAACCTGTAGCTTCAACCTATGCGGCACAAAATCAACAGCCTATTCCAAAAGACAGATGAGATACTCACAACAGCATCGAATCCATACGGATATTTATCTTTGATACCAGCCCATTGAGAATCCTGATCCTCACTATCTCGGTCAATCTCGATATAATCGTCGGCCACTTCGAGTTGACGTGCGATATTTGTCTTAATGCCTTTGTTCGCAGCAATTACTATCCTGGAAGCGCCATTGAGTTTAAGCAGCTGCGCCAGGATGAGCCCTGTTCGTCAAATCATTGTGGAGATTATGCCACGTCGGTGAAGTAGGGACGACAAACCAGTGGGTCCTGCACCCAAAATGAGCACCTCCGCCCCGACAGGTAACGCAAGTTTGTCTGCACCATGGACTGCACAAGCAGCAGGTTCAATCAGTGTTGCGTCTGCATCTGTAAGGTTGTGAATTTTGAACACCTTGTTTTCTCGACTGCTCTTTGTGTTGACATCGAAAATGAAGATCAGAGAATACATACTCACGCGACGGCGTATTCGGCAAATCCTCCGCTCATAGTACAACCGAGGCCTTCATAATTTTCGCAGAGAAGAGGTTGGCCTCTACGGCAGTAGAAACACAGTCCACACTGTATCATCCAAGTAAGCAAGTATAAGGCAAGATCGACTTCATCGATTCTGACCGTAAGGCTAGGATCAACCACACATCGATCCCCTACTTTGAGTGTGCCGGAATTCACTTTCTTTCCTAGCTCTACAACGGTCCCGACGATTTCATGACCAGGAATAAGCTGGAATGATATCTCAGCTTTTGCCCAGCCCGGGCTAGAAGTAATAGATACCGACAGGAAATTTTGCAATAAATTCTCCTGTGAACCAACGATTCAGCCGTCTATAGTACATATTAGTTTAGAGTCAATTGGATATCACCTTCGCTAATATGCTGATCTGTTCCACAGATTCCGCAAGCAGATACTTCGAAAAAGAGGAATGAGATTGAAGACGAAGTCGTCCATGACTGAGCTAAGTACCTTTGATCAGAATCTCATTGTCGTCGATAAGAGGAATCTCTGTTTGAAGGATTTCAAAGTTGCGGATCTGAACATGTGTCAGACAAGTTGCATGACCAACGTCGGAACGTACCCCATGATAGTAAACAGCCTCCATTACTTAGTAGAATGACCACACCGAGGAAACGGGTCTGAACAAGAGACTACGAGAGGCGAAGGGATGGGAAAAAAACAAAGCAAGTCAGAACGGCATCTTGGCGGCATCGGTTATCATCCTCCTGTCCATCGAGGTTTAAAAGAGGTAGAGGCTGGTAGAGGAGACTCGGTGGAGTAAGGTACACTAAGGCTGGGTCAGCTAAGGTGGTAGTGATAAGGTAATAGTAAGGGTTACAGTTGGATCAAGCACCCGAATTATCATAGCTTTAGGGCTGGCGTTCACGCGACGAGTCATTCACTTGGTGGACACAAAACATTAATATTACGAGAAACACCTGTACATGCGGCTATGTCTCCGGCATTGTAATCTGGACCTCAATACATGATTTAATGGCTCTTTGCCATCGTTCGACACCTGCTGACATCGTGTTTTTGTCACCAACTACTATCAAAGCCTTCCTCGCTCGCGTCCACGCTACATTTAGCCGACGCTCATCTTCAACAAAGCCAATATCTGCCAGGGCATTGGATCGCACGGTCGAGAACACAATGATGTCGCTTTCTCGTCCTTGGAACGAATCTATGGTGGACACTGGGACACGCAAAATACTACGCAAAAGCTTCGTTTGCTTTGTATATGGAGACAGAACCGTGATTGTGGGTAGATCATCTTCGGAGAGACGGTTACCGGTGGCTCCAGAAGTCGACAGAAGACTTATGATGTGTTTGATAAGAGCCGCTTGACCCTCGTTACTTTTTGATTGTCCACCGAAATCCTCTTCAGAACCGCAGTGGACGAAGACTGCAGGCTGAATTTCACTATTCGTGCTTGGCCAAGGGAATGCTGAGTTGAGTAAAGGCTGAAGGATTGCTGATGCTCTTTCGCCGATGATACTAGACTGCAACTCCCCGTTATAGAACTCGCTCGAGGGAAATCTAGCAAGCGCCTCAGGAAATCGATATTGAACCTGACAAATAAATCAGCCCCGTTAGGCGTTTTATAGGTGTCGGGTTCGCTCACATTCAGCATTGTTTTCGATAAACCGGCCACATTTGGACCCTTATAGAGCCGTTCGAAAAGGGACACATCATACAAAAGTGCATGCCCTAGTGATCGGACCATTGGTCGAAGTTGGACACTACAAATAGACAATTGAGAATATATCCATTTTAACATCTATCTAGCACTTACTGATCCCCAACTAGAATAGCCTTTTTACATCCTTTCACCAAAGGAATTAGTCCCACAGGCTCCGTGATCTGTGAGGCCTCGTCAATCAATGCAATGTCAAAATCTATCGCTCTCAGAGCTCCAAGCCCTGCACTGGCACAGGTTGTGAAGATGATAGTAGATTGCTTTATCAGCTTTTCTGCCTTTTCTCTTCGCCTCGAGTCGCGCACGATTTCACCACCAACCCGGCTTTCGACCGTGAAGCTTTTTACTGCCTTGCCAACTCTGAAGCTATCAGTTGCAAACCGAATTATTCTGTCTGTGGACACGAGATTAATTCGATCATTGAGATCGGCGAAGCGTTCCAGGACGTTGTCCACAGCTGAAAGGTCAGTCAGCAATGTAGACTTTGAGGAGATAGTAGTAGATCTAACCGTTATGAGTGGACGCAGTCATAAGTATCTTCGACCCTTCGTCCAGATTCTGTATCAAGGTCCGGAGTATTTGAATCACAACCGTTGTTTTTCCAGTACCTATGACTGCTTAGTCTTGTATTCCGATGAAAGAGTAGTTCCTTTGTTACCAGGAGGTCCCCATATTAGTGATACTTGCGCTTTCCGAGTCTTCTGAACTGCTTCACGTTGACTTTCGTTTAGCCCGTCGTCTTCAGTTACTTCAGCTTCTGTAGAAAGTACGGTCGTTTCTCTAACAATTTCGACCTCTAGGGAAGATCCGGCTAATTCTTCCGCTGCTTCAACCACTGTGGGAGACGCATCTGTAATCATACGCGAAAAACGACAACATTCAGAACCCTCTAATGCAATTCGACGGATAGCATCCATCATCGCTCTAAAGGTTGCTAAAATTGGGACAACTGAGAGGACGAACATGTACATATCAAAACGCTTACCGACGCTTCCAACATCGTATAAATACCATTGCATTCTCGCAAACTCGGGTGGCGGTCTATGCACCAACCTCACACGAATTTCGCCACTCTCTGACAATGTAACAAGCCCATCCAGAATGGATGATTCCATATCACCCTTTTCAGGTCTCGACGCAGCACGAAACCTTACATGGGAGTGCAAACGTATGGTAGTTGGACTATCTACGCGAATATGCGCAATGATGTGGAGATCATCTTCCTCCGCAGGAAGCAAAGGGACCACGGTAGGAGCAGAGCGCTGTCGCTTAATCTTCCCATCCTCGTCGCAAGGACACACATCTGCTGCTTCTTGTGCGCGGTCAATGGTAACTGCTAGTGCCTGCTTATGAACATATTCCTTTGCGGAGGACTCAGTCCTGACGACCTCGCGGCATTCATGCAGCACAAGCAAGGTTTCAGTGACTTGTTGAGGTGCCCGTATCGCAAGGGTAACGAGCTCAAGTAGCTCGAGGTAGTTGTGGAACTCGATGGCAGCGACAATCGCCTTTAACCTTTCCAATGCATACAGCGAAGCAACGGGCACTGCGTGAGCGGCGCGAATGATATGCTGTACAATTGTTGGCCCAAGTTTGGCCCATGGCTCAGGAAGTGAGTCTGTTTCATCTGAAAGGAATTTTTTCAAAATGCAGAAAACGAGAAGAGGATGAGTATCAAGCCATTTCAGAACGATATACTGGTCAACGGGTTGTCGGTTCAAAATGGAGTCAAAGATCCAAAAAAGCTGATGATCAGCATGATGCATCCAGGCAAATTCAGCACACTGGTCCAGGTTTTGGGAGGTGATATCAGCCATAGAGAGGTATCTCCTGACAAGATCTTCGGGCTCCGTGAATACAGCACGTAATGCCTCTGGGAGAGAGCTCAGATCTGCTTCCGGAAGAGTATCGGGAAGGTAAGTGGTATCGATATGAGAAAAACGCTTGATGAACTCTTCAGTGGTGACACTGAAAATCTGTTATAGCTTTTTAAAAACTAGGAATCGCAAACTCACTGATCAAAACGTAGGTCAAACAGCTGATGAGCGATGCGGTCCCGATTTGAAACGACATGTATTTCTATAGACACTACTGGTGTCCGGTTGACTCTGCCCATTTGCTATGTAAACAACAGTACGTTAACAATCCGACTGCTGCGTCAAACACTCCATGCTGACCTTTTGCACTCGTGAAGAGATTTGTTGCAAGGCTATACTTGTAATGAAAGCTTCGTCGGAATTCGCTGGAGGCTTTCGGATGTGGATGAAGGTATTCGCTCTATTCTTATTAAAGAGCTGAATATTTCCCTCACCACAATACAGCTGAAAGCCTGTTGTACATGACGTGAACGTCGGAATTGCTTCGAGGGCTGATTCTCGCATGAATGTGGCGACCACTACGTGCTCACCATCGACAGGAAAATCTTCATTCAGCGGAATATCACCCCGCAAAAATATTGTGAATGAAAACCGGTCGTCAAGCTATGTTAATATTTGGTCGGTCTAGTTAGCTTTCACTGAGTTGGGCAAACTTGAGAGTCAAACCTTGATAATGATAAGCTTCCTCGTGAAGTTTTTTTGCATTGCACGGACCAAGTACCCAAAGAATGCATGCAAGCCCAACTCTTTTGATGAATAGAGCCGTTGAACTCGTAGAGGCCCTGATAACTTCTTGTCTGCCAAATCTTTGGAGCTGACGATATCTGATCTCAACAAGCTGTTCCACATATACGCCTCTTCCTCGGGACTCATTCTCAAGCTCACAGCTAATTCATACTTTTCATGTGTATGCAGTGCCCCATAGTTAATGTACGATAAGTAAGGCCGGAAGTCGGTTCCATGCTTCCTCGCGATCCTCCGGGCCAACTCAACGAGTTTGTACTCGGAAATGGTGGTCTCCGACGCAGAAAAAAGGTGTCTGATCAGATCATCTGCTTCTTCGACAGACACTGGCGCGAAATCAGCACCTCCTTGTCTGATGAGGAATGCTTGAATCCACGTATGAGCAGCCTTGAAGAGTTCGGTGAGGATGAATTTCGAATCTTCGGGAGGTTCGGGAGGTGTCCTGAGACGTTCGGGAATCTTGACATGGGCGCCATCAACAGCTTGGGAGTACAACGCGTTGAGCTCCTGGCATTCCGGACTCATTGCACCTTGAGAGTGATAGCGTGCCCATTTGTTGTGTAGCGCCGTTGTTTGAGCCATTCCTGAACTACAGAGTACATGAAATATTAGAGCCAGAGTTATGTCATGTGGAGTGCATACTTGTTGTATGATGCAAAATATCGACCCAAGTCTTGACGCGTGATTGTCTTCTGTGTAATTTCTTTGTTCGGAGGATATTCGTATGACTTTTGCAAGTAATGAGCAGATGAGTGTACAAACGTGCAGATTACTTACTTCAAACACCTTGCTAGGTACGAGGTCCGGGTCCCAGCAAACAAAATATTCATCTCCTGCATATGACATGACAAAGAGTATATTCCAAAAGTTAGATCACTGTCTTACCATCAAGATCACCTCCAGAACTCATTGAACTTGGAGATCGCTTTCCTTGCGATGCGAAAACAACGCAATCAACAAGATGGCTTAGAGATGGGTGATCGACGGCACGTAGCTTGAGAATATCGCCTGAAAAAGAAGCAATTACTACTTGCCCATGGGAAATGAATAGGCCGACACACCCTGGATGCAAGCATGGATTCCGAACCACAATTACATCTGTTCCAAATATAGTACTTGTGCCATTTCTGGATGTTGACACTCTGACATGAACTTGGCCTTCCCGCAGCACCCGGTGAGGATCACACACTCCATAAAGTCTCCTCGACTTGTGGACCAGCATTCTTACCCTCTCCTTTTTTGCATCATCGTTCTTGTTAAACGATGCTATTTCGCTATTTTGCGCTTTCCTAATCAGATTGAGCAGCTCTGGCGTGAATCCGTCTAAGAAGAGATGCTCGGCTTCCGCGAGATATTTTGGGCCGAGGCTCACAAGAAATTCAAAGCCCTGGACGAGGTCAGAAGTGGCTTGTTCAATCCAGGTGAAGTAGGCTTGTTGTTTTGCAAGGAGCACCTCGTTGGTTACACCAAGACTCGAGAGCAGGACGACAATCTCGTTATTGAGTCGACCAAAGGAGTACGGGGTAGAGTAGCCTACGACGGCAAAGGTGTTATCAATCGTCGATTTGAATTTTTTCATGCTTTTGCGAAACTCGATGTAATGTTCCTTTTCCTTATCCATATCTGGGTGAAGCATGACTACACCCTGAGCAAGTGTCAATCACGGAGAGCTGAATGAGGAAGCATTGCCTGCCTTGTACCCCTTATAACGAATCTGATATACGCATGGCGTGTATCTACGTTCTTGGAACAATATGCGTTTCATTCTTGCAATTTGAACGCTATACAACAAATTAGAGAGTCAATAGTTATTTCCTGGAAAAACGACATGGACTACACACCAAAGACGCTTTGAGATAAGCCCACAACCATCGGAAAAGTTCTCGTCTCCAGTTGTCAAATCATCGATGTCGCCGACGTATTTTGGGTCCAAGATAAAATCGACCTCCGCGCCGGAGAAGAGAAGACCGATCCGCTTTGCCCCTACCCACGGCGCCCGTAAGTGGGTGTGGCTTGAACCTAGGTTAACGAACTCACGTTTCGCTACATTCATGATCCCTTTAAGTTCACCAAAGCTATAAATGATATTATCTAGCTCTTCGTCATTGTTCGCTTCACGTAGATAACATCCTCTTCCGCGCTATCCCCTCCAAGGTCATTTTAGCGCAAAGGGAACCAGAGGTAACGCTTACAAGTTGACTATTTCCGTGCCCAAAAAAGCGATATTGCCTCCCATTCAAAAACAGCCCAGTTTTGAACATCCGTATGATATAGTCTGAGGCTACAGACGGCCGCTGATCTGGGAACCTGAACTTTTCAAACGAAGCAATGATGAGTTTGGATGAATCTTCATGCAGAACAACACGATTGCTCGATAGCTGTGAGATTTGTAGAGTAATGCTTTCTGGAGTAAAAATTATCAATTTGGCAAATCGTCTTTCGCGCCCGCCTGGAGCAGGAACAGATGGTCTGCTGAGGAATCGCAGTGGGATGTTGTCAAAATGCCATTCTGTATCTTCCGGTCTAGGATTCGCCCGTAAGATATGCTTGTCCATGTTGGTTGGTGAAGAGGTAAGCATGTGCCTCGAGGACATCATACGTACACTGCATGTCGTGACTTGCAGAAGACATTATTATTCGCCATTCTAAAGCCTTCGTATTGAATAAAGTATTAAGGTTGCTGTACCGTAGGAAAATAAAGTCACCTGGCATACAACGAGCATGTCAGAACCTTTCGTCCACAAAGTGGGAGAGCCTCGGATAAGCGGACTGAGAGCGATTTATATCGTGGGTCCATCCTCGACAGGCAAAACGACCCTCTGCAACGCGCTCGCCACATGTCTGGGTCTACCACCCAGCATGCATATCACCGAGGTGGCGCGTACGGTAATGAAGGAGCAGGGCTTTACGCGCGCCGACGTTCATTCTCTAGACATGCAGCATGCTATTGTAAAGGCCCAGGTTTCTAAAGACCGAGAAACACGCCGAAAGGCGGCGGCCGAGGCTACAGTCCTCGGGCAGGCAGTTATTCTTTCGGACAGGTCGGCGGTGGACGCAGTGGTATACGCTGCACTATCCGAATTGAAAGCCAAGTCAGGCAGCACCCAGGCGCTCATTTCTAGTGCAGATTTCCAGGAAGTTCTGCCTTTCTATCGTTCACCACGGAGTACATTTGTGCTGTTACGACCGATAAAGGAATGGATGATAGACGACGGAGTTCGAAGCTTGGAAGACGGAGAGCATTGCCATGATATGTTTGTGAGGATTTTGAAGGAGCTGAATATTTCATACATTGAATTGGGAGAAGATTGTCGATGGTTAGAGGAACGTATCGCAGCTGTAAGACGAGGTGCCAGTTATATGTAACGACGCTATTATGTAGAGCCAATGGTTGACCGTTAGACGTGTAAAAGCAGTGGCAGGTTCCAAATTAATGAGCGCTTGATTTGCCTGCCGGGGAACATTATCTCAGCCTGGCGCCTCTCTCCAACTTCGACTCTTAGTTTTCTGCACGACCATCATGGTCCTTCCGTCCAAGCCTGTATCGTCCGCGAAAAGACGGGCTTCTAAATCCCCAGATGCAACGCCGCTATCCAAACGAGCCGCATCTTCTGCGCTAGAAGAAGGGGAGCTGGATGACTCCGAAGACCCTGTTCCACCACCAGCATCCTCGAATACCAATCCTACAAATCCCCGTCCGTCAATTTCACTATCTGCAGGACCATCTTCACTCCCCCAGAAACCTACAGCAAAACCTAAAGTCGCTTTCCCGTTTAAAACAAAGAAAGCTGACTCGCAGAATCAAGCCTCGCCTGTTGTAAATAGTGCAGCTCTACTTTCCGGTGCAGCGTCGACAACTTCATCTTCCGCTGCCAAGGGTGTTTACGTCAGGCCAGACGAGGAGAAATGGAGAGTCAGCGGTGGTGGCGGCAATGACAAACGTAGGAACGGGGATAATAATCGCGGCGGTAGTCGCTGGAGAGACAGCCCATCCAGAGAAAACGGTCGCGGATATAATTCCCGTTCAAATTCACGGTCCCGTTCGACGTCCCGCTCACCCAGTCGGCATCGGCTTCCTGACAGACGGTCACCTCGTAGATCATCACGACGGCGGTCGCTAGAATATGACAGATACGCCGACGACAGAGGCAGGGATGACACTCGTTATTATGAGGAAAGAGACAGAAGCAGAAGCAGGCATTATGAGCCGGGTTACCGTAGATCAGATGACCGGGATTGGACACGACGAGATGAACGTCGTGATCATTATCGACCTCAATACGACAGCTATCGGCCAGATTATTCACGTACAAAATCTCGAACTCCTCCACCACCTCCTAGGGCCGAATTTTCTCCTCCTTCTACCTCATCTGCTTTTCCTATCGACCGAGCGCGCACACCTCCATTTCCTCCTCCACCATTTCCGCCGTCTCCACATTCATCTAATGCCCCGACTCTTTCAACAGAACCTGAGCCGTTCCCTGGAGATATTCCTCCGCAACCGAAGTCCCCACCGCCACCTGCTCCGCCACCCGATACTAGGCTTAACAATACAGCTATTGGATTACCAGAGAGACCTGCAATGTATATGCCTCTACATCCACACTCCAATGCTCAATCACAGCTTCACTCAAATTTGCATGCCCCGCGACCAAATGCCCCTGCTGACTTCCATTCACCTCCGTCGTTAAGACATATTGCTCACACGGACATGGATTCACATCAGGATAGAAACTGGGGTTCGTCTGTAGACCCACATCGTGATCCTACAAAAAAATCCATGCCTGAACCTCCGCCACGTATACAGCTGTCACTGAAGCGCAAGTCTGTTTTACGCAGAACCAGAGAGGAAGAAAAAAAAGCATTTGGAAGAGTGTTTGAGGGTTGTGGAGTGAAGGCGGATTATGAGGCTACGACGAAACTTGGGGAGGGAACTTTCGGGTATGTATTTCCATATACCCGTGATCGACCTTGCGCCTGAACTCTTTCTGCGCCACACAGAGAGGTACACAAGGCAATCCAGAAAGCCACCAACAGGGTAGTAGCACTGAAGAGAATTTTAATGCATAACGAAAAAGAAGGAATGCCGGTCACCGCTCTTCGCGAGATCATCATCCTCAAAGCGTTAAGGCACGAGTGCATCATCGAAATTCTGGACATGTTCGTCGTTCACAGTGCGTTGCATTTGATCTTTTACAAATATGGTCTTGCAATAATTCCTTTATCTTACTCAATATTGTCCTAAAGGCACGGAAAATGAGCCAATGTCGGTTTACATGGTTTTCCCCTACATGGACCACGATCTTGCGGGTTTACTAGAAAACGAACGCGTCAAGCTCCAACCGTCCCAGATAAAGTTGTACATGAAGCAGCTTCTAGAAGGAACGGAGTACATGCATCGGGTGAGCTTGCTATGTGCCTAATCTGTTTCCGCAACCCTTCATTATGGAAAATGTAGAACAACATCCTCCATCGAGATATGAAAGCTGCCAATCTTCTTATAAGCAACACTGGTTCTCTACGTATCGCAGATTTTGGTTTGGCCAGGGCGTTCGATGCTGAAGAATACAAGGGGGCACCGTATACGACATTTGATGGCCGGGAAAGACGGGAACGCAAGTATACTAACTGCGTAGTCACGCGATGGTATCGACCTCCAGAATTACTTCTTGGTGCTAGGAATTATGGTGGAGAGGTGGATATCTGGGGGATTGGGTGATTTTCTTTCTTATCCTTTCAACATGTTGATCTCGAAGCTGAACATTATGCTGTACTAGTTGTGTATTTGGAGAGATGTTCAGCCGTCGCCCTATTCTTCCTGGGAACTCTGATGTCGACCAGTTGGATAGAATTTGGGGTTTATGCGGGACACCGAATCAGCATACATGGCCCAATTACGACAAACTCCCTGGATGCGATGGTATGAAAAGGTTTACAGCAACGACTTCGAGGAGAATCAAGCAACTTTATGAGAGGTGATTTTTTCTTTCTTAAGATCGTCAATGTTCACGTTCCAACGAAACTTTCATAGCATTGGACCCGAGACCGTTGATTTATTAGACCAACTACTAATATGTAACCCTAAAGAACGAATTTCAGCCTCACAAGCCTTAGAGCATGATTACTTCTGGACTGACCCATTACCCGCAGATCCTAAAACGTACGAATCCTTGGTTGTGATTGAAGTGAATATCTCATTCTTTAATTTTTATTTGCATGTAGTCTCCCAGCGTACGAAGCCTCCCACGAATTCGACAAGCGCAGTCACCGACAACACCAGCCTCCTCCTGGCCCGCCTGGAAATGGGCCTCAACCGCCTTATAACAATCACAATCACGACCGTCGTAATCGCCTTCCCCCTCCTCCCAATAGACCTTATCCAAATAGACCTCGCGGCGATGGACAATATAGAAATCGTAATCATCAACCGCCTCCGCCTCACGGCCCACCAATACATTTCTCTGGAGGGTATGGAAATGCTCCACCTCCTGGTCCTATGTATGGGAACAACAACCTTCCCCATCCTCATGGTTTTCCACCCAGTGGAATGCCTCCTAACGTTCAATATAGGCCTGGTGCATACAACAACAACAACAACAATCGTAGTGGTCATCCTCATTATCGAGACAATCGTAGCGCTCCAAGATACAACGATAATCCCCTGCCAAATTCTGATAGCCTCCCGCCGCGGCCACTGGCGCCTATGGGTGCATCGGGTGGAAGAAGTGGTGGTGGTGGTGGTAGTAATGTAGGCGGGCGTGGACCAGGCTCATCTAATGGTGGAAGCGATACATTGAACTACGGGTAAGCAAGAAATGGTGGCTATATCGATATGGATACTATTTAATAGATCATCATACGTATACATACACTGTTGCTTTTGTCCCATCTCATGTATATATGTTGTATCGATAACCTAAACCACTCAATGGAACAGCTAGGTGCAGCGCTGATTCACTCTAGACCCACCCCACCGGAAGCAAATGGGGTGTATGTCGTCATAAAGGGCGGCTCCCGCAGCCAAATTCCGCAGTCTCAGACCTTTGCTTATAAGCTTTGACCATCCTGGTTATTTTCTCCCTCAATATCTATCTGCTATACGTTGAACATTGTGAGTAATCTGTTTCGTTATTGAAATCGTGCTCGCTAATACTTCTTGTACAGCAATTTAGTACGCATTATGCCGCATCATCACGGAGAAGGTCCAGGAGGCCCTGATGGCCCTGGAGGATTTGGAGGAGGCCCTGGAGGACCCGGCGGATTTGAAGGCCATAACGGCTCTGACCGTGGATTTGGTGGCGGTCATCATCATGGTGGACTCGGGGGTCCAGGAGGGTTTGGCGGAGGACCTCAAGGTGGTTTTGGAGGCGGTCCCGGAGGTGGGGGGTTTCCAGGAGACCAAAACGGCGGATTCTTTGGAGGACCTGGAGGACATCACAACCATCATGGTCAGGGTGGTTTCGGTCGCGGTAATCCTGGTTTTGGAGGCTTTGGAGGAGGATCCGGTGGTCCAGGTGGGCAGGGCTGACCTGGACATGGATCCGGCTATGGAATGCCTCCTCATCACTCCTCCCACAACTCGTTACTCGGGAAGCTTGTAAATAAACTTGAAGGCGGGGGAAATTACCAACATCACAACGGCGTCAGTGGGCTGATCCCGCATGTTCCTAATCTTTTTGGGAACAACCATTCACATCATCAGCCTCCCCCGGGTTATGGAGGTCCAGGTCCAAATCGTGATATGGCCTTTGGACAAGGTCCACCTCAGCAGGGTCGATCTGGTTTCATGTCTCCTCCTCCTCCTCAATTTGGTGGTGGCGGAGGTTTCATGCCGCAAGGTCCATCGCAAGGGCCGGGAGGACCAGGAGGCCCAGGAGGACCGCAAACGGATGGACCCCCGCGTTGGTAATATTACGCAACCCAAATATCTTCACATTCAGCAGGCGAAGAACTGTTCTCATAAAAAATATCAAACCGAAAGAATGCCAGCATATTGTGTATATATAGTAAATATCATTCGAGCAATGGTCTGGATACTGTCTAGATATGGACATTGTGATCTTCTTTCAAGAATTACGAATTGAATCTACTTTGAACTGTGCAGCACATTGGATGAGACTCTGATAAACTGCCTGAATACAGTGACATCGCTAAATTGGCGGAAATCTTGGATTGGCTTGCATCAAATGTATTTGTCATACAATTATTACTTGTTGCTGCGTCCTACTACACTACCTTACAATCTCATCCAATATTGTATGCATATTGTGGCATCTTGTGGATGTTGCCTAATTATTAGAACTCTTACATCAAATTGTAGCTTCACTGACAAGTATTAGGAAGTATCTAAGTTATATGATAGCATAGGTGTAATCTTATGCAATGAACGTAACACCCTACAAGTGAGCTAAGTTATGGGGAGCCGTACCCATCATCCCACTGCCAGTCATCCCCGCCATCGCCACTGTCATCATCGTCATTTTCATCCTCATCCTCTCCATCTCCATCTGATCCAAAGCTGTCATCTGAATGATTACTATCCAAGCTGTGTTCCTCCGAGTTGTTAGATTCATCCTCCCCACTACTATCACTGCCATTGCTGTCCTCGCTATCACTTTGCTGGAAGAATCTCCGGTTGGCCACATGTCCAACGCCACCTCCAGGAAAATACCGCATGAACATGTCCCGGTCCACAAATCTGATGGTGATACACCTCCCATTAACTTTAATCACTCAACATACCAATTGAAGGACTCACATTCCAACATAAAAATATGCCCAATCATCTTTCTCTCCTGCCTTCCGAGCTACTGTAGGTTGAGAAGATTCGAGAAGCTCTTGTGTCCGACCATCACTGAAAGCAGGCATCAGGTGACATCCTCGAATTATATGAGCAGGGTCCAGGAAGCCAAATGCGAAGGGGTCACTCTCTGGGACAAACCCAACCTTGGGTAATCGTGCAACATGAGAGCCTGATCGATGACCTGGGGCAAGACCCAGCCAGCGTACCCAAAGAAATTCGAAAGCTACTGGTCCTGATTGAGCTGTACTTGCTTTGGGATGAGTGGAGATAACAGTGGTACGATATATTCCGAGGATGCGCGCATACCAATACGGATGAGCGTTGGGTGTATCTTCACCAGAAAGCATCATTACGTCAGCATGATTGCTTGGATTTACAGTGTCCTGGTCTCGTCGGACATCGTATGTTGTGTAATTGATTCGACATGTTTTCAGTGAGGTAAAAGAACCTCCTTTCAGACGAATATGATTCCGGTCTGTATCTGTAAATGATTCATGAGTATCACCATCAAATTTGCGCTCCATTAATCGCCCAAGAAGATGATCTTGAAGTTTGGGGTAGAAATTCTGTATTCATCTAAGCAATGCATTCAAAATCTAGATCAAGAACTCAAAGAACTAACCTTTGCAGCAGGATCATCTTGGTACAGCTTCGAAAAGGATCCAATATTGTGCTTGTTCCTGTCTGATTTTCCGATGTGGTGATGCACAGCCAGCAATTCAGCAGCATTTCCTGGGTTGAGTAGTCCCTGCTGACGTCGCCGTTTGGTATGAATACCACGACGGTCAAAGGCCCGTTTTGCCCATTCCAAACGGCGTAACCTACGGCCAATTTGCCTGGGATCCTTCTTCTTGTTCCCCAGACCATAGAGCTTTTTCACTACTCGATGAGCCAACTCTCCCTGTCAAAGTTGTAGATTGATGAATAAATATCACTGCAATTAAGTCGAAACTCACTATTTGTGTCGAGAAACTATCTGCTGGACCAAACCAACGGATTGTTGGTACATAGTCTGCCAATGCATGCCATTTATATGTTAATAAGTTCAGAAACTTACGACGGCGACCCTGATTGGGTTGTGGATGACTGGTCCCAGATGTGCTAGCAGCTTTCTTTTGTTGGCGCTGAAGGCGTGCAGTCAACTCACGATCGGTCTCATACGTATTGAATGATTTATTGGTAAGGTCCCGGAAATGGCGCATGCGTTTCCCAAAGTCGTGGGTGAGAGATTCCATGTAGTCCAGAGTTTTTTCCGTGTGCATTCTGAGCTTCGCTAGAGCATGCCATTCGGCTGCTCGATAGAGCAAGGTCATGAGCTTGGTGTTGAATGGCTCTGGAAGAAGTCCTTCGAATACTGGAATTGCACACTAAACCACAATTGAGTTACTTTATATAGCCGCACAATAGATTCGCTACCTGGAGAAGATCCTCAAAGTCGCGTGCAGCTAGTTTCTTCATTTCCGAAGCATTGTTCGCAAATGCACGGATGGTGTCGAAACCAAAAGTAGGCATCTGACGAAATCTGTATTATATTCAAGTCAAAATTCTCGCATTCAATGTCTATTGTTGAGCAATATGTAACAAACCTATTGTCCAGTTCATCAACGTATTGTTGGCCTACAGCATAGACGACTCGGGTGAGATGGCCAAATAATGCCTTCCAGACTCCGAGCTCGAATTCATGCATTAAATCAACAACTAGCATACGCGCAAGATTGAAATTCTGCCCCAGACGATCAACAAAAGCATTCTAATCAAGACAGAATAGTAAGATAAATTTGCTATAAGCTTGAGAAAGCATTCACCGATGTCGGGACTGATGAAGTAGCTTTCAAGATACGTTCCACAGCACTTCCTCGAATTTTGACTCCTTCATGATAGATCCATTTTCGTGCCAATGCTACTTTATCATGGAGAAAGACTCGTAATTTTTGGCGAATTTTCATGTCCCAGCGAGAGCCCATCATGTCAGCGGCAGATTTGGTGCACAAACAGCGAGGACATAAACAAGTACCAAGTTCTCGAATGGTTGCAAGTAACACCCTGTCAAATGAACAGGTGATTTAGGTCAGGATTTCGCATCATATATAGACATGCAAAAAACTTACTTCTCTGGATAATCTGCGGAGTAAGTAAAAAATCTAGGATAGACGCGGCGCTCAATTCCATCGAAGCATTTGATAACGATTCCATATTTGTATGCATGGAGAAATTCATTATTCAGGAGAAACCTCCAAATAGCGTTGTATAGCTCCCGGTTACAGTGGGTAATAAGTTCACCTGCCTGTGTTTTCCAATTGACATTGAACTTTGATATTTCGTGTTTAACGGAATCCGGAATTGTAGGTATGTAAGCCAGATGGTGAACAGCACCTGAGTTAGGTGAAGCACGGATGTATTTCGAGAGATTACCAAACAGCATGTAAATTGGCCACAGCTTTGCAGTTCCGAAATTGGCAAGCTGGGTAGCGTCGGACCAACACATCAGTGCAGCAACAACCTTTTCTCGTTTACAGTCCTTGTCGTCAGTGGGTGCACGCCGAAGATTCTTGTGTTCCTCAATAAACACGTCGGAATTGTAGAGGTCGGTCTGAACACGCTGCGAGAAGCTGTTCCCCTCCTCATCTTCAACTTGCTGAAAAAGTTTGAAGGGCGTGAAATGAAACTGACTCGCAAGCCGATCTGCAAATGCTGCGCGGATTACTGAAAGGGGGTCGCGGTATAACAGCTGCGGAATCGTGAACTTTTTGGGGGGAATCTGTGCGTCACCAGATGGGACTTCAATTTCTACAGAAGTCTCTGTAAACGAGTCCTTGAATCGATTGCGCTCCCAGTTTTCATCTGCTTTGGTGATCTTCTCATTAGCGGTTTGTGCATTGTACCCTCGAAGTTCATCAACCCGGAATTCAGGCCGCTGGATGATACGTGCAAGTCCGTCCATTTCGATGTTGGATTTTGTTGAGTTTCCATTGTTTTGCCAGCCCATGAGGAGCGTCTGAGTCGGATTCAAGGGGGAGTCTTCCAAGTCCTGGGAATCCTTCGAAGCCTCGTCATCATCCTGCTCATCGTGACATGGCAGATTTGACAAATCCTGGATGCCAACCTCTCCATCGGGGTCATAAGAGGGTCGATCCGGGTACTCGCGCCACAAGCCAAAGCGATTCAGCTGGGTCTTCAAGCAGTCACGGACAATAAGTATGACTCGAGGTAAGTTTGTTGTGGGAATAGAATTCTGTTGCTCAACTCGCTCTTGGTCCTCTATCTGCGAAGTCACAACAGCAGGAGTTCCCCGCGGCAGTATGTCATGGTAACGTGCTGGAAGACGCCCACGGGTTGAGCGAATAGGTCTACCTGCTGCTGTCAGTTCCTCTGGTGATGGTGCAGGTAAATGGACTGGTTCCGGGGATACATCAGGCGAGGATCGCATCATATCAGTCAGACTCTGTCGATCTGTCTGCAAAAATAAAATCAATGAAGCTCAGCAGCCCATACTTACTTCAAGCTTTGTCCAACGTACCTGTGATTCAATGTTCAGCGGAGTAACAGTACTCGAAGAGGCCTAATACACATTTGACAGTTTGTCAAAATCCCCGAGATTCAAATAAGTACATACCGTTGGATCAATAGTAGAAGAGTTAGGAAGGACTCGGATGCCTGGTGAAGGAAGAGCACTACTGACACGATTACCAGGAATAGTTTCAGCTTTTTTGAGCTTCTTGCGTTTCTGTTGCCTTCGACGGGTGATTGCAGGATCTTCATCCTCACCACCCACTTCTTCAAACCCACGTTTCTGTGCTTGAGTTGCAACATAAGTGTTCCATGTCACACAGCTTCCGCGATGTCGACTGGTTGCCTGAGCAGAAGAAAATGGACCTCGATTACATCCAGGTGCATACCGGAACGGATCAGACATATCAGCAGTTACGAGAGAAGGAAATATGGGTTTAAAAAGTGATCCGGGGCCGCCAAAATGCTCGCGAGACGGAGAACGATCAGAGGATAAAGAGACAGTGGCAAATACTTGGAAAACCAATACTAGTGTCAGACTGAGCTGCTTAAATAGCATAGTTGTTCTTGTCCTCTGAGTTGACTCAGAGTTGACTGTACTAAGTCACGAAGCGATGCCAGAAGACAAATTTCAAATTTGTATATTTGGTAGATACGCGATCACCTGATGGAGGGTAATTGGAAATTTTGCACAGGATATATAAGGGGGAAAAGCAAACGAACCCTTCTAATTTCCCTTCACCCATTACCATCACGGTCTTCCTATGTCATCCCACTCCCAAAGTCACTCAAATGGCCCCTCGCGCTCTCCAAGTCCTCACTCCCACTATCCAGGATCTGGGAGACGCAACACCTATAGCTCTCCTCCTCCAGTTGATGTCCGAGGTCGTTCCAGAGAACGCGATCGCCATACACAAAGCTCACCACCACCCCGTCGAACTCGTTCTCCCTATCAATCCAAGTCGCGTACTACCACACGTGATAAACACTACTCAATGCAAGATCGGGAACGTATCAAAGATCTGGAACGTCAGCTGGAAAGCGCAAGGAACGCGAAAGAAAATGAGGTCAGAAAGAGAAAGGCACCGTCAGTACACAACACATAAACAGGAACTTTTAACTTACACCATCTTATAGTGAGCCCGTTGACAATGCATCAGCCATGCGGCGAGGACGCGCTATCCCTAAACTTATCACTGCATATGAGAGTATTCATACCCTCCTTGCACAGTACGATGAGTACCGGCAAAAGGGATACCATCTTGGAGATCTTGAAGAAGACGATGATGATATTGATGAAGAGAAACGCGCAGAAGAACTAGAAGAAAAGCGAAGGTGAGTATATCCGATGTTTCACAGAGTTCATTATTGTACTCAGAATTGTTAGGCTACAACGTGGATACTCAGCTATCCTTACAATCAACAAGGCAATTTACCCAGACTTCGTAAATAAGATCAAAGATTCTGGGGGCACACATATTATCAGCCAGGTGAATCAAGCATTGCGAGCATTACCAGTCATAACTGGTACACTGACATACCTTGTTTCAGCTTCAAAGGGGTGCAAATAGTGCAAGGTCCTTCGATACATCCATGGTCATGAACTTTGTCGGCGAGGCACTAAACAAGGAGGTTCAAAAGATCAACCAAACGAGGTTGAAAGAGTACCAGATCAAGTTGCGTGCTCACGCCGAGCGTGTCACAGGAAGTGACAACTTAACCGATCTTCCCGCTGCCACATCACCCGAACCGGTTCTTGAACATATTGAAGAATTTCGTACAAGCTCCAGAGATAGCAGAGGGCTTCAAAACGACATTACTGGACGTCTCCTCTGTCCTGTGGAATTCGACTGGAAGGATCCAATGTGAGCAATAACACCTTTCTCAGGCTGAGTAACAAGGGATGACATTCAAATTGTGCAGTGTTCGTGCAGCTGTCCGCGCCTTCGATCCAAAGTACGATTTTGCCAGCTCTGCCCGTGCTCGCTGCTTCTACAAGGACGAGGAGTTCGACCCAGACGATCTAGACAAGGGTTTTTTGCAGAGCTATCTGCTCGTTCAGGTATGCAAGGTTACTTCTTGATTATTCACTTGTTCATCGCTTGTAGGTCTATCGCCTGATGTTTACGTCGCCCTCATCAACTAAAGATCAGCCGGAAGATGTCGAAAATCTTCCAGCCTCAAAGAAAAAGAAAACCACTGCCACCAATTGTCGCGGGAACGTCACACAAATCATTCACATGAACGATGTCAAACCTCGTTCAATTGCCTATGCTGCTATCCATGTCCGTACTACCTTCAAGTTCTTGTACAAATTCTTGATGTTCACACCTATTGCTAGCTTCATTTCGCACTCAACGACGCTCCTCACTGGGCTGAGTCTCATATGGGTTACAATTATCTTGACCTTTGGAATTTCATTGTCGACTTCTTCGAGGATCCAGAGGATGAAGAGGAGAAGCAACCGAAGGAGCTTTTGAAATGGTGGAATGAGTGAGTGATTCTATATCTTCTCGCCGCCATCATCCTGATTTGTCGATGTTCTAGTCGGATTTTCACCGGTACTCGCTCCGCTGCCAACAGTCGTGGCACTAAAATGACTTCTCGCAAGAAAGATCTATCCCAGCGGCTGCAGCCTTCCTCCCCTCTAAATGATATCTCATCCAATGGAAATGGAACTGTTCCATAGTACAGGGCTCACTGTCGTCGTCTACGTAACCTATATTACATCTCATGTGTACCCTATTCTCGAATGAAATTGGTTTCCCCACTCATTTTGCGAGCACCGACAAGCTAAATTTGCGCAGACGGATTCATTACTGCTGGCATGCAATCCTGCTGTCACCCATTTAGCTTATAAATAGCCATAGTCGCTAGTTAATACTGTCTCAAAAACATAAGATATGGACAAGTATTATTTGAATTCTGTAGGGTAGCATCAATAATTTCACGGGATTCATAGTCCTCCAGCAACAGTCTCACCAAAACTACATGCGATCATAAGTTGGTGCCGAGGTTACAGGTATATCATAGTGTCATCACAATAATTGTCGAAGTGCAATGACTTTATAACTCACTGATAAGTTCTTGCAATACTTCACAAGATTGTGGTACTCTTGTGAAGACTTGTTGCTACTACAATTTATTGCAACTGGCTACGATAAAACTACCAATTTAGCGATGGAGTCAATGATTCGTCCAACATGACAACATCTGACCCATATCAGTATTCAATCCTTAGCGCCGTGCTAGCACGCCAAATCCCCGACTCTGAAAGACTGATGCCATTAGCAAAGTCAAAACGGCAACTATGGATTTGAAAAGATACATCTATACTACGATAGTACGTGTAGTTGAACATATTTCTAGCAGGTAAATAAGGAGTATGATAACATTGGTGGTGTGTCGGGTATTGAAAGTGAAGCTTGAATGAGCTTGAAGAGTATCAGAGTCCGATCGTTCGTTGAAGACTACTTCGTTTAAACAAATCGTCGCAGCGTTGCAGGAGTGTGGCGTGTTCAACATGTAGCTTGATTAAAGTTGAAGAGTATCAGAGTCGGTCAATATTAGTTGAGGAGTCTTTGAGGCAGAGGTTGTGATACCAAACGTTTGACCTAGTAGACTGTGGAATGAGTTACTACTCATGATCTACATGGATTATGAATATGTACATACGTATATTGCCGTCTTATATGGCGTGTTATTCCAATTTTTGACTTAATTTTTGATGTACAAGCAGGATATTAGTATTGGTACAGTATTGTCTACCGAAACTGCGGTTGTGTTAGCTATAAAGCGTTCGGGCAGGAGGAAGATGGCATACCTTCAAGCAATGGCTGCGGTTAACATAATTGGTTCAATGACTGTGGTCCAGACGACGGGCGAACTTTGAGTAAACAAAAATTTTTCAACGTGTTTTCTCCGACCTATTTAACGAATATAAGATGGAAGTAGACGTTGAAGTATTCAGACACGTACAAAGATGACAATACGAGCGTGGTCGGTCGATGCATGCCCCTTCCAACATTAAATGAGCTAGGCTTTCTGTGGAGCAGTTTGGTAGCAACGAAGGAGGATAGATGTGAAACTCACCGGCTCTTCGCCGATTGGTGACTTTGATGGGAGGTAACCATAGTCTGGAGTCGTCGGGACAACTTTTGTCCCACTGCTTTTGACGACGAGTAAAGTCGTTCGTGGTACCGATTTTCCATTCGTTGTTGTTAACATAGGCATAAAGATATCCAGGTCCATCTGCGTCTGAAATTCTCCGGCTTTGTCGTTTGTTAAAGAGTCACTGTAATTCTTGGAGCGAGCGACGCATAGCTATCGTAGTAAATGATGAATCAGAAGGAGCGTTAATGTGAGAGCGGTGTAGATAGACCAGTTGAGTCGAGATGACTTATGAAGTAGTACGCGTTTGGAGAAGGTGTGACCGTGATGAACTTCGTGATGAACTTCGTTAATCGTGGTTGTTTTGGGAGGTTGATGAACAGAATAACGTCGCCGGTGAAGTGCTTCGTCAAGATGATAAGAGTAAAACGTACGATAGGATCATGGGCTGTTGTCGATTTGCTTGTGACAAACGCGACAGTATTGCGAGTACGTGACCGACGAGAACTTCTGTCGCTGTGCTATACGTTTGCAACTTCAAAGAGAGTCAGCTTTGAATGGTAGGAGAAAATTCAGCCAATTCATGAAGTAGGTGGAATCTTGTTTTTGAAGATGAAAACTAAGTCATTTATCATACAAATGACATTGCGAAGAGATGCATTGGTGATTATATTTTCTCTGGACTTGTAGTGATTTCTGACGTTTAATTGATTCGTGGTAACTTCTTGAGAACAGTTTGGATTAGCGATAGAGATCGTATTAGATGGGTAAGATGGGTAGCGTACATATGATCAGAAAGTGCATTTCGTTGACGGTTGTGTTTTACATGTAATCACGGTCGATTTAGTTAGGAGCGTAATTGTAACTTGATGAATCGATAGCTCGTTTTTGGATAAAAAGATACAAACGTTTGTAGGAGATAATTGTGCATGGTATCGTTCAATGTCACAATGGTACTTGCTTCTCAAGAAGATCTTTAGTGAGCATGATCTGAATAAGCATACTTAGAAACGAAGATATCTGTAAATTGAGTCAAAAGTCCCGTACCTTGTTGCACTGTTTCTCTAAGAAAAAATTGGGTCTTGTTTAGTTTGAGGGGAGGATTTATATTGATTGATCGTCCAGGACGGTTTCGAGGATGGGGCAACAATATGAGATATAGTTTTTTTGACTGCATTATTCGGTGAATTGAATTGGTGTTGGTCTTTTGAAGGTAGCTAAAGTTGGTTCTCCTTTGGATATGGTGAAAAGGGTATGGATTTCATGATTCGAGTGCAAAATGCTTCAACAAGATATCTTTTTTTTGTAAGCGGAAGAGAGTGGAAGAGATGACACGAGTAAAGCTATGATGATGTAATAAATCGATAGTCACATGCATAACGTCAGCGTCAGTATGATGATATGTCCGATCTGCGACTTCTTCATCAATCTTGATCACTCTTCTGAAGAGCTATGTATAGTAAGAAGGAAGAAAAGTCCGCATTCATACGATGTAAGTGGTCCATCATCGTCAATACTGTACTGCTGTAGCAAGCATTGAAGTTCATTACCGATGATTGGCATGTGAGTGATTTTAACGAGCACATTTTGTGAGAGTTTATCCAAGTGTTTTGGAATTAGCGGTGTAGATGTAGGACGTACACACAAATGCGATGCTGGAAGAAATTTGGAACGTCTATATTGAATTGAAAAAAATAAGGTTAGTCTGCCAACTTCGATTTGTTATAAGGCAGGCCAAAGATGTTTGCTTACAGTACGTATAGAATCGTTCTTGTTCCAGTTCCACAACCTTCTATCGTGGTGATTTAATCTATGGCTGACAACGAAGACAACATGGAATATAAAGATATCATGTTCATCAATGATAATCCTTATGAAGACGGTCATCGATCTGAAGTTGACGCTATTACTGGTAAAGTCGCTAAGTGGATGACAGATGGGTTGAAAAGAGAGTTTGTCGTTCAATTCAGAAGGTATGGGACGGTCAAACAAAGACAAATTCTTAACCGAAGATACAAGGATATTGTGAGTATGTCGTTTACTATTGTTGTTTGCTGCTGAATTTTTTGTTCGTGAGGTTTGTGAACGATGCAAGCGTATTGGAATCAAATGCGATGTTTCTCCAAATAGGATCAGGTGCAGAGGTTGTATGCCTACTCGCATGTGCAGTCGCGTTGCTTGTATCAATAAGTTTCGGGTGATGGCCGATATGAATATAACTGGAGCTCAATACGAGGATTTAAAGTTATGGTACATTCGGTCGAAGAACCAGACTCATTTTGGATTATCAAAAAATGTAGGCTCTGAAGTTTTCATAACACTTATTCATTGTGTTGACTAATTTTATCAGATTCAGTTTTGCTTCATGTACACAGAATCAGAGACATGTGAATCTGAAGATTGTGTAGGTAGGAACATTATTCTGAATGAAGGGACGGTATGTAGTTGTAATGGCTCATTTTTATGATGTGGCTCACAAGAAAATCACAGAGAGACGGTAGAAAGGAAATCGTAGACAACGAGTCTGGAGCTGTTGAGGTTTGTATGATGAATTGGGCTGAAGCTAGGAACAAAGCAAATAATGTCTTAGATAAAGAAGTTGTAAGTGTTGCAATATGTTTAATTGATCAACAGGGTTCATATTTCCGTAGATGTTGATTATGGCTGAAGCGATGGATGGTATTGAATATGCCAATACTATATCTGGACCAGAACATGGTGGACCTTGTATCGCAAATGATACCTCATATAGTGTGCATGAAATCGAGGTGAATAACGCAGGGATCATTGTCGTGCGCTGAGATTGATAACCGTTGTTGAAAGTATCTGACCACAAATCAAACGATGGATCGTACTGCAACAATTGACTTCAAGAATGGTGTCGGTGTCGATACTTTATTTTGCAGTTCACAATCGGTGGCATCAGATGGTCAACATTTCGTTACATTTCCAGATTCAGTAGTCGCAACAGAATTTGGGAGAGTTCCTTTTTCCCATCCGTTTTCTCGTAGGTCGTTACTACTATTGACGAATTTACTCGGTAACTTTAATATTTAAGCCATGGCACGCAATTATCAACAATGTACAGAAGATTCACCTAGAACGGTGTCTGCGTTTCAATCGTTTTCATATGGTAAGCTAATTGTTCTTGGATAATATTTGGACTCATGCGGGAGCTTGTAGCCAATTCAAGTAGCTTGTTTAACGCTCTAGGGCAAGCAGTGATTAGTGCTGATTCCACATATTCGATGTCATTTTCCGGACACTCCAATCATTAAATGTGTCGGCCGGGTATTTCGGAGTGGATATTAACGTGTTGTGAAACATGAAACACAATAAAAACAATGTTCGATTAGGTGTCTGCTACTCGGTATAGGTAGTGTTCTGCAGAAGATGATTGTGGTGTTCGAATATTTCAGGTGAATTTCGTGAAGTATTAGCAATGTGTATTTGTTTTTTGTTAGCTGGTCAATAAATGTATGATGTAGTATACATGTACCTCAACTTGTTGGATTTTCTGGTCTTATACTATGTGTATCTAGTGCGTACTAGTAGTAGCGTTGTATATGTTGCTTATATCGCCTGTTCTAAGGTGTCCGGAATCCGGTAGGTATGCTTGAGGCTGGTGTAATCCTTGATGTATTCTGATCAGCATGGTCATAAGTGAACGGAGCAGAATGTTCATAGTAAGTAATTTTGTTAAGTTTGGTCTTCTCGACATATGCAAGGTGTTGACAGCAGAAAGAGAAAAGTATTCTGCAATTACTCATATATCATGTGATAGCATATGAGCTATGGTAGGATAAGTCAGGCTGAGGTTCAGTTCAAATTAGATGAATGAGTAAATGTAATGACAGATAATACTTGCAAGAAGGTTTGGCTGGGCTTTAGCCCCGCGCGGGTGGGAAAAATTTGAAATATAACAGATGAATGTGTGAGATAAAGTACGCGCTGGTATTAAAGCAGTAGCATACGGCTGGGGAAAATAAGTCGGTGCAGGTGGGTGGATAGCGAGGATTAATTTCAATTGGCGATGGGAGTCGGAAGTACGAAGATAGGCACCAAACTGGCGCTGGCCAACTCATATCACCCGCTGACTTATCCTCTGATAAGCCTCCTCTAGCGACTTATCTCGGATATATTTTTCAATCACATGATACATTATTTTTACTGAACTTCCGTGGAGTGGAAATTTCTCTTCCTGATGTTATTGAAGCAAAGCTTTTTTGATGTCAGTATGTCACTTTAATATCAGTGCAAATTAGGTTACTTTAATATTAGTGCAAAGTTCAATTGATGGATTAAGAGGCTGAACAATAGTGGTCATTAACAGTAATTTAATCAAAGGATAGGTTATACCAAAAATGCTAGAAACTTGTACTGATAGAGTGACTACAGTAAAGTTGGAACATACACAAACCAGTGTATACATTGTGTCATACCTTGATTCCTTTTTGATTGAAACCTCACATATTAACTCTCCAGGACCTTTACCCCACACCTTCCATTCCTAAGGCCTGTTGTTGTGATTGTCCAGAGCAGTTTTGGTCATGCTATTTTGCTTTGAACCTCCTGACCCAAATCATTATGGACTGAAGACTTTCCCAACACTACATGACATTCTCTATTCCAATTAGTAGTTAATATTTATTGCCTACCTTGCACTTACCAGATCACACATCCTTTACATAGGTCCAGTTGCTGTTCCTTTGTCTCTGTTAAGTATACGGATTTCCTTTACTGTCTGTTTCTTGTTTCTAACATTGCCTTTACAATTTAATACACAGTTCTACTTCATGTGTAAACATCATGAGTGAGTATCCAGACTCTCTCAATGAACTCCAGATCTCCTCAAATATCCATTGTTTTGATGAGCCAACTTTCCATACACCTTGCTTGAGTTCTCTACCTAGTTTCCAAGTACCAGACGTTACCTATAAGCAACATCAAAGCTCTAGACATAGTTTACTCATACATCTGCAAAATCTGGATGTTCGCGAGAGCAAGGGTACTAGCTGGACAGTGTTGTCAGCTGCTTTCGAGCTCTTCACCAAAAATACAGGTTTTACAGATGTATATTACTTCTCTGTTGCAACCGCAACCTCCACCACTCAAGGACACCAATCTCAACTCCCTCTTGTTCCGGGCTCCTACTCCTATAGCTCCTGTCTGTTCACAGCTCAAGTTACTCACGTCAACATTGCAGTTCAGTATAATTTACAACACTCATTCATCTTAATGCTTTTAGGTTCCTTGTTTGACATCTTATGTCGGTCTTCATCCTAGGGACCTCCACAAGGGTCTGACTCGATGTTTTCATATTTCCATCAAGTCATTCCAGTTCCTTGTTCTTAGATTCAGAGCTGTCAGAGAGTCAGTTGCTGTTGAGGAGATACTTTTGCACACTATGCAGTTTTGACCCTCCTGTAGAGACACCCCATTTTGGTTCCACTCATGAGGTACTGTACATTCAATCAGCCACCTGCGGCTCATGGCAATGAACTCCCTCAGTTGTTTTACGATCAACTGAGGTGAGTACAAACATTCTAAATACAACTACATAATACTTACAATACCAGTAGATTAACTACTTAACAGGTACACTTGAGAATAATTAGTTGTTTTACAATCAACGGAGTAAATTAGCTACTTAACAAATTATGAGACTCGAGCTCTAGGAGAGCAGAAAGAAACCTGCCATACCTGAAAAGACTCCACCATGCCATGATGTTGTCGATGTCCACTATTGCACCGAACGTTCAGCGATTCCCCTCTGAAGTGACACTCAAAGGGGAGGATAATTGGTGGCCCTACAAGCAAGAGGTCACTTTAGCAGTAGAATCAAAAGGATTGACTGGTTACCTCGATGAGACCACAGTTAAGCCGACCACCACGCCGACAGTGATGAGCACAGAAAAGACTACCAAAACAGTCACTACGCCAACAAGCACACCTTTACACAGCAAAACCCCTTCCACTGAAGAGTGGCATGCCTGCAATCATTTCGTAGCCAGCACAATCATGTCAAACATCATTGATCCCACTGGACTAGGAGTAGACTACACCCAACCAGCTGCACAAATCTGGGGTGAGGTCATCAAGCAATTTAAGCAAAAGTCTGAAGAACTCCTCCTGTTCCACAATAGTAACCTTCGCTCCCACCAATACACAGGGCTGGGAGTGACCATGGAAGAGCACAAGGCACAAGAAGACCATGCAAAACTTACTCCAAAAAGGCACAAGTGCTGGGGCAGTTGTCACAGATGGCCAGTTCTGAGCAATTGTACTAGCATCACTCCTCAGGGAATGGGATGCCGACATCTGCCACCTCCCAGGGACCTCTAGCACTGAGGCATTCATACACCTTCAGTGCATCTGGCTCTAGAAGGAGAAACGGCGAATTGAGGAAGAATATGATGAATCTAAAGTCAAGGCACTTATGGCAGCTCATGCAGCCAGCATACAGCCCACTGAAAAGCAAGACCGACTTACCTGTACCAACCCAAACTGCAGAAAAGCAGGTTACTCCATTGATAAATGCTGGGCCAGAGGAGGCAGTGCCGAGGGGAAGGGTCCATGCACTTGGCGATTCAACAAATCGAATGAACCAGAGAAGCAAAATCCTGGACAACTGAATGCTGCCTCTGCCCATGCTGACACCCTCTGCCCACTTGAGACATATGTCCTGTCAGCAGACACCATTGACAGTGACACAAGTACATTCCTCAGTAAACTCTGGAATACCTCTGAGTTCCTAGTTGACCTGCGTCCAAACAGATATGATTATTCTATCTGAAGGATAGAGGTCAGTTAACAAAGGGAGAAAGAGAAAATGGGGACATGCATAAATACTACCTTGTTTTGAGTTCTGCAAAATGCACAGCTTGTCATGGAACCACTCACCTGTACATACCTGCCATACCAGGGCAGACTCACATATTCATTGACTCAGGAGCAACAGAGCATTGCTGGGTAGACCAATCCGACTTCATTGAGTACATTACATGTCAGTGAAAGACCAAAGTGGGAGCAGTGCCATCTCTGGAGAGACAGGCTACTTCAAGATACATGGTGTTGGCACTGTTGAATTTGTCACCCAAGTTGGAAATAGAGTCAGACAGATAAAACTCACCAGATTAAAGCATACCCCTGAAGTTGGCCACAACCTGATATCCTTATATACTCTTGATCAGCGAGGCTTAAAGGGTGAGTGGGGGAAGAAGATCTTGAATGTACAGGCACCCAATACCTCCATCATTATGACTGGTGAAGGCAGGGCAAAAATGTACGAAGTGGAAAGGATTATCAATGTGAAAGCACATGCAGCCAGATTACATGAAAAACCAGTCGATATCTATGCTTGGCATAGGAGGATGGGACACATTGCGATACCATGGATTCTCTGGATGCAGAGCCAAGGACTTGTTGATGGATTACAAATAAAGTCAAAGAGGGTTGATGGTATGTGCAGGGATTGTGTCTATGGGAAGGCAACATGAAGGCCCTTTGATGAGAAACTCATGCGCAAAACGGAGGTACTGGAGTAAGTGAATATCAAGTTGTGGGGGCCGGCAATGGTGCAGAGCATAGAAGGGGCAAGGTATATAATGTTGTTCTCTGATGGGGCATCATCACTCAGGGTGCCGGATTTTCTAGGGGATAAGAAAAAGGAAATGTTGGTCAGAGCATTTGACAAGTACCGGACAATGGCAGAAAAGCAAACGGGGAAGATCCTGAAGGTAATCCGGATCAATGGAGGTGGAGAGCTCGACAACAGCCTGATGGAGTCCTACTGTGCAGA